GGGACACGATAACTTTAGTTCTAATTAAGTGAGATTGATGAAACTTGGTGTATAGTTTCATTACAGTAATACCTTGACTAAGTTTGATAATGAGCATTTTCTGCTCAGGGTAAGCAGAGCGATACGCAATTTGATTGGTCGAGACTTTGGAAAACAATAACTCTCCTACTTTGATTGTTAGACTATAAGTAAAGGTATACTGTTTGATTGTTCAATACTTTGTAAAAGATAATTTGTGATAAATTTATATGTGTCCTCTAATTATTTTCCTATTTCGGCGGGGGACATCAGCCTCACTGTTGGCTTGTTTTTTTGGTTTTGGGTTGATGTTGGACCAAGCTATCCAAAAATGTCGGGGTTCAAATTTTCCGACCCCTTGACCCGTCTGGGAGGGGCATTTTTGAAATCAAGATCCCTCTGACCGAGGCCATGGCAATCTCCGCCAATAATGGTTGGATTTTCATGATCTGAAGTTCATTCTGGTGGTGTTTCATGATGTCGCCCCAATTTCCGGTATCAAACACGAATCGAATTCAGCGAATAACCTTTGGATTTTCATGATCTGTAGTTCATTCTGGGGTTTGTTCACCATGCGGACTCTTTTCGAGGGTTCAAATTGTTTTACCCTTGACCCCTCTGAGAGGTTTTTTTTAAAAAAAAAAAATCCGGAACCCTCTGATCGAGTCCATGGCTATCTCTGTCATCAGTGGTTGGATTTTCATAATCTAACGCTCAGTCTTAGGTTTTGTCATCTTGACGACCCCATCTATGATACACTTAAAGCAAATGGAAGTAGGTTTAATTGAATTCCGGTGGGGAATACCAATTTCCGGTGTCTTAGCCTACCACTTTTTGTGGCTTTTGAAGCATGGTAAAATGATTTTTTGTGGACACTTTTGGTTGACTGGAATTTTCTGTCATGAGCGTCAAGACACTTTGACATTTGTAGCAAGTAAACAAGTTTAATATCAAAAACATAAAGAATCTTAACAAGCCAGAAGTCGCCAGAAACGAAAACTAGGAATTTCCTATCTTGGAAATTAATACAACTCAATCCACTATATTAGCGATACATCATCCTCATCCCATTGCACATCCCTGATCATATGGGTACGATCCCTATCAAAACACGCGCAGAGTGATTACAAGGCAGACCATTTTCGCGGCAACTGCATCGCCCCATGCAGCCTGTTTTACAACCACAGCACGAGGGGCAGTCAGATTCGGCACAGGACCATAATTGCCTCTGTCCAACTGCCAGCCGTTTTCGTTAAATGGCAGGGGGGGTTCAGGGATCTGGTTAGGTACTTCTGGTCGCGTATGGCCGTGTACTTTGTTTCTGTGATATGGGAGAACAATGCAGCACGGGTCGGTGGAAGCATCTTTCACTCCAAGTCTTATGAACTGAACAATTGCCATCTAGGTGCTGGTAAGTTTAATGGGACAGATGAAGAGTAGACTTGGCAGACAAATCTCTCCAATTCCTTGACCTGTGAAGGCAAGTCACCATTTACCAGCTCAGCTGAGATGACACATTCTCCAAGCCTATGACTTCCAATGATCTCTGTATTTTGCGGCCTTCTCAGTTACAAACTTGAGATAACTGCGAAAACCGAGACTACCCCGAAAGACAAGGTCCATGAGAATTGTGAGGCCATCGGCGTCACGTGACCAAACACGTGTTTCCCTCCAGTATCTCTCAGCTACAGATCCGAGAGTTTCTCCATGATGAGAACCATGTGTGGTGTAGCCTTTACTGTATCAAACAAGCTAGCATATGCTGTTGAAGGAGCAAAAGCTCAACCAGAGCCATATTATGCTAGTCTGGCTGATACAGCACAGGCTACACCACCCAAACTTTTCACAACCTCCCCGGTACTGACTGGGGAGGTACACCCAAAAATTGGGTTTGTGCATACCTTAAGCCCGATAGTGACGATCCTGTAATCAACTGTTTTAAGAACTTTTCGAAGGCGTGATCATTACTTATTTGGTTAATTACACCCTCATGCGCGACAAGTGGTACTTGAGCAGATTCCCGAACCTTTCAGGCTGGCAGTTAGACAAAGTCATGTATGTTTCTGTGCAAAATTGTACTCTGCCAGACCCTCGTGCTTTAACAGAACTAACAGAAAGTGGTTGTAAAACAGGCTGCACGGGGCGGTGCAGTTTCTGGAATAGTGGTCGACTTTGTACACCGGAAGTCAATGAAAACTACTTCCAATCGTTTTAAGTGTATCATAGATGGTAGAGTCGGCATGATGAAAAAACACGAAAATGGATTTCAGATCATGAAAATTCAACCATTATTGGCGGAGATAGCCATGTCCTCGTTTAGAGTGGTCCCGATTTCAAAAATGCCCCTCCCAGAGGGGCCAAGCGGTCGGAAAATTTGAACCCCAACATTTGTGGTTAGATTGGTACCTAATCAACCCAAAACAACAAAAAAAATAATTCAATTTTAGCACACAAATCCTACGGGTAAACTGTTTTGATGACATGTCATACCACACTAATAAGAGGAACCCATACGATTATGATTTAAGTTGATTCTTTGGTTTGGACGTGATTAAATCATTTACTGAAATTATCCTTAATGTATCGTTCAATTGAATTTTTTAGTACGAAATTGCTAAAAACTGAACAGAAATAAAATGAAATGGAGTTTAAGATCAAAGTGGCATTTGATTGACCTAAATTCAACTTTGTACATGTGTATGCTGATTAGTGATCAAAATAGTTATATTTAACTGATGCATTTTCTTTCATTAAAGATATTTCTAGACCCAATCAGCATCTATCTACCATTTGTTAGAATATAGAAACAGGTTCACCATTATTGTTGTCCATTTCAATTCTTACAGATGATATGCTGAATTATTTAACATATATGTACATGCATCCTGCTGATCAAGCGTTACCACAACCAGATGAAGTTCTGATTTGCACTAAAGATACAAAATATGATGAGGTTTGTTTAGTTTTATAGTTTTAGACATTCTTTCATACAGACTGTGTTTACTTCTTACTTTGCATGTATTGAAAATTTTCATCAATATGGTCGTAAGAGTCATAAAAGTTACACATATTAAACCCGGTTTACGTCAATATGTTCGTTAAATTTAGAAGTCATAAGAGATATTGAACTCGGTTTACGCCAGGTTATGTCATTGTACCTTTCCATACTATCAATCCCCTTGTGAAATTGAATTTTTGATTCGCTCAAATTGACATTTCTTGTGAAGCCCTCACGACAAATGTCATCATCCAGTCGAGATTAGTGTTAATGAAGTTTAGCTCCTGCTCATGTTGTAAACGTTTTGACAGCAAATATCAGCACCATCTGGTCTACTGTGTATTTTTGGTCGTTTACTGCAACGCATAGGTCTTATCTGTTTTACCCTTGATAATGCCATATAATCTAATGCTCCAAAGATATGAGATTTTGTATTTTTTGTTCTTCAACATTTCAGTATCATGTCATATAACTGTCTCGCTACAGTTTTTGACGAATTTATTTTAAATTTTAAACGTACCGTCGTGATGTTAAACCACCCTTTTACGAAAACATTGTACGTTTGATAGAGGCATTAATTTAAAAGGGATATTGATATGTCCACACTTTAAAGTTATCACGTTATTTCGTTACATATTTCAATCAGTTCAACAATTGTTTTTGACGGCCATAGATGCTACTGTTCAGTTCATAACGGAATATTTTCACATTTGTTGTGAAGCATTTTGTTCACGAGTGGACACTCCCTATCGATATTCAGCGTTTCGTGACCTTCCTTGACAGATTTGTCCCACCTGCTGAAAATCTTGATATCAGCCGTTATATTTAGAAAGCACAACCAGCAAGAAATACCGGCATATGAAAGGTTTAGAAAACTTGACACTGATGCACCAATAATAAATTTATAGTGTAGTTGTCAACTATTAATTATATTGACCTCCGACCCAGCCGACACTTTACATTTATTTGCTGGTTTTCATAAGGTGGAACCTTCTATTCTTTAACGTAGATTTAATTAAAATATCGATAGTTGTGGTTTTACGCTGAATCTTTTGCAAAGCTATCTTGTTGGGAGTTCTATTCGATAAATTTAAGACAAGCGCTGTCGAAATTATACTCCATGCTGAAGATAATTAGTTATGCTGAAGGCTTTCACCATACCAAAACCTCATGCTTTGTGGACTTAACTCCACGCCTTTTACAGACACAACTAAGATATTCACACGTTCTTACGTATGAACATTACAATAGGAGAATGGAAATCTGGAATCTCCTTAAGGATTTTCTTGACATTTTGTGTGAGGCATTAGGAGCATTGAACACTATCGATATTCAGCACTCCACGACCGTTAATTCCGGAGTGACTACTCTTTTGCAGACGTGCGAGGATTATGCCCACTACCCGGCCCGTCGACCCGTTCGCCTACAATTGGCCTGTGAACTAGAGAGGTCATTGTTGTGCTAAAATTCGCCGTGAAGCATTGGGGGCATGTGCGTTGGAACATATTGCTATTCAGCTTTCCACGACCTTCCTTTCGAGACTTATACTCTCTTTTGTCCAAATATAGGGAAAGCGATAGATTTTCGTAAAAATAAAAAAAAGAATAAAACTTTTGTTGGAAGCTTTAGGACTTTGCGAGTATTAAGTCTAATGATTTTCAAATAAGGTTTAAAGCCTCGGGATTTGTGAGGATGAACCCTGTTGCTTTTAGCATGTTAGGACTTCCGGTTCTTATTATTATGTGTCCGATAAAGCTTTTAAACCCGATTAAATTTGATCAACATCCATGTCTTCCATTGAGATAAGCTGCTGTCTTTGACTATATTTTTATCGAGACAATGAAGCTGTGTGAGCGTATTATTGCGTTGCTGTCGTCTACTACCTTATATTAAGATTACAAAACACTATATGAACTGTATTACTTTTTTGGCTGCAGTATGTTCCATTACATAACAAACTATTTGGTTTTCAGGTTAACATTTTTCTGAGAAGAGCCTTTTATAATTCAGTTGATAAGCTGTATTGTTTAGCATTTGCAGATTTTCTGGAGTATAGAATTGCTGAAAAAGTTGAGAAGAAGCTACTGAAATGTTCAGAAGAAAATAAAGGTACAGGAACGTTTCTCTATGATAAATTATTACAAATGATGGAAGTATTTTATTCACAAAAAAATGTAATCTAATTTAAATATAATTTAATGGTGTGGCCCATGATCGCATACAAAATATATTGTGAAACTCTAGAATCTTAAATTATCATCCGATTATCAATTAATTACTTTCAGAATTATCGCTCCTGACGATTGAATTGTTGTTTTAAAAACATGAGCGATTTTCAGTTAGTTGGTTGATTGACCTTATAACTGTTAAAGTAACCTTTAAAACAGGTACTCTTTATAGGTTGCTCGGATAATGATGCTAAGACCTATTGATTTAATTACGTTCAGACGTATGCCCCATGATCGCCTACACAATATATTGTGGAAACTCTAGAAGTTAAATTTTCACCCGCCTACACAATATATTGTGGAAACTCTAGAAGTTAAATTATCACCCGATTCAGAATTATCGTCGCTGATGATTAACCTGCTGGTTAAAAAACATTAGCGATTTCCAACTATTTCTTAAATGTTGTGCTACTTCTGATATTTAGTCTTATATTCCGGAGCTACGGTGGCTCAGTAAGTAAGATGTTGGCCTGCTAACCTGGAGGTCCCATTGGCCGAGAACGTTCATAAGGAATTTCCGGTCAGTGGTGCAGGATGGGGGACCTCGCAAGGGACAACGTATAGTCGTTCAGATGAGGCGCGAACCCGACATCCCGTGTACACATTGGCGTGGACGTGAAAGAACTCTTAGCAGTCGGAATTCGATATAAGAGTAGGCCATAGCGCCGCTGTTCTGGCACACTGTATGGCATATGCCGGTCTTCATTATCCCGGTTGAAACAGAACAGTAGGAGTTAAACCCCATTTCATTTCCTTATATGTCCGTCTTTGCTATTTAAAATGTATTTTTATTTTATTAGATAACTTATTTAAACTGGTTATTTTCTGTACACAAGAAAATGAACTTAAAAAACGATTAGTTGGGGCTCTAGAGAAATACAGACGACCACTGCCTGCTCTGTGTACTCCCACGTTAATAGCAAATTATCTAACTGAACGACTGGTATGTCAAGATGAAACGTCAGCCTGTGCTGTAGACTTTTCAAGGTAACAATATTCTTAGACCTAAACTTTCTATGGCACCGCTACATGTAATGTTTTTGACTAATCTGTTATATACTGCTTTCAATAAGTTATTATGGAGTAAACTGATCAAGTATTATTCCTCACCATCACAATCAGCATGTGTATACCAATAAGATATTGAAATTATCAGTTGCATTAACTTGAATTCCTTTGAGTAGGTGTCCTACTATAGGTTAATGTATCATTATAAGTTTTTTCTGAGGTGTTGAGTACAGGAAAAATTCTTTCCACTTTTCGGACGGTTCTCAAAGTGCAACAATTATTATTGTTAAATACCTGTAAGCTTATAAATCACATATTTTCTAACTTCCAGTGAAATTCGTTACGGCGTATAAATTGAAAAGAAATATTGTTTTTATTTTTTTTTTCAGATCATCTGTGAGGGTCATTCAATCTCGAAGAAGTGGTGTTGGTAAATCACTATATGTGAGGAGATTAGTGGAGAAACTTAGAAAACGGCATCCAACGAAAGAAGATGTCAGTCTTACTATACGCTTATATGAGAAAGACGTTGATATTTCACATATAGTAGACATGCTGATGACCCGTCAACATTCACCAGGAAAAACAAATCCTGTTATATTCCATTTAGATATATCATCTGAGGTAAATGTATATACCTGACGTGCTTCCATTATTGCATTTGGTTGTTACACATGTCTTAACAAGGAAGTTTATTTAAACAACACTCTGCATATAACCTTCCTTTGAACTAAGGTGTAAGTGTTGCTGTCGATCCGTCTGTGTGTTTGTCACTTGAAACACAATAACTACTCTGCTTCCAATTGAGGTAGAATGTTCACACCTGGCGTAGATGTGCAATATGTTAATTTTCTTCTTGCTAAGATTCCAGGAGAGTATATGCAAGAATTAAATTGCCATTCCAGAAACTTTGTTAACGCCATATAACTTTCTAACGGATTCTTGTCTTTTCGAATTTGATGGGAAGCATTGTGGACACGTGAGGATGGAACCTATCGATGTTGTACGACTTCCCGTTCCAGAGTTGTAAGCATTGGGGTTATGAGAGAATGAACCTTTTCGATTGTTAGTTTTCTGCAATTTTCCGTTCTGGAGTAATACCCCCTTTGCCAAAAATACTCCTTGCGAAACAACAAAGTTTTTAACAGCTTTTTTTTAAAACTTTAATGGGCAGCATCGTGGTCTAAAAGACGAACCCTATCGATATTCAATGTTCTGCGACTTCCCCGTTCAGAGTTACCCCTTTTTGTCGAAAGTCTTACAATTTGATGTGAAACACTGTTGCCATGAGAGGACAAACCCTATTGTGCCATGACTTTCCGTAACGGAGTTATAACAACTTTCTGGAAATATTATAAGCGCATAGAGGCTACAATTCTTAACGGAGTTCTTTCAATTTTAGTGGAAATCTTGGGATCATGAGAAGATGGACATTAGCGATATTAAGTGATCTTTGGCTTGAGGCTATATTTTTTAACAGATCTCTTGACAATTTGTTGTGAAGCATCGGGGTCATGAGAAGATGCCCTCTTTCCCGACGAATCTGTTGCACGTGGTAATGCCTATAGTTTATAATGGATCTTTTTCATATTTGGTGCATTGATATTCATAACCCACAGCCTTCCGTTCCAGGCTTATCTCCCGTTTGCTAAAAACTTTGTGCACGCAATATAGGCTGTAGGTGTTAACAAATGATTTTTGTTTTAAATCCGGTTGGAAACAATCGGGTCATATGAGAATGGGGTTCAAGATTAGATTTCTTTAATGATTCTAGATCTCTATCACATTTGCTCAACATCCATGTTTTTTTTCGGATTAGTCGAAAGCTGCTTTAATTGTGGGCGTACTCGACGAATTGTGTGGCTATTGTTTTAAAGATGGTCTTTGCTTCTAGGTTTTAAATGGTGTTGATTTTCTACTGTATAATCTGTTAATACTTGGTTGCATCAAGGATAAAGATGGACATGTGTGGACCAAATCACCTTCCGATTTATATGTAATTGAAAATATACCTTCTAGATACAATCTAGCGGATTCAAAGGTATGGTAAAACACACACATTTTAACGACGCCATGTTGCTGATTTTAAATATTTGTAAATCAATTAAATAAAAGTAATTACTTTGAAAATGCTGTTGCAAATTTACTGACAATCTAAACTTATGTAGATGAATATTTTGGTTTCGTTAAAAAAATGACGTGTTGGGTATCTGTCTATGTATAAAATGTTAGGTTCCCAGACGACAGCCAATGTTGGAAAAATACCGATTTCATGTTCATCCTTGGACAGTTTAATAAAAACCCGATTTCGCATTTTACTTTGACCGAAATCGAAGAGGTTTGGCTGCTATGAAGTCAGTGACAAGGAAATAGTTGATTCTGCTATTGTGCACAGAAAAAATAAATTCAAATGTATGTAAATGGTTTCAGATAAGGAAGTCAGTTCACCAGATATTTGGTATATTGCCTAAGGTTAACTGTTGGTCACCCCTCGATACACTGGTCATTTTACAAGGACATAAATTCAGAGGTATTTACCTATATATATTTTTTATAATGGGTTTTAAACCTGGTGAGATGTAAAGGACAATGCAGTAGTCAGTATATTAGGTGGTTTACGTGAATGTATTACACTTTTGCTGTTAGATACTTTAGACTGGTATAATGACACTACCATTTATAAATACAGGAAAGTAAAAACACCACCATGGTCATTTATATCTCTTTATTGGTAATTCTAAATTATCAGTTAGCGTTTGTTCCCCTATTGATTAGTTTGTAGAGTTGCATGAAATAATATTGTTGCAGTCCTATATTTTGAAGATATCTTGTTTTATCATTTGACTGAATGTACTTTTAATTATATTAAAGATTATCGTGATGGGGACAGCTTGTTTGATGAAATTGAATTTAAGAGTGAAGTATTTCAAAGACCTTTTCAATGTTTATTAAAACTTGCAAAAAGAGAAAGTTTGAACTCCATAAATGTAAATGAACCGGAAGGAACCCCAAAGGAATGTTTGAATATACTTCTAAGGTAGAGTTAATGTGTATCTTGTATGAAATAGTTTTGTTTGCAGGCTTATTAAAAATTAAATTAGTATTTGCAAAAGGTGTCTCCAATGTAGTTAGTTGTTACTAGCAGGATACCCGGCTTCGCTCGGGGGTCATAACTCCGAAACCATAAGTGGTAGACTAACGCCACCTGGCCTATGTTACTCCCCGGTCCGAGCTACCCCTATACCCCAAATTTCAGACTCGGGGCAGACCTAGTGTAGCCGCCAACCCCGAACAGACCGGCTTCGCTCGGGGGTCATAACTCCGAAACCGGAAGAGGTAGACTAACGCCACCTGGCCTATGTTACTCCCTGGTCCGAGCTACCCCTATACCCCAAATTTCAGACTCGGGGCAGACCTAGTGTAGCCGCCAACCCCGAACAGACCGGCTTCGCTCGGGGGTCATAACTCCGAAACCGGAAGAGGTAGACTAACGTCACCTGGCCTATGTTACTCCCTGGTCCGAGCTACCCCTATACCCCAAATTTCAGACTCGGGGCAGACCTAGTGTAGCCGCCAACCCCGAACAGACCGGCTTCGCTCGGGGGTCATAACTCCGAAACCGGAAGTGGTAGACTAACGCCACCTGGCCTATGTTACTCCCCGGTCCGAGCTACCCCTATACCCCAAATTTCAGACTCGGGGCAGACCTAGTGTAGCCGCCAACCCCGAACAGACAGACTGACAGATACCCGGCTTCGATCGGGGGTCATAACTCCGAAACCGGAAGTGGTAGACTAACGCCACCTGGCGTATGTTACTCCCCGGTCCGAGCTACCCCTATACCCCAAATTTCAGACTCGGGGCAGACCTAGTGTAGCCGCCAACCCCGAACAGACCGGCTTCGCTCGGGGGTCATAACTCCGAAACCGGAAGTCGTAGACTAACGCCACCTGGCCTATGTTACTCCCCGGTCCGAGCTACCCCTTTACCCCAAATTTCAGACTCAGGGCAGACCTAGTGTAGCCGCCAACCCCGAACAGACAGACAGTCAGACAGACAGACAGACAAACGACAGTCACAAATATATATATAGATAGATAGATTATGTAAATGTTTGTGTATGCAATTTGCAGATTTTTGACTATTCTCAATCTTACTATATTTTATACTTCAGACATTGTGGTATACAAGATCCGTCCTGGGCTGAACTTCATTATTTTGTGATGTTTCTGAACACACAGTTAAAAGACTTTGAAACATCAAGTTTTTGTAGTCCAGCTGCAGCTCGTGATCTGCCGGGATTTTCCCAATTTGTTCTACAGTTCTCCATCGAAATGTCAAAGGTTTTACTTTCTTTTAATATAGTTAACATTTTAATACATTATTTTTAAAATGATATATTGTAAACATAAGCATGTTTAAGCACACAGTAAAAGAAAATGCATAAGTTCATTGCAACAGCCTGGAATATCAATAAATCGAGAACACAAAAAACATTGGCCAAATAGGACTTATGTTAAACGTTGAGTTCTGTAAGGAGTGTTGAGATAGTTCTACCCTCGGGATGGTTCACTCCAGTTCACTCTGGAACTGTTCAGGCTTTTCTAGAACCCCACCCAGAACCTTCTTATTATTTCGAAACACTGTTTCTAGAAGTTTCCTTGGCTTCTAGAAATTTCAAAATGATTCAAAAAATTCCTATGGTTTCGAAACTTTCTAAAGGGAGACTCTTGAAAGTTCAATCGCAGAACATGCCAATGAACGATATATTTTGATGAGTTATCGTGATCACATAACAAGGTCATATACAATAAACATTAGTCTTGGTATAAAGCATATTGGTCCAAATATTGTTCAAGTATTTTTACTGAACAGATTTTCAACCCTTATTTTGTTTATTTTAAAAAAGAAACATTACTGGCCTTTAGGCGCGTTGAGGCTTTATGGGTATTATGTTTACTGGTAGTCACCAAATCCATCCATCATGTTTAATATTTAAACGCCCACATTTTCATGTGCATGTTTAGATCTTTGTTCTTTTTGATATTGTCGCATATCGGACTATAACATATTGGATTATGGTCCCTAATTGTACGAAAATCGCTGTTTAGGTTGTTCTCTGTGTATCCCGTGCAAAATGTGTCCGTATCTTGCATGACAACCGCTTGTGAATTAATAAAATGAACTCTATGTTTACACTGAAATATTATTATATATTGTTGACACCCACGGCAGTCCGTTCGTTCGTAGTCCACATCTGCGAGTTCGTTCTTAGTCCGCATTTGCCTGGGGAAGCCCCACCCGACTGACTTACACAAAGGAAAGATATTGATTATCAACGATTTCCAATAATTACTAATGAATTAATGACCCTTTGAAAAACTTTATGGACTTATGTCTTCACTTGTAGTCTTATTTCGACATTTGTACTCTAAAATCGATATTTGTATTTTAAAGTCGATATTTTAAAATCGATATTTGTATTTTAAAATCGATATTTGTATTTTAAAATCGATATTTGTTTTACAAATCAAACATTTTTAAATTATATCTTTGATTAATATAATTGCATTTTAATATAAAGGTAAAATTTATTTAAGAAAATCATAAATTACATTGCCATTTCATTAGAAACTACGAAACATACAACGAAAAGAATATCTGGAATAAAAAAATTCTAAATGCAAATCTCAGAATAGCAATCCGGCAAAACTATTCTCAAAAACATTTCTCAAAATTCATCTAACCTGAATGTTATGATGACAGAAGACACTGTCAAATGCCGAAATCAAACTGATATACAATAAGTCACCTAAAATCATACAATACAAATAATAATGATAAGAATTGACCTCAGCTATTCGAATATTTAGGTCAAATTTGTAAATTTTGAAAATTAAGAAAAAATATTTTTTTTCCAAACATTTTTGTCTGCACAAAAAACGTCAAATTGGATCATCAGAATACATATACATATATGTTTAATAATTCAGCATATCATCTGTAAGAATTGAAATGAACAACAATAATGGCGCACCTGTTTCTATATTCTAACAAATGGTAGATAGATGCTGATTGCGAGAATTGTCAGATATCCTCTCGCAGTCTCACACAACAACTTTTGGTCTTCGAAGGAATTATTAGTGAGCAGAAATTCGGCCGTATATCTGTTATCACTCGTCACTTCCGTCAGTTATATAGAGGGATAACTCATGTTTTCCTTTGGCGTTCGTCACTTCCGATTCATGACACCTGTATTACTCATCTATCGTAGCAAGCAATGATCTCTGTGTTAAAATTATATTTGGAACATGTTTAACCAGTTCTACCACATATGTGATAATGACTGACACCAATAGTGTCCTTTAATTTACCCTAATTATCCTAATTATATGGTAAGCCGACGTATTGCATGCTGACTTGTTGTATGTCAGGTTGATTTTGGCCTTTGACAGCTCTGTGGTCATAATAGTCAGTTTAGATGAATTTGGAGAAATGTTTTTTAACAATTGTTTTGCACGAGTTGTATTTGGAGATTTATATTTGGACGTTTGTTGTTCGAGATTGTTTTCCGTTGTATGTTTCCGGTGAAATGTTATTGTTTGATTTCCTGAAATATATGTTATCTTAATATTAATGTGATCATCAATGTTAATTGTAGCACACGAATGTTAATTTAAGTATAGCTACAAATGTCGAAATGCCAGAACAAATGCAGAAATGCGAATTAATTAAGAACTAAGAATGCTTCTTAAAAAAACATGGATTAAAGAGCTAATTGTTCTTTCACACTTTTGGAATATATACACGAGTCGGTTTTACATTACTTTTTAACAGGATTTTGCCACAAGATCACTTTACATGAGTGAAGAAACTCCACTAACAAATAAGACTAATACAGATGGAACATTAACGAATGGGGCTGATACAGATGAAACAGCTGGCTTAACCCAGTTCCAGTTAAAACGACGCTGGGAATCAAGGTATGGCATGTCCACAATTTTGTCTTCAAAATGTTAAACTGGTAATGTTGGAATGCAGTTTCTTCCTTGATTGTGTTGGATATCTGGTTGAAGTACGTAAGTACCATGATAAAACAAAATCATGAACCGAAAAAAACTTTTTGGAGGCTTTTTCCAACTTGCCAGATGTAATATCTGCAAGATAATAAGTTTGGTAAATATATAATTTTTTTACATCGGTAACAGAACATGAAACAGGAACATTAATACAGGACCATAGACAAGAACATAAACACGGTGCATTACTACTTTAAGACAACCATTTCGTCCCTCTGACAAAGCAGCGACTGCTCTCGGTTGAGTCCATAAGCTCGTCTCTGCACTTCTCAACCAAGTCCCTGTTTTCTTCTCAATTCGCCTCTCAATAAGTCGCTCAACAATATACAGGAAATACTGGGCGTTATATACTTTCAAACGGAGAGGGGGAGGGGGTGACTGGGTAGAAACATCTCATCATTATATATGCAGTTTTATATATAGCACATTATCGTATGGAATTTGCTGACTATTAATTCCATGTGTGAAACTATCCTGGTTACGAAGATTTAGCATGTCATATCCGAGAATTCAAAATTGAGATCGACAGCTAAATGTACATTCAATTCCAAATTTAAATTTCACCTCTTACCATGATATGTCTTAATTGTCGCTTATAACACATACTTTGAACTTATTCTCTTTTTACTTTTTTACTAAACAACACGAAAGTCTGGAAACATTTGCAGCTACCATTGCATTAGCTACCCGCTAAATTGCAAGGCACACTGTTTCATTTTAAATTGTCACCTAAAACCTTATACCGACCCACACGCTATCTCGCGAATTTAAAAGGGACCATTTCCCTAAACGTAAACGCGATGGCCGCGAATTACACGGGTTTATACCCTAACCGTACTTAGTTAAACACAAATACATACACATCACTTAAACAGCACAGTTACATTACATTACAATGATGTACAAACCTCAAGTTTTCAACTCCAAGAAAAGACGTCGATAAACGTAATGATGACCTACTTTGACCGGAAACATCATTTATTTTCCTTTACCTTAGTTGTTCGTTTCAGTTAAGGTTGTTTTCGTTTCATTTGTGTTTCTTAGTATTGTTTTCCTACGTTTATAGACGATTACCCTAAGTAACCTAAACCTTACTTTATTTCCTTATTTTAACTCCAATTTTTAACTCTTCTTAATTTAATTCGTTTCAGTTAAGGTTGTTTTCGTTTCATTTGTGTTTCTTAGTATTGTTTTCCTACGTTTATAGACGATTACCCTAAGTAACCTAAACCTTACTTTATTTCCTTATTTTAACTCCAATTTTTAACTCTTCTTAATTTAATTATATTAATATTTTAATATCCTTTTTAAACTTTTATTTTTAGATAATCCCTAAATTAAAGTTAAATGTATCCCTTGCTTTGTTTCTCTTTCCCTTGTCAGTTTACTAGGAAATATGTACCTACCTAATCATGAACATTGCTAAGATTTTGCTGCCAGTTAAGAGCTGTGACACTATACGTAAAACTTTTCCCGTGTCACAGCTTTTCGTGTCTTGAACTTCACGTTATGTACTTTTAAATAGATCAATTAAATTAAGTCTGGGAACACTGGGTTGGTATAATTATGTGCAGATATCTTTATAACATCAATAACACAAATGTTATAAACAGGAAACTACGAACATCGCTATACCGTTAAATACAAGCTTAAAAAAAGTTATCTAAGAATCCCGCATAATGTCCATATCCCGGCATCGAGCCGAGGAGGCTCGAGAATATCCTAGTGATGTCCGAATGATATCTGCATCCCGGCCTATAAGCCGATCATATGTCCAACTAGGAATGCTGTAGGATATTTTGTCTAAGAACCCGAATGGTATCTGTATCCCGGCCTCTATGCCGAGGCGGCTATTCATCCCTCTAGGAACGTCGAATGATGTCTTCTCTTGGAACATTGAATGATCTCAAAAGCAAATGTAATCGCGTTCTTTAATATATATATATATATATATATATATATATATATATATATATATATATGGACGCAATATTCAGGTAAATTGATCAAATTCAAAATCAACTTTGGCTTAAGTGCACTGGATTGTATGCAATCAGCTTATGTATTTTCTAAATTTGCCTGGAAGCGATGAATTTTCTACCACTGATGGTCTATTGGGCCACAGACATTCACTGGTGAAATGTGACACACAGACCTTCAGTGGCTGGTGGAATTGGCCTCAGACCTTCAGTGGAGACATTCAGTGGTAAAATATGCCACACTAGATCATCAGTGGTGGACAATTCTTCGCTTCCAGACAAAATTAGAAATTAAATAATTTGAGATATAAGCTGATTGCATATCATTCAGTGCACTAAGGTCAAAGGCAATTTTGAAAGTTAATCAATACGCCTAAACATTGCGTCCATAATTCAAATCAGGGTAAGTCCATATTTCCAAAATTGGACAGCCATCTATTGCCTATGTGTCATCACTTCTAGGCAAAAATAGAAAATAAATAATTTTAGGTATAGGCTGATGGCATATAATCCAGTGCATTAAGGCCAATGCTATTTTGGAAGTTGATCATTTCACCTATTTGCGACCTAGTGTTTTTTCTCGGTATTTAGTGATTTTTCTGTATTTAGGGGTTTTCTTCTTTTTTCCGGTAATCGGTATCTAAAAGGTTTGTTCGGTATTTTTCTACGTATGTTTTTAGAAACGTTTCAGTTTTGCTTCGGTATTTTTCGAATTTTTTCTGTATTTAGTACGGCCATTTGGGCACGATATAGGCTATAGTTTTTAAGAAAATGTAACTTTTTGAGTAAAGCATTGGACTCATGAGCGGATGCGCCCTGTCGCTATTCAGCGTTTTCGAATAAACTGCAGTTAAGGCAAAGCTGCTGTGTGGTCGTGTTCCACATACATCTTTTAAATTTTATTCCAATACAGTTGGATTAGTCAATATAAATTGAGAAATTTTTAATTAAATGTTTTGATGTCTCTTTTGTTCCAGTCCGCATCCATATATATTCTTTAATCCTGATCATCACTCCATGACCTTCCTAGGATTTAATATTGAGAGACATTCAGGAAATCTGATTGATCAACAGACAGGTCGTATTCTCAAAGCTAATCTGATGTCCAGAGATCTTTATCGCCGTTTATACCAGAATAGAGTCAACTTGAATGAAAATTTCAATGATTTGAAAAGGTGATTATTAGCTCATTAATTTATGAAAGATAGGGGATCAGCCCCTAGAATGTGTTGCTGGAAAATGTGTTGTGGTGGTTTCCCGTTGAGTTGATTGTAATGAATGATATCCTAAAAGTTTACCAAAGTACCAAAAAGTCTCAAATTTTGAGGGAAATGCTAAAGTTTTAGTCATTTTCCTTTTAAACAAACATAAATTCATCAATTTAAAAAACAAAAACAAATGTAAACAAGTAAACAGTGAGGCTGATGTCCCCCGCCGAAATCACCAAATAAATAGATGACACATATTAATAAATTGTACATTTATCTTTTCCAAAAGTGATCGACCAGTCAAACTGAAGTCTCTTCTTTGGCTAAGCAGAACATATTCAGCATCGGACATTTTTTAAGTGCGGTATTGATATATGAAACTATACACGACGTTTCACCACTATCACTTTATTAGAATCAAAGTTGTCGAGCTCCAAAATGTCGACAAATTAAATTGCTTGTCGCTCTGCTTACCCTGAGCCGAAAATGCGCATACGCAAACTTAGTCAAGGTATTGATGTTATACCAAGCTTCATCACTCTCACATAATTCGAACCAAAGTTATCAAGTCCCAAAGCATCAACAAATCAAATTAGTTATCTCTGCTTACCCTGAGCAGACAATGCTCATCTTTTAACTCCACCAAGTCGTCGACCTAATGAATATTCTACCTCAGAAGGGGAGTTATTGTGTTCCAAAGTCTCGACCAATCAAATTGCCTATTATCTGCTTACCCGGAGACTCGAGGTATTGATGTGACGAAGCTGTACCCCAAGTTCCTTCGAAAGGCGGGGGGGAATAACACTTTCCTATTGTTGACAGGGTCAATCTTTAATATGAATTGGTTTTCTTATTGTATGTCCGATGCTCCCTTACTCTTATTTCGGGCGCACCCCTAAACTTAAATCCTTTGACCTAAAACCCAAATCCTTTGACCTAAAACCCAAATCCTTTGACCTAAAACCCAAATCCTTTGACCTAAAACCCACATATTGGCCTAATGATGGGTTTAACTCTGCGATCGAAAACACAATAACTAATTTGATAATATACTCAGGAGTGTTAAATTGTCCCTTATGCTATTTTCGGTTTACTCCATCAAAAATTGGTATGTATAGGATATGAACCTACCATGTGTCTCAATCCGGGGAGAGAAGGTTTATATCGGATATATACAACGTCATAGTTTTAATCACTCTTAAATGTAATGGACTCTTCCATTAAAAGTCAACAATGACTGGATAATTGCCCGTTAGTTTCCACCAAATAACGAAAATGTCCGAAGTAATCACATAAATGTACGTGCATGTTATTGTTTACGCGTCGCCATTTTGGAGTAGCTATAGGTTCAATTGAGTTGAAAGCGAAAACAAAATGGATAGCAATACTTTATCAGACGAATAATCAATCCTTTTTAGTTAACAGATTGGCGATGGAATATATGTGAATGCAATTTCCGACGAGGATCTACCAAAAGGCTGAAGAAAATTTGGATCAAAAGGCAATCTTTTCCGATAATTGAGGGTTTTCCGTATGTTCAGAGAAGGATTTGGCCGACTGTGTTAAAGATACATTATGGGAGATTCGATAATGAGTTGGCAGTACTCACTATAATAGTTAAAGACTAGATAATGTAAAAATAATTTGCTGAAAATTTCATTCAAATTGATCCACTATGAACCGAGAACTAAGCGGTTGAAATTTCCGGCTACCCTTGTTCATCATTATTAAAGTCAGTACGATAAACAGCATAGTCTCGATTATTCATTTAATCGTTAAATCGCGAAGGAAAGCTGTGCAGTAAATCGACTCATAATCCACTAGAAATCGCAGGCAAGCGATGCCATCTAGAGTTGGTTATGGTCTGGATAGTTAATAATTTAGATAACATTTCAGGCCAAAAGAAATACCTGCAATAGATAGATTTAGCTCTTGCATAATGTATGTTTAAGTGGGCTGTACCCAAAAATACTTTACAAAGGAACACTTAGGCTATGCGTCTTGGATTGTGTGAAGAAATAATCGAAATGTGGACGAAAAGAAAATTCTGAAAGATATCTTAGACATGGATAACCGATCTAAATATGCCGATACGTATGACGTCTATTTCGATGCTGAATGCTACAAACTGTACCATAAAAAAATAATAGTCAAAAGAATAAAAATTGATTTCTGTGCGTTTGTATTATTTCGATATGAACCTGTCATGACGTCATCAGCCGTTGATATGAATCGAATATATCAACCTATAATTACGTCATAACAGATTTATATGAGATATAACTTCTATGCACATCAAAGAAAAATTGATTTCTGTGATCTTTGTATTATTTCGATTATCATTTGATATGAAGCGAATATAACAACCTGAGATGACGTCATGAAATATCAACCGAATATATCAACCTATGATGACGTCATGACAGGTTGATAGGTGATATAAATTCTATGGACATCAAAGAAAAAACTGCCACCAGTTGTATATATTTGAAGAAAAGACCATGTTCAATGCATGTGGCTACCTCTCTGTGTGGTGAATTGGAGTTACGGAGGAGTTACAATGTTGTAAAGGCAGAGCGCATGATATGTACGATATAGTGATAGCACATCCAGGATCCATGGCATTGGCAAATAATCGTTGTTCCATGAGATCCTGTAATAATATCAGTATTTGAAATGCAGACCATTTATAACGGACTATCACGTCATGTCTGCCATGTAAATGTTCATAGTTGAGAATGATTACGGTGCTTTAGAAGCATCTTCCTCGATGGTCCCCAAAGGAACTGTAAAAAGGAGCTATCATGATATTTTCAGGGTGGTTTACAATAGCAAAAATATGACCACCATAGAATACATAAACAGTGCAAATTGTAATGTCAGGTGTAATTGTTATTTTCTAGTACTAATATATGACGTCATACTACTTTGTTTGGGTTCATTTGACTTTTTGATACTGCATTGGTATTCCTTTATGTTCATTATACAGAGTGTTAAACCAACCGTTAGGATTTCCTTGTACATTCAAAAGGCCGATGTCGGCCATCTTGCATCTTACCAATTTTTATGCGCCCATATTATATGTCGTCACTCTGTATGTCGATCCGTTGTCCGTCCACAATGTGCGTGTTGCGAACGCGACAGAGGCTAGATCCAACTTCGTGGGTTTTCTCCGGGTCCTCCAGTTTCCTCCCACTGCTGAAGACCGTGACGCGCAAGCGAATTATTGAAATAAAATTGAACCATATGTTAGTCCCGAAATGACCGTGACGCGCAAGCGAATTATTGAAATAAAATTGAACCATATGTTAGTCGCGAAATGACATAGTTTTTTGTCGAGTGGACGTTTTCCCGAAAACCTTGTAAACGCTGTATAGTCTACAGTTTTGCACAGATTGTTTTCAAATTTTGTAAGAAAGAAGCATTTTGGCCATGAGCGGACAAACCCTTTCTGTAGTTTTTTTTGGCGGGAAACATTGTAGTCAGGAGAGGACGAATTCTGTGGATATTTGGTGCTCTGGGGACTCACTGTTCCGTGGCCCCTCCCCTTCTGAATACTATGTGAACGCAATGGAGGGATTATTTTCGCGAGAGGATGAACCATGCCAATATTCAGCGACTTTCCGTACCCTAGAAAAATGCGATAAAGGTTGTAGTTTTAAATGGATTGCATATTTGGCTTAATGCGTTATGTTTTGGGACGCCTGCAAAAGATTATAGTTTGCATTCATTACTTCCGGTTACTGTCAAGATGCTGGAAAGCAATTATGTTTTCGTTGGGTGCTCCGCTTGCCACACGAGAAACCGTGGTCTTTCATTTCATCGACTGTCAATAAACAACCCAGAGTTGAAGATAATAAAATCCACTAGGGAGGATCCAGTCAACGGCAACAGATTCCCTATTTGCTCATTCAACTACAGGTAAATAGAGCAATTACGCTATACTACAATATATTATAGGCCTAAATGTAAACAAAAAACAATCGGAATTAACGGATGCTTAAAATCGGAGTACATTGTATTTATTTTATTTTAAATTTCTAAAGTCTTGCTATTCTAAATTTGATATTCGTGGAAACAAAAACAAAATATCATTTTACATTTGATATAAATTATGAAACTGACACTAAGCTAATAGTTCCGAGGGCAAAGGCTACCCAGCAATTCCCTAAGCAGAATTAAGTGGAATTTTGTTTTTGTATGTTATTTCTTTGTGAGAAGATTTACGTGGTAAACATAAAAACAACAAATATCAGATTGGTTTCATTTACGGAATGGATTTATACATAAATTAGGACCTTGTTTGGGTAAAATTAAAAGAGCCGTCAAGTGAATAATTATAGTTGAAGGGGGCCTTAAAAAAACCTTTGCAATGTCTTGTTTTAATTCCAACTACCTCACATTCCTGAAGCCATGGCCCGAGAATACCTCTCTCTGGCCATTGCTGGATTAGCGTCTGATACTTGCGTTTTTGAGGGAGTGTGTCTATCCTCCCGTTCAATCAAATCTATCCCAAGTACAGCAACATGACAGCCCTTCTTTAATGCGGGATCTTCCCTAAAACTTTGGACAGTGATTTAAGGTATTAAAAACGGTGAAAGCGTTATTCGTCTCAAAACAGTGTTTTTTACATTATATCTGTGTTGATAGCCTCGTTTGTCACACAATAAGTTTTTCTGCAATATTCTGCCTTGCACTGGTAAATTGGGGATTAGCTCAAATCAAACGAAACACTGTGAGGAGTATGAACTCGCTGAACTTAGTGGTGCAACGACTTTCTTGGCATGGAGTTTGATTTCAATATAAACCCATCTGTATTTTATGCATAACTTATAACCAAAACTGCAGGTATAAAAAATAGTTGTAGACACAGACATCACTGAAGAAAAAACATATTATGTTCAAACATACTAATCTATGTATTTTTTTTTTAAATTTCAGACCACCAATACAGAAGCCACTGTATTTACTTTTATGAAAAACTTCTTGTGATGTCCACAATGAGTTTTAAACCAATAAATTTATAACATGGAAAACTGACAATAAAATATAATGATTAAATAACCAGTGATTGATTCATAACTAAATCCCAATTTTGAAACCGTTGTTTACTTTGAATGAAAAGCAGGCTAGTTATGTTATTGCCTGAATGACTTTGAAACACATATTTCTTGAAGGATTGGAATATCCTTACGGTAACTCTAAACTGTACATTAACCAATTATTTCTATAACCTTTTTTTTAGATTGGATCGAATATCCAAATTATGTTCTGTAATGGGAATAGATGCATGTTCAGATCCTGATTTTGATCCTGATCCTTCCTATGAGCTGACACCAGACAATGCAAAGAAAATACTAGCTATATATATGAGATTCAGGTATAGTACCCCCCACCCCCGCCCCCGCCCCAGCCCCATGTTTATATGACGGCAACACTTTATTTATAAGAACACTACAGGTCGGATTTCGTTGTATTTCTATCTTGCTGAGATTGTTTAACTAGCATATTCCTGCATTAAATTTATAGGCGCCATATATTATTCCCGGAACTTTCGAGTCTGCTCGGAGGGAGGGGGGGTGGTAACGTGTGCGCGCTGTATCATAATGTCAGTCATTGAGTCAACTTGCATGGCTTCGATTCCCCGGTTGTACGTGACAAGGAGTTGGGTCGCCTGTCCAACCTCATGGGTTTTCTCCGGGTCATCCGGTTTCCTCCCATTGCTAAAGAACCCTACACGCAAGCGAATTATTGAAATGAAATTGAACCATATGTTAGTCCCGAAATGCCATAGTTTATGTCGAGTGGACGTTAAACCCCATCTCTCGCTCTCGCCAGTATGGATTCTGAGCATTTCACAACAGTATTCCAAATTTATTGACCCTGATTGATACGATACTCACACTAACGATTATAGTAGGAACAGTTTGTGGACCTTAACTGATTTTGAAAATTTTCTACTGTACCGTCGTCGTACCAACTCAACAGGGTAAGATTCCAACACGATTTTACAATAAACCTTAATTTTCCAGTATGCTGAAACTAAAATAAAACAATGTAAAACTGTATAATATTTTACGCAATATTTTCATTGTATAGATGTAACATACCTGTTATTATAATGGGAGAAACTGGATGTGGTAAAACCAGATTAATAAAGTTTATGTGTGATTTACAACGACCAGTAGGTACAGAGATACGTAATATGATACTCATGAAGGTAAGTGGACTCCGTATTAATCGTAATCATTATTATATATGTTGAAGGATAATGTTATTTAATGTTATTTTGAATCAAAGATCCGAGCCCGGGATTTAATACAGAATGTTACAGAATTGAAATATTATTAGGAGTTCTTGCCATATATAAGTACATGTATAATGATTAGCCTGATCTAAAGAAAATTTTATACGCCCATATTTTCATTCGTCAGTCCGTTCACATTGTTTGTCGATCCTTTACAGAAGACAATAGTTATCCGATTTTGACGTATATTAAGATATAGCTTTATAACTCGGTTCGTTTCGATGAAATGAAATGGGGTTTAGCGTCCCCATTTCTTCTTCGACTGGGCTAGGAGATAATTTTTGCCCGGATAGCGGGCAAGGGACCTTTTACATGCAAGCCAATGGCAACCCACTGGAACAGCTATACGTTGTCCTGCATCACTTACAAGGAGGGGGGGCACGGCAAAGTCGGCCCCTGATTGTAAAAACAGCCTCGTTGTTAGCTTGTTGACACATTAGCAGTCATTATAGTTATCCGATTTTAATGAAGCTGAATCGACTGTAACTTCCTTGATTATGACCCCTGACCGATAGCACGAAAAATCGGGTTTTATGCTTGTTGACCCTCTCGAGATCACAATTTGTATTAGATTTTGAAAACCGTTCAAATATATCACTGTTCTACTGTAATAATGATTTGCTAAAAACGTCCGACAAAATGACCGCGCCATGTAAGCAAATGGTAGTGGTCCCTCCAGTGGTCACAATTTGTATCCGATTTTGATTGAACTTAAAATATATGGTTATATCCCAAAGAAGTTGGTTCCTTTCGATGTTATCGCATATGGGATCGTATGTTCCTGGGTTGTGTAAGAAAAATCACGCTTGTAGCTTATGCAACCTGTAGAGGTCACGATTTTTATATAATTTTTAAAATTTTCAATAATGTAACAGTTAAAACGTAATCGTGGTTGAGTTCGAATCTCGTGAAGATCGGACCGAAACTGTCTGACAAAATGGCCGATCTCTGCACGAAAATAAATAGTGTAAAACCAATTAAATAATGAATTAATCGCTCATCCAAGAATATCAGGGATACAAATGATCATTAGGAAGACAGAGTGTTACTTTCCTTAGCGAGATGAGTTGGTTGAGAGACATCTAAAGATATTCTATTTAAACTTATGCTGGATTTAAACGTACTCAAGAACAGTCTGTTTCTGAGTTACTGTGGAGATATATGGTACGTCATGTTCTGCGATATTATAAATCTCATTGATCTTTGAGGTATATTATATGCCCGAAATAACTTGCGGTCTGAAAGTTGGGGGAGGCTTTGGTGAATATATACACAACTTTATCCTACACAGCAAGTCCGTTACTACGTCTCATTATAAACACAACCTGAAATGAAACAAGAACTGGCGGCCGTGACAACGATCATTGCTTCCTATTTGTGTGTCGATTTGCAGACTGTGTAACACATGGTTTTGTTACAAGTTTTTATTTTTGTGACAAGGATAATAGGGCACAAACCTTTAGGAGATCGAATCTCGCAGTTTAGTATTGACGTTGCATGTTTGCCTTTACAGACCGCGTTATTTGTAATGATATATTGCTTTACTGGCCTTCGATTTTGTTATACTACAATTGTTGTTAAACACTGTAATGTTTCCATTGATTTTAGTTGTAGTATTGCAAAATTATCATCACCCACTTATACGATTTATATTGGTTGTCTATCTAATTGAAATGGAGAGTCATAATGATTTGCAATGATTTTAGATCATAACTTCCAAATGATTTGTTATGAATTCTATGTCCGGTCGGTCATTCTCATTTCTTGTAAGTATCCTTGGGGATGCAGTTTGTGTTTCCTTTTCGAAATGATATTAGTTTTCAACAAATCTTTGACAAATCTTTTCAACAAATCTTTACAACAAATCTTTACAACAAATCTTTTCAACAAATCTTGACAAATCTTGACGTTAATTTTAAATTGTTCCATTGAACTGTAAAGCGGCGTGATTTGGATTCCCAGATTGCACGTGACAAGACATAGGGTCGCCTTTCTAGCCTCTTGGATTCTCTCCGGGTTCTCCGCTTTCCTCCGCTTGTATGTTAGTCTCGAAATTATTTGGTATTTTTCGAGTGGACGTTTAACCCCATCTCTCACTATTTGATTATTTTGTTTGCCCGGAAACACAGTTATTTAAATAACCATTTATTTATATTAGATACATGGTGGAACTACATCTCAAAATATCACTGAGAAAGTCACAGAAGCAGCTGCACTTGCTAAAGAAAATTCTGAAGAATATGGCCAAGATTTCTACACTGTTTTATTCTTTGATGAGGCCAATACTACTGAAGCCATAGGATTAATAAAAGAAATCATGTGTGATGGTACGATGAATGGAGAAATGTTGAATGTGAATGGAAATCTAAAGATAGTAGCGGCTTGTAATCCTTACAGGAAGTAAATATATATTATCAGTCTTCAAAATGACTATATGACCGTTAATAATATTGGTATTGTTACATTTTGCTGTGCATGATACATCTAATTGTAAGGCTAGGTTCCCACTATCATAATTCGCGCTACGATTGAAATTGTTATAATTGTGGTGAACCTATCAAGTCATATCATATCCTCAATTCGGTGATGTCAGTCGTGTTGGTCGTAGAAAAGTCATTATTATTAATCGTGATCATCGTATCAGATAGTGCTTACAAATTGTGTGATCGGGATTAGCCTTGGACAATACAAACACCACACTCTGTAGAGATGCACTGCGATCTACATATTCCTGAAGCAATGGCCCGAGAAATCCCTCTCTGGCCATTGGTGGATTGGCTTCTGATACATGAGCTTTTGAAAGAGAGTATCTATTCTTCCCGTTCAATCAAATCTATCTCACGTACAGCAACATGACAGCCCTTCGTTTAAACCTGGTGACTTCTCTAAAACTTTGAACAGTAATATAAGGTATTAAAAACAGCGAAAGTATTGTTGTCGCCAACCAGATTGTTTACATTGTATTCGTTTTGATAGCCTCGTTTGTCACGCAGTTAGTTTCTCTGCAATATTCTGCTATGCACTGGTAATTGGGCGTAATAAAATCGTGAGTCATGATGTAACGTTATGTAAACATATTTGGAGCTCTGTTTAAAGTGTAATGATATTGCTACGTAGTTACCTATTGGCTGTTACTCGGTCCAATGACCAGTCATAATTTGGAACAGAAATTTGTTTCCATTACAGCAGTGTTAAGTGGGATTAGGTCTAATTAAAGAAAACTCTGCGAGGAGTATGTGTGATCTCACACAATCTGTGACGCTATGTAGAGTACCATTGCTTTACTACCCGACACGTATGACTCACGAACGTATACTAGTTGATACGAGTGAATTGCATTGGTTTTCTAAGAAAGGTAAATACTGATCACATGATCGTAGTTTGGCGTCGGCGGTATTACTTATCATCGTAGTCGACATTAGCCCCCTGACATGGCAGTTCCATGTTTGCAACCAAACACTCACTGCCGGCATTTCTCATTGCACACAATCGCACCCGACCACCAGATCAGAGCCCATGTTTATCCAGTCCATGCCTATATCTCATCCTTGTGTGTATTACAGTTGCAGTTGTTTACAAGAACTGCAACAGGTTAATATATCGTAGTATAAATATTGTGTTTGTTTTCAATCAATTTTAATTTCAGGCATACTAATGAAATGATAAAAAGGTTAGAAAACGCTGGTCTTGGATATCATGTAGATGCTGATGCAACACCTGACAAGTTAGGTAAGGAAGAAACAAGTAAATCCCTAAAGTTTAAACAATTCTTAGTGACCTTTTAAAGCCATTGCTAAGAGTTGATTTATGTAATGATACATTTGAATAATATGCCTACACTTCTAAATATTGGGGAGTTGAGTGGCCAAATGGTTAGCGCGTACGCGTTGTATCATAAGGTATGTCATTGAGTCAACTAGCGTGAATAAACCGGTTGTACTTGACAATTAGGAGTAGGGCCCCCTACGCGCAAGCGAATTATTGAAATAAAATTGAACCATTTAGTCCTGAAATGACCTAGTTTGTGTCGATTGGACGTTAGTCTCTCTCTGCCAAAAATAGTTATAACAGTTGGTATTTCATGTAACACATACATGTGTGTAGCCAATCACAACGTTTGTGACATATGCCCGGGATTGTACAACACAGTGCACTCTTTTGGTCAGTCCCCTCATATCCATTAACTTGATTTGGTATAATTGTGTGTCGTTTGTCTCCGTGTGTCTTGTCCGGGGGGGGGGGGGGGATTTGGGTTTAGTGCGGTCCTCCCCGCACTCACTGTAAGACTATAGCAGCCTTGTGTACCACATTGAGAGTTCCATTTTATCGGGTAACGTCAGTTTATGTTATTTGGTTATTGTCACTTGTTATAATTTATAAAGGACGTGTACCCATGAGAAGATTAGTCTACAGAGTACAACCTTTACCGTCCAGTATGTTACCACTTGTGTGGGATTTTGGTCAACTAAATGTACAAATTGAAGAACTATACATTCAGCAAATGGCTAAGCGGGCAGTAAGTTAAATTTAAACATTTCAAATTTCGATTATTTTTCAAAATCCAATATTAACATTATGAGATCATGTAAAAATAATAAAATGAAGCAAATTGCTGACAAAATAATTACATAAGGGTTCTGGTTTTATTAAACCCTGAAATTATACAAATAAAGTAATAAATCTCATGCACGGTCAAGCAATTCATTATATATATATATATATATATATATATATATATATATATATATATATATATATATATATATATATATATATTAACTATAAATCCTCTCTCAGTACTATTTATAATCAATTATAGTGAATCCACCAGGATCACATGAGATTCACACGTCTTTTGCTTATTTAGCTATTGTTCAATGCTTTACAAAAAGATATATGTCATCTATTTATTTTGGGGATGAGGCTGGGACGATTCAGTTTTACTTGATCCGTGATATTGAAAAATATCTGTTTTCTTAATTTTAATTTGAAAACAATCGAACAAGAATTTTAATTTGAAAACAATCGAACAAGAATTTATCTGACATTATTTATGCTATCTTGTTTTAAATATTTTTTGCAATTATTACTTCCAGATAGAGGAGCACAAACTGCCTAATATATATAAATTAGAAAACTCACTTAGTAAAGTATTAATTGCCTGTCAAGAATTTATGAGAAAGCAAACGGTAATATTACATTAATTTTAGATTTATATAAAACAAATAAAACTGTAAAACAATAAAAGCAAAATATCAACAGTTAAAAACTACTTTAGCCCATGCCACTTTGTATCTTACCTTGCATTTCATTTAAGACTTGATGATACTAGAATGGACAATATACCCATATCGCCTTCACCTTTAACAGCATTATTTTTGTTGTATTGGACTCTCCACCAGTTAATGGGACTGAAATTGCAAAAAGCATAAACAAAACGTCTGCTACTAAATGACATAGGCTCGATCCCATACCCACTCCTGTCTTAAAGTTGTGCCATGCTACAACCCTAACCATTATAACTGACAATTATAACTGTGAGTTTAAGGCGCTTTCCTTTTCCCATTGATCAATAGACCAAGCTTAGATTCGTTAGACAAAAATGGCAACAGTGTCTAACCTTTATTTTCTGGAGCGGTGATATCTAATCATATAACGACCATCCATGTATCTGAATTCAACCTTATTGTGGAATACCACAGAGAAATATTTATTAAGCGTCCACCACGACATTACCATGTGTCTGGATAATCGTAAATGCATTTTGCAAATGCTGCTGGATATGTCAGCCGCATTCTGATCATGCAATGAGGAACCCTATCGATAGTCAAAGTTATGCGACATTTCCCACCACAGTTAATCCACCTTTTTCTATCACAGTTATGCCTCCTTTTCCGAATACATTTTCAATGCTATAGGGGCTATATTTCTTAATAGATTGTATTCAAATTTAGTGGGAAGTATTGAGGTCATGAGCGCATGTGCCCTATTGATACTCACTTTTCTACGACTTTCCATTCCGAGTTACACCCCTTTTCCGAAAACCCCGTGAACGCGACTGGGGATACAGTAAAGCATAAGACACACTGTCATAGTTTGTATATTCTATGTTGATAGCTTTTCCCCAATTGCTGTCTCCAGTCTAAGTGCAGAAATTGTTGTTCAAATTTGGTCGTAAGCATTGGGGTCATTGGTGGATGCATTATACCGATTACCAGCTTTCCACGACTTTTCGTTCTAGGGTTATCCCATCTTTGCGAAATGTAAGCTACAATGTTTAACAGAATGGCTTGAAAACGCGAGAATCTTTTCAAAATTTGGTAAGAAGCTTTGTGGTCATTAAAGGACAGACCCGGAGTTTGTCGTAAAACTTGGTAGGAAGGTTTGGTGTCAGAAGAGGATGAACCCTATTGATTATAAGCGTTCGTTGCAAAGTTTTCCGCCATTCCCGTAAACATTGTGAACGCCAGAGAGACTAAAGCTTTTAACTGATTTCTTTCAAATTTGGTGGGAAGCATTGACGCCATGCAAGGGTGGATTCTGTCGATATAGTTCTTTAGACGCCCCACCCCCTTGTAAACGCGATAGGGGCAATAGTTTTTAACAAATCTTCGTAAAATTCGGCGTAAAGCATTGGCATCATGAGAGAATGCACTGTATCTCCGGTGTTATGCCTCCTTTTTCTAAAGATTCTTGTGAATATGATAAGTCTACAGTTTTAAATAGATCTTGTCCATATCTGGCTTGAGGTATTGGAGTAATCATTCCTTATCGATAATTGGTAGCCTTCCCCACCCTTCCCTATTGCCCAAAACCACGTGCACGCGACTTAGGCTATACTCTTTTTTACATTATTGTTTCAAATTTTGTTGGGAGCATTTTCTAATCGGGTTTAACACAGTGATATTGATTTATCGGCGATTTTACAAATATCTAAGAAAACGATTATATCATAATCACTGAAACGAGTACCACTCACGAAACTGATTTAAAACCATGTTCATTATGTATATGTAGATTTGGTTCAATATATATATATAATATATATATATATATATATATATATATATATATATATATATATATATATTTAACGTGTGTTATATTTTTCAGAATGAGTGTAGTTTTGTCAGTTTACGAGATGTGGAGCGAGTAATAATAGTTATGAGTTGGGTTCTTACTCAGGGTGATTTACTTCGTAATATTAGAATTAAACTTAAAAATGGTGAAGCTGAGGATGAAGATGGGGATAAGATGGTAAAATGATTAGTATTATCTCATACCTGTGTCGAACCTGTTAAAAAGTTAAAGCTACCACCATAGATATGAATATTATTTATCTTCATTTTGTGCCCACCACCATTATCGGCTTTTATAAACAGTGGTACAAGGCTAAATTTTTCACACTTAACTCGGATTTTTGGAAATGCATTGAAACGTATACAAGGGAGGTCCCGTGAACACATTGACATGCACCTAAAACTTATTTAAATTCTAGCTATTTCCGCTCTTCGTTGACACGTATTACTTTTATCCATTTTCGGATATTTTGTTATTTATAGTTAAAGTTGGCCCTTTTTTGTTGATCCAAATTATTTCCGTCTCTTTTCCGACATTTAATGTAATTATAGGTAGGGGAAGGCGGAGATGATGATGTCGAACTAAACCATACAGATGATGAAGATGATGAATCCAGTGATGTAAGTTGCGATGTTTAATGTTTAATTGTTTTTGTGTGGACGTATATTGTCGTCGCCCCTGTCCGATTGTGAACACTGTACAGGTCACAATTTTTATCCGATTTTGTCGAAACTTGAATAACTTGATGGATTATGCCCCCTGATTCTACGAAAAAAAACACTTTTTTTGATGGTAGAGTTTGAATTTCGTGAAAATTGGACCAAAACTGCCGGACAAATGGCCACCCTTCCTACTGCATAGTGTAAATATATGGTATATCAAGGTTGTGAACCCTCTAGAGGCCACAATTTTAATGAAACTTGAAATACATGTTTATAACCCAAATAACTTGGTTCCCTTCGATATTTCCGCATATCGGATCAAAACTTCCTGAATAACGGTCCTTGATTGTAAATAAAAATCACGTTTTTTTTATCCGATTTAAAAAAACGTTTGAATATATCACCGTTACACCCTAATGATTGATGGTTGAGTTGGAATTTCGTTAAAATCTAAAAACTGTAAAAGTTTATAATCCAAAAATCTTGGTTCCTTTCGATATTTGCGCAGATCAGACCGTAACTTCCTTGATTATGTCCCCTGATTGTACGAAAAATCATGTTTTACCTTGTGGGCCCTCTAGAGATCACAATTTTTATACGATTTCAAAAAATGTTTAAGTGTATCACCGTTACACCCTGTGTATATAATAATACAAAGGTTTGTTTAGTTCTTCCTTTTTATAGTATTCAAATAGTTGAGATTTTAATTTTTATTTGTAAGTTTCCAAACATTGTGAAGTTTGGGATGCACAGTGTATACATTTTGTCCGATTTAAACCTAAGCACTTTGTAAGTGCAGCTGGAGACCAACAGTTATCGACAACTGAGAGGATACCATCAGTTGCCGATTTTTATCGATGTACGCGCGCTTGCCATTTCAATTATCTATCCCGAAACCTGAATGTGCAACAAAATCTATAACTTTTAGAAAATTGAAGAGTCTACACAAAGATGTTTTCGTAAAGGAACTTGATATGACAAAGTTTTCTCTCTCTTTTTGTTAATGCAAAAAAAACTCTTGATAAAAGCTGAAAATGAATGACGTAAAACAAAACTTATAGCACATTAAAAAAATCTATATAACTTAGAAAATTACACTGGATAATCCCATTTATGAAGCTAAAAAGGCATTTTACTCATATGAAATTGATAATGGTCAAAATAAGCGAAAGAAACTGTGCCAGATTACAAAATCTGTTATGAAACTCCCTAACGATGGGACTGCGGAGCAACTGCCTGAACGTTTCTCACTATACATGTATTTCTCACAGAAAATTGCCAAGATTAGAGACGAGCTTTTCAAAAGCAGCGGTAGAGATCCTTCCCTACCATCAACACTCCGTAATTTTTCTTGTGTTTCCGAATCCGAATTATCAAAAATTATAATCTATAGTCCGAGCTGCTTTAAAATCGTGTGTTCTTGATCCTATTCCAACATCATTCCTGAAAAAAGTGCCTTCAAACCATCCTGCCTTTCGTAGTTTCCATATCACTGAACAGCTCTGGTTCGTGTTCACTATGATCTATTGGTACTTCTAGATCTGTCTGCGGCACTTGAAACTGTGGATCATGATAATATACTGCGTCACAGATTGGAATGAACATTTGGAATTTCAGGAAACGCACTCAAGCTTTTAGAATCATATACCTAAGCAAGGCCACAAAGTGTTGATGTGAATGGTGTGTCTTCTGCTCCTCGGACCTCCTCTGGGTCCCTTAAGTCACCGTCCTTGACCTCATTCACTTTAACCTGGAAATATTATTACAAAATATTGATTATCTTTCCATTTATATGCTGACGACACACAACGGTATATCGCTTTTAAACCGTCTCAAAGTTATTGCGATTATTCTACACTCAATATTCAAAACTGTATATCAGATATTAAAATGTGGATGGCCCCAACAACTTTTTTAAACTTAATGATGATAAAACCGAGTATTCAATTATTGGATCTAATGCAATTTAAAAAAAAAAGTAAGTGATGTGCAGTTGATCATCATTACATAACTTCTACTGAATCAGCTAGAGATATTGGCGTAATTTTTGATTGTCAGATGTCTATTGAATTGCACATTAGCAGTATTTGTAAAACTAATTATTTTAAACTCCGTAACATCAGTAAAATTAAAAAATATATTTCAATAGATGCAATGAAAACCTTAATTAACTCCCTTGTTACTTCTCGAATTCATAATTCTAAATTACTTTTATACGGCACTCCAGCTAAACATCTTGGTAAGTTACAAAAACTACAGAATTTTGCAACCCGTCTTAATTCAGGATCATCTTATCGAGATCATATGACACCTGTACTTTATGAGTTGCATTGGTTACCAATTGTTTTTCGAATAGAATATATGATTTTACTTTTAACCTATAGGTGTTTAAATAATTTGACCCCTTCCTATTTATCAGATCTTATATACTTATATAAACCTAGTCGTCAATTAAGATCTTCTGAAGATTGTTACCTCTTTTCAGTGCTTCACCTTAACTATGGAATAACTTCCTTATATTATTCAAAGCAGTGTGCCCTTACCCGTTTTTAAGAGTAAATTGAACACTTTTCTGTTTAAGAAAGCTTTTAACTAGCTCCTGGTGTTGTCTTTTGTTATACATATTTCAGATCAAATTTATTTTATATTTTCACATTTATCAGATTTGATTTTTGTTTTATTTCTATTATTTGTATTTTATCATATCTGTGTATGTATCATATTGTAGAGCGCTTCTGAAAACTGTTGTGGAAGTAGTGCTATAGAAATGTAGATATAATTATAACAAGTTGACCAGGCGTTTTACAAACATACAAACGGAGAATCGAAACCACACCACTTGACTCACTGATAGAACGTGTGATGCAATGCTCACGCTTTGTTTTCTTCAAGATATATTTATTCAGAAAATATGCAAAATACAATTTATTTTAATTCTAAAAGAATAATCTAACAGGACATGCATAGTTTAAAAGTTGAATGTATACATATATACACACGCACCCATACATACAGACACACAGACAGACAGATACACACATACATGCGCGCGCACACCCACGCACACCCACACACACTCACATACATATACACACACACATACCTTTCATCTTTGTATCGTTTCCCGTGAAACAAAATAATGCTTAACGGCTGTGCTAAATATTTTAATATTTTTGTGTACATATATACATACATTAAATGGAATACATATCATTAGAAATATATCTTTATTTTGGTTAGGCCCCTTTTTCCGATAACCTACAGAGGCTACAATTATTGACATTTAGTACTGCACAACCTTTGGTTTCAGAGTTAAGCCCCTATAATATATATGACTGCGATGAATATATATGAATATATATATATATATATATATATATATATATATATATATATATATATATGTAGACGAATCATCTCGATATTCCTCGTTTTGCAACCTATTTTTCGGAGTTAGCTCTTATGCTAAAACATTATGAACGCGGTAGAATTTATATTTTTTAACAGATTTATTCTATTCTCTGATGTTTAATATGAATAATCTAAAACTAAAATGATGAAATAGTTACTAAAATTCTAGCTATTGCCGCTTTTCGTTGACACGAATTACTTTTGTCCATTTTCTGATATTTTGTTATTTATAGTTAAGGCAAGATACAGAGGTTGGCTCTTTTTTGTTGATTCAAATTATTTTCGTCTCTTTTCTGACATTTATCGTAATTATAGGTAGGGAAAGATGGAGATGATGATTTCGAACTAAACCATACAGATGATGAAGATTATGAATCCAGTGATGTAAGTTGCAATGTTTAATGTTTAATTGTTATTTTAATTCTATTACTGCCTCGTCAAATTGTTTCTGAAAACTTGTTTATTCGATAGGATCATTGAGTGGTTTCATAGTAATGAATATTATTATAGCGCGCATTCCACCCAAACAGTATGCTCATGGAGGAGCCACGGTGGCTTAGTGGGTAAGACACTCGCTCGCTAGTCTGTAGGTCTGGTGTTTGATTCTTGCATTGGACGAGAAAGTTCATCAAGATTTTCCGGTGTGGTTCGGAGCAGAACAGTAGGACGTCAAACCCATTTCATTTCATTTCAAATGAATAGCTCCCAGTTTTATAGTTCACACGTGATAGTATTCAAACAGATGAGCTTTCAGTTTTTATCTGAACGATTCCAAACATTGTGCAGTTTTTGGGATGCACAGTGTATACATATACAAAAGTTGATGAACCTCGCTCGACCAGTTTTGTCCGATTAGATGAAACCTAAGGCCCCGGCCTATAACACAACATGTGAAATAGGTTTTTCAGCCCTCGAGAGGTCACAATTATTTGCCGGGTTCCGATGAATTTTTGGTTGGCATCGGTCTGCAAATTCTTGGATTATAGCCTCATCCGTTTAAGCCGAATGTAAAATATGTACAAACCCTAGAAACTTGGGAACGTAATAGACTGTGTTCAAATTTGAGCTCTGTCGATATTCAACGTTCCACGACGTTCCGGTAATTGAAGTCATGAGAACAGGCCACCCTCTTCTTTAGAAGCAGCATTCTGCGATCTCCAGTCCCATATTTACCCCTCCCCTCACTCCCCAGTTTGTTGAAAAGTTTGTGAACACGATGACGGATTTGGTTTTAAAATATTTTGTTTTCTAATTTGTTGTGGATCATTGGGTACGCGAGAGGACGTGATATTAAGCAAATTTATTTCTCGGGACTTTGAATCTCGATAAGTGAATAAGTTATGCCCTTTATTATTCGAATGTACAGTCTTAGATATTATTTTGTCAGATAAATGATGCAAGTCTGTCACTCATATTGGCTCTAGCTGTGTGTTACCGAGCTGGTTTAAGATGCAGAGAAGAATTTGATGAAAATATTATTAAACACTTCACAGCACCATGCTCTGTTCCTGGAGGATCGAAACAATTTAAAACAGTCATAGAAAGGTATGTTTACTGTTTGCAGAACGTCTGATATCACTTCTCGTTTCAACAGCTCAGAATTTATGTATAAATTATTTCGTATACAAGCAGTGATTATTGGCTTGTGAAAATCATTGACAATTTATCTACGTTTATTTATTACTAGGTGTCAAGAAATGTTTCTTGAAGATGTAGAACTGGACATAAACATTGCTAAAAATCAAGCATTAAAAGAAAACGTGTTTCTAATGGTTGTATGTATAGAGCTTAGAATACCTTTATTTTTGGTTGGCAAACCAGGCAGTTCCAAATCATTGGCTAAAGCTATTGTAGCTGATGTGATGCAAGGGAAATCATCACGATCGGATTTCTTCAAACATTTCAAACAGGTAGAGTAAAATTAAACCTATAAAATTTATCCACTTTCAGAATTTCCCAAACAATTGTTTTTAAACAGTATGACTGGATGGGAACAGGGTTAGCCTATGTAAAACCCCTCTCCCTAAATAATGTATATTTACATAATATTAATACATACCCCCCCCCCCCCACGCTAGTGTTTAGGACTTCAAACACTATCCTGGTCACGGTACCAACTAATATGTGACAGTATTGGGTCTTTAATTCAGGTTGCTGATGACAACACTGGTTTAACATCTTATAATAATTTTATTCTGCTTCTTACATATCACGTACAAATATCTTATAATGTTAAAGGCCCCATAACTAACTTTTATTGAGAGGGCCATGTCCTAGCTTGGCACATTGTGCCAACTCCCAGACGCTCTCAGTCGTTCCGTCTCGGCTCGTGCCAAGGCGTCCATGGCCTCCGCTCTCTGCGTCCTTGCCTTGACCTGGCTGCCGACGTCGCTTCCCTTCTGGGTTTATAAACCCTTCAAGACAAAGGATCTTATGGCTAATTATCATATCAGGTTTAACATTCAGTAGAGTTTGCTTATCAGCCAAAGACAGTTAAATAAAACATCCCAACAACAAGTTAAGGTTACATTATGACATAAGGAATGCTTCCAAGACCTCCAAGGGTGTCGATAGCGGACAGGTTGATATGTTGATATTAAAATCACTTTCACGTGTCAAGATGGCACGAAGCGTTTATAACATCTGCCACTATGTAACATGAATAATTGACACAGCTTCTGAGAGCATTTTGTAGCCGTATTTGGTGATATGTTTGAAAATGAAATCTTACAGAGACAATACACAAATACTAACCTATTTCTAACCTATAGGCAACGTACTTCTGTCTTCTTTAGAACTTACCGAGCGTGTTTGAAACGTGTGTAGAACGCACTGAACGTGTTTATAGTTTACAGGTGGCTGGCGATAGCGTATTCGCCAGCCTGTCACACTACAACGTTTTAGACTACTTATTCCGACGTATGAAATAATTAACCTACGTAGGGCACACGCTGTCATATACTAGTATAAGTTATGTTTACGTTGGGGATAAGTTATGAATAAGTAAGTTACTGATGCGTTAAACATAGGTTATATATTCGTTCAGCGCGTTAGAAGTACGTTATATAAGCGTCCAAAAAGAGCGTCCTTTTGATTTTTAAATTCAGCTTCAGCGTATCCCAGCGTATTGGAACTATTATTTCATACGTCAGAATAAGTTGTCTTAAACGTCAAGTGTGACAGGCCCTTAACTCTGATTGACACTATGTGATTTGCACTACAAAACAACCCGAAGCAATTCTACTTGCGGCTAGGAAAGAAAAAGTCACCGTGTGTCTGGTTTTGCACACACAATAAGGACAATGTGAATATGGTACTCCAATACAAGTCCACAAATTAATGCTAGAGTGGAAGTCGACCACAAGCTTCATCAGACAGGTTCAAAACCAGAATTTTAGAATTGCACCGTAGATGCAATCTGTGCTTAAAAATGGTGATAAAATTTTAACCTTTATATGACCATTTGCAGAGCAGCCCTGTATATCGACACCAGATCGGAACCATTCCAGCATGTCACGTCTGGACCCCAGGGAGTGTCATAGCATAAATTTGATCAAAAACTTCCGAACCCCCATCTTATCGCGGATAAACTCTTAAAACCCAAAACGGACCGTCAAAATCCTTAAAACTAATAAGCTAAAATATCAATAAACACCACCTGTTTATAATTTATCGGAATGTTATTGTTCATTTTATACCGCTTACATTTTTCATTAGAGGCCCATCTCGGTCTGTATTGATTTAACAGTCGCTGTTTGTCTCTTAATTATTTTTCAATAAATCTCAATATAATTTGTTCAGTTAAAACTAATCTCTATTATTTTATCCTTCAGACCCACATGCTATCATTTCAATGCAGTCCGTTATCTACAGCCGAGGGTATAGTTAGCACATTCAAGCAGAGTGCTAAAATTCAGAAAGAGAAAAATTTGGATACTTTTGTTGCCACTGTTGTTTTAGACGAAATCGGTTTGGCTGAAGATTCTTCACGAATGCCATTAAAGGTATGGAATTAAACTTGATACATAAACACCGATGTTTTATGTATGTCTAAGTATGTCTAATGGAACACAAAAATTAGTAAGGAAGCCGGATGAAATACACTTATTAGTAATGTAATGAAAAGAAATAATTAGTAAGTAGGCATATTGAAACACAAATTGTGAGTAACGTAATGAAACACAAAAATAAGTAGGTAGGCCTATTGAAACACAACTATTAGTAATGCAAAGAAATACAATAATTAGTAAGTAGGCCATAGGAAACACAATTCTTAGTAAGGTTATGAAATAGTAATTAATTAGTAATGAAACACATTAATTAGTAATGAAACACATTAATTAGTAATGAAACATGAGATTTAATTGACTTTTTTTAAACATACACGACACACTCAAAGATGCTGGTGGGTGTACAATTTTGTAAATTTAATCGTGTTATACAAATGTAATGTTTGTTGTATATTTAAGACATTACATCCCCTACTTGAAGATGGCTGTGAAGCAAATGAAGCCCGTGAACCACATAAAAAGGTACATATTATTTATTAGATTTCTTCAGTGATATCCCGGGAGATGTTCTTTATACAACGATACAATGAAAATAAATCTTGTTTAGTTTTAAAGTTAAGTATTTGTGACATGGCGTGTTGTAATTTAGGCTCAATTACTGTAAAAACGCTGTTAATTGTTATATAGAAAAAAAACCATTCTTTTCCGCATACCACTTTTTAACGCGGTGCTTTAAGTGTGGTAGTTTTAGCATTACATTGTTTTCATTTACAGGTTTCGTTTGTTGGAATATCAAATTGGGCTTTAGATCCGGCTAAAATGAATCGAGGTATTTCGGTCCAGAGAGAAGTACCAGAAACTAAAGAGTTAATAGATACTGCAGAGTAAGTAAATTGTGGCCACATGGAAACATGCTCGAAATTGAACAATATCTTATGGTTTGATTTTAAACTGAATCTTTTTGTTTTGTAACAACCAATGGTAACTCAAACCCTAAACTGTAAAAACACACTTGTTTTGAAACAAGTGTGGAAATCAACAAATCACTTCAAAATTAAAGAAACTTGTGTTCCTTCCATACACCAACTTGAGCTGCTTTCAAAAATAAACGTTTTTTATACTCACAAAGTGTTCTTTTATCTGGCCGTTATGTTCCCAGGTCAGGAGCAGTTCCCTGTCCACATACTTTATCCTCATCTATTTATGGTTCAAATAATATGATTTTATAAGTTTTTTGGATTCATTAAATTGTATAAATAAATAAATTGATAGATTAAGAGATCAATTATAATTTCAAATAAGAAAGGTTGTGTAATGGCATGCAATAACATTAAAACGTAATAACTATCTGAAGCGTCCTATTGTTTAAACGGATTTATTCGATTATATAAGTAAACACGTCGAATTTTTCTAAAGAGAACGGTTTTATTTGCTGAGATGTTTAATTGCGCAAACACACAGGTAAGTATATAATCAGAGTTAAGTAGTTTGTTCATAATCGAAAAAATCCGTTTAAAATTTACGACGGTTCAGACAGCAGATAAAAAAATATCGAATACGAAAATAACGAATTCAATACTATTGAAGATAGATGATATGCAATAAGAAAAACTAAAAACAAAATCGACCATGCACACTGACGAAAATAAAAAAGTACAATGTCAGTCGCCTTTTAAGAACAAACAGACGTGTTTCTTCCATCCGCCATGAACAGTATTTAAGGGATTCTAGTACATATTTCGTCATGACGCCATGTCCTAATTCGAGCTGGTATCGTGATAAGTCGAAGTTAACGCCAGTTCGATATGTGATAGGCCTCGCACATGACCCAATGTTCGGCTAACGTTACACAGCTAAAGGGACACACTCATCGTCAACATCATACTGATGCCTAGGGCTATTACTAAGAAATGTTGTCAAAAAACACTTTTCTTGTTTTTTGTTGCAGGGGTATTTGTCAGAATTCATCAAAAGTACACAACTTAATAAAACCTGTACTGAAGAGCCTAACTACATCTTATTTAAAAGTATTTGAAGAAGCTAGACAAGAAAGGGAATTTTTTGGTCTGAGAGACTTTTACAGGTGAACATTTTTTCTAATTATAATTGAATCTTCAGATTCAGTAAAGCTTTTTAAATGGTGACATATCATACTTAAAATAATAGTATAACTATGATATAACAAATTAACAGAATGTTTGTTGTGCCGATTTTGGTTGTCGTCCAGGATCTCCTTCTCAGTGGACAAGACAAACGCGCATACTCACTATTGGAGATCCACACGTATATTCACTGGGATGCATGTAATTCAATGACGAGTAGGTGGGAACATCACAGACAATTTCCTCTGATAGCACACTGCATGACGTCTCATAGCACACGGCATGACGTCTCATAGCACACTGTATGACGTCTATAGCACTGTCTCGGGGGTTGGATGGCCGAATGGTTAGCGCGTGAGCGCTGTATCATAATGTCTGTCATTGAGTCAACTGGCGTGCTTTCGATTCCCTGGTTGTATGTGCCAAGGAGTAGAGTCGCCTGTTGAACCTCGTGGTTTACTTCCGAGTCCTAGGCTAAAGGCCCCTACGCGCAAGCGCATTATTGAAATAAAATTTAACCATAAGTTTGTCCCGAAATGACATAGTCTGTGTCGAGTAGACGTTAAGCTCTCTCTCTCTCTCTCTCTCTCTCTCTCATAAACATTAATAATTTGTGTCACCTACTTATCTACATCCTGTCACAGCTTCTTTTGTCAAATCCAGCGCCTTTTACCACTGAGTCACAAAGACTGCCATATATTCATTCTCTCTCTCTCTCTCTCTCTCTCTCTCTCTCTCTCTCTCTCTCTCCCCTCTCTCTCGCGCGCGCGAATGGCGTGTCGGTGTTTAGTGTTTAGTCCCATCCGAACGAATAGATGGCTGTCCTTGACAGGTTATCCGTCCTGCAACATTGCCAAGGGGAAATCGCTGCGGAAAATTCCGGAGATATTCGCGGCCAACACCGGGAGTGCAATCGAAACCTCCAGACAAGCGAGCCATCGTCTTAAAAATATGACGAGGTAAACTGAAATTAAATACTTTGGCGATTACACATTGAAGTGCACGTAAATGATATAAGAGTTGGCCGTATAGAGGCCCAGTTGGAGCAGGGCAGCTGGACGTTAAACCCCATTTCATTTCTTTAATGGGCAATTGCATCTATACACAATCCTGTATGGTCGCATGTATGGGGCAGGTAGACACAGTCAACACAAAGGTGCAGAAAAGTAGAACGTTAAAGGCCAGTTTTATTAATTTTATATTAACTTATTGTCTCCCGCCTATTGAAGAAAGTATGGGACTATTAAAATGGGTTCGTCTGTCCGTCCGTCCGTCTGTCACACTTTTTGGGAGACAATGATTATCTTTCTAATTGAGCTATAATGTCCAAACTTGGTGTAGGTGTTTATTAGGTCAATCCCATGATGGGGTGTGAAGATGAGCATTTTCTGCTTAGGGTAAACAGAGATAAGTAATTTGATAATCAGTTTGATTGATTGATACTTTCGAAAAAAATAAATGTGCGATAAATTAAATTGTGTCATCTATTTATTTGGGGATTTCGGCGGGGGACATTGGCTTGTTTAATATGTGTGTATGTTACTGTTACCAAAGTGTGTCCTCATTTTCATGTTGTAGTCTGGTAAAGATGGTTTATTCGTTTGCTGAAAACAATACTGAAACTCCCTGTTGGCATCAGTTAGAGCATTGTATACGCCGAAACTTTGGAGGACTAGACTCAATTGATGCCGTGGAAATATTTGGTCGTCATATTGAAAATGTCAGATTAGATGAAAGAGTGAGTCTGTTTTTTTTTAAAGAACTAGTGCTGCTCTTCTTCTTGTTCCTAGTTCACTATTTTACTTGTTTCATATTTAAGACCATACAGCTCTTAATGTTCTTTCTTACCTCTTAATTCATAGTCTGTAATTCGTCTTTCTTTATTTGTTGGCGTATTTCGACATGTACATTTATATCTTAAAATTCATATATGTTTTATAAATCAGAAACTTGTCATGTCAGATTTGTAAATTGTATATTTGTTTAATTTAATTTAGGAGCAGGTCCGTAGGACGTTTAACCCCACTTCGTTTCGTTTCATTTCATTTAATTTAACTGTATTTCAATATACGATTATATAAAGATAAAATTTATTTTAGGAAATCAAAAAACTACATTTAAATTTCATCACAAACATACAACGAAAAGCACTGAAAAGAGGGTTCGTTTGCCTTTTCAAAAATGTAATTTATATTCTGGGACATTCATATTTACACCACTTTAAATATAAATACTTTGCAAGCGTTATATTTAGAGATTTGTACTTGAAAACTTGTTTTTCGTTGTATGTTTCCGATGAAATGTAAATGTAATTTTTTGATTTTCAAAATACAATTAAATTAAAAAAAAATTACAATTTACAAATCTGATATGACAAATGTCTGATTTATGAAACAAATATGGATTTTAAGATACAAATGTAAAAATTTAGTGTACAAATGTCGAAATACGACAACAGATGAAGAAATAAGAATTAAGGACTATGAATTAAGAAATAAGAATTAAGAACACTGAATAAAGAGCTGTTTGGTCTTCCATAATTTCTTGCTATTAGACCTGACCACACTCAAATACTGCTGGACAGACTGATTCCTGTCCCTATTTATGACTGGTTAACAGTTGGCTTAACAACTAATCCACTACAGCATAACAAATCAATCGAGATTAATGTTAACGTTAAATTATTTAATCTCATTTGCATCACGCCACAATGTGAGAAATTCACCATCAGCAATTTACTAGCTGACAGTACAAAAATACAGAAAATCCAATTGTGTGACTAACGATGCTATCCAATGCGTCTAAAACGTAAAACACTGATCTAGGATTTGTTTATCATATGTTGGACCACGCAGCAACGGAACACTATTTATCAGGAAGACCCCAGAACAAAGAGACAGACTGTCATGATAATGTCGGTCGGTTATGATATCCGTTGTTTCAGCAAACATAATAGACTCCAACTAAGACTTCAAACAATGGAAGAGGGGCGATATTTAATTAGGCGATAAGAATAGACAAACTAGGTCAAAAAACCAATCTTTTGGTTCCATGTACACCAATGGCTAGAGGTGCATTTCCTCGATCCATTGCTTAGGGAATATTTTACCCATGGACCATATTGAATGCATTGCTTCTTGCAAACAATGGAAGAGGGGCGATATTTAATTAGGCGATAAGAATAGACAAACTAGGTCAAAAAACCAATCTTTTGGTTCCATGTACACCAATGGCTAGAGGTGCATTTCCTCGATCCATTGCTTAGGGAATATTTTACCCATGGACCATATTGAATGCATTGCTTCTTGCTTGACCTAATTTGAATTTTTTTTAAAAATTCCAGCGTCATGAAGGAGATCCAAGTTGTACACCTTTCGATCTGATTAAAGCTGGACTTTTTGGAAATCAAAGGTAAATATTTCGTAACTTATATTATGTTTTTTAATAAGGGTATGCTAATATAATTTACCTATTTATTGAATTGATTTATTAAAAACTCAATCACATTGATATTCTGAATAGTATATATTTTACAGTGACAGTCGTTATTTACTACTTCTTACTGAAAATTATGAAGCTTTGGGGATTTTACAAGAACAAATATTACAGAACCATAAAGTACAAACAATCTTTGGATCTAGTTTTCCACGAGATCAGGAATACACTAAGGTAGGATATAATTTTTAGTTACTAGTTTTATAACATTGCTGTTTGTAGATCTATACATCGAATAGGATGAAGTCGGTTTACTTTCGTTGCACACTCACCGTGCCGCATTAATTTGTAGCCTATAATTACTGCTTTATCTTATAACCAAATCATGCTTTCATTCAAATAGAGGATTTTCCATAATCTCAGATTCTAGTCCAGTGTCAGACGTATTCTCTGATGGCCATTGTTCATCAAGGGGATTTTGATGACCCCTCAGGCCGAAAGTCCTGCTCCTTCCAGACAGTCTTGCAGCGTTTCGCGTATATATGGCGATTTGGTAACCACTGAGGGTTGTGGCCATGCAGAACTCCTTACAAGGGCTCACGTGTCGTCGTAACGGCCGACTCAGCTCCATGTCCTGGCGTTGTGACTTCATTTTAGGTAGTTCTCGCTACTTTGAAGGACATTCCCACCATGTGCACTTACCCATTATAGGTAATCGGTGTGCCTCTCACGATCTATTGCGCACCTTCGTACTCTTAATAGGTAGATATTCCAAGAACCCGAATTTAAAGACCCCATATTACTATATACTATACTATTCAAAAAAAGTAGGGGATATTTGATTTTTAAGTGTTATTAAAGTCACCTAATGAAACTGACGAAGAAACAAATGACAAAATGAAATGAAGTTCACATTCATCGATTTATTCCAAATGATCGTTAGACTAAGTAAGGCACAGACTGACCATTATAAGGGTAAAATGATACCCGGGGTCAAACAGCAAAGTTACCACAGCATCACAACCAAGTCAGTAACGGGTAAATCCTCCTCTGTTTGCCAAACAAGCAGTGATCCGACGTGGCATACTCCTAATGAGACGTCTAAGGTCATTTTGGTCCAGATTGTCCCATTCCTGTTGCAACGCAGCAGCAAGTTCTTGGACATTGGCAGGACGTTGTTGACGTTGACGTAACCTCTGTCCAAGCATGTCCCAGACATGCTCGATGGGGGAGAGGTCGGGACTCAGTGCTGGCCAAGGTAATGTGGTGATGTTCTGTTGTTGGAGGTAACCTGTAACGATCCTGGCCCTGTGACATCTTGCGTTGTCATCCTGGAAGATGAAACGGCGGCCATGACGTCGTGCGAACGGCACAACATGGACTGCCAAGATGTTGTCCCGGTAGTACTGGCCTGTAACACGCCCTGCAACAACATGTAAAGCCGTTCTTCCAGCAACAGTGATGCCTCCCCACACCATAACAGAACCACCCCCAAATCGATCATGTCTGATGACGTTAACGTCTTGGAAGCGCTCGTTTCGACGACGCCACACCCTCCTACGTCTGTCCAAAAAATCAACAGTGAACCTTGTCTCATCTGAAAACATCACATTGCTCCAGCGTCGATTATCCCAGTGTTGACGATCCCTACACCAACGACGTCTTGCCTGAATGTGATGATCTCTCAAACAAGGGATCACGCGAGGACGTCGGGCGCAAAGGTGACCCCTATGCTGTCGATTCCGAATCGTCTGGCCACTCACTCTCACACCAGTGTCTGTTTGAAGACGAGCGCTGATCTGATTTGCTGTGATGGCACGATTTCTCAAGGCCAAGGTACGGATAAATCGATCCTGGGCTTGAGTTGTCGCCCTTGGTCGACCTGAGCGTGGTCTGTCCTGTACAGATTGTGTATCACGGTATCTGGACCATAGCCTGCTTATGACAGACTGAGAAACATTCATCGTCCGCGCCACAACCGCCTGTGTTGTGCCGATCTGTAGCATGCCAAGGGCACGTAACCTTTCATTTTGGGTAAGCCGACGCATATCAAAATTTATTTTCTGGTCACTAAAACAATTAAACTGATGTTTCCACCCTGGAATTCAATGCCACAATGACTGTAACATTCAAAGTCAGAGTCGTGCAAATCTTGGGTTGGACCCCCATGATGATCCCAAGCATCACCTGCATTCAATGCGGTAGCTATTGGTGCGTTTGGGCGTCACATGTAACTGGAAATGTTTCTTCTGTTAGGTTCTATAGTGACTTTTTTCGTAGTCATTTGCATATTTTAGTATTATGCCCGCAAAATCAAATATCCCCTACTTTTTTTGAATAGTATATATTTAGGTCTGTGTACATACTTAATTTTGAATGAGTCAGATGCTTTGTGTTCGAATATTGCAGTAACTTATGAAATATCATTAATTTGTATGGAAGCTCATTATTGTTAAAATCGTTTTTCAAAATGAAAGTAATGGAGACATACTTTGGTGACAAGACGATATTGTCATTTACCATAATATTGAGGTTCTCGTTTAGTGGTATTTGTCCATTATTTGTTTTATTGAAACCTGTTTTATTGTAACTAGAGTTAAGTTACAGCTTATTGTTAGACTAAAGTAAAGCATTCTGAGAAACCAAAATATCAACACATCAAGAGTTTATCTTTGTATATATTTGAAACAGGTGTGTAGGAATATTAATCGTATTAAAGTATGCATGGAAACTGGACAGACAGTCATTCTACTGAATCTAGAAAATCTTTATGAAAGTCTGTATGATGCCTTGAACCAGGTAATATTCTTCAATAGTAATTTTGTACGATATAAAATAACAAATCTACCAACACCTACCACCCATTTTTTTTAGGGGGGGGGGGCTTAATAATCTTAACAGAAATAATAAACGTTCATATAAAACATGAAAGCTTTATAAGAGTTATAATCTTAACAAAAACAATAGTGTTTAACATAAGCTACGCAGTATGAAACCCAAATAATCGTTTTCTATAGCGCCAAACCTTCACTCAGTCTGACTGCACTGTGGCGCTTTACAATGTAAATATGATTATGAAAAACATACATGTGTATTCAAATAAAGAAAATGATACAAAGTCATAGTCAAGTTACAATATACAAATGGAAAGTGATGCATTTAAATTATAGTTCAAAAATATGGGTAAAAAACATATAGTTTGAACTATTTACAATATACAAATGGAAAGTGATGCATTTAAATTATAGTTCAAAAATATGGGTAAAAAACATATAGTTTGAACTATTTTGGACTTCCAGGGGCAATTTGTTCCATTCTTTTGGTGCTGCGTACGAAAACGCCCTCTCACCAAATTGTGACTGCTTACCACATTTGAATGAAGAAACTTATTGAGTTAAGAAATCTTCTTAGCACCGCATAGGCATAGATGGTTGTTTAGCAATCATATTGAAATAAAGAATTTTATTGATTCTAAACTTCCAGAACTTCTCGAGTTATTCCTCTGTGTCATAAAATATGATTAGTATTTTCATAGTTATTGGATGACTTATCTCTTGGTGGGGTGTACGGCTCATTGCTGTCAAACTGTATTTATATATCTAGTATTCTTACTGCGTATTCCAAACAAAGAGACGATTCCCTTTAAGGATTCAATTTTGATACCAGATTAATAATATTTTCAGTACTATGCAAAATTTGGAGGTGAACGTTACGTGGATTTAGGACTTGGATCTCATCGTGTCAAATGTCGAGTCCACAAGAACTTCAGGTAGGTCTATCTATTATCATTTATCTATCGTTATTACAATAGTTTGCCCATTCTACCAATCGTCTGTATAAATTAACATTTACTCGTGGATCCAAATGCTACATATTAGCAACGTTAGTACAGATTGTGAGGGTTGTCTTTTTCAGGCTTGTTGTTGTGGCTGAAAAAACTACTGTTTATGACAAATTTCCAATTCCATTAATAAATCGTCTAGAAAAACATTTCTTAACCCAAAATAACATAATGTCTGAAGATCAAGCTAAAATGTCTGAAAAGTTGAAGAAATGGGCTGAACAATTGATACAAAAATCAACTTCTTATAGGTATGTGCACATTTTTGTTTTTAGTTTCGTACAAAACAGCAAAGTAACATAAGGCCTGGCGATTATTGCTTTAAAAATATCATGGAATATTGCCATGTATATGTATAGCGGCAGTGTCATAAAGGGTTATCGTTTAAACTTTGATGTGAAGCATGAAATCTCATCAGACGCCGAATTCTATCAATAACCGTTCTTAAGTTATACCTTTTGCTGAAAACCATGCTGGTTTGTAGTATTGAGGTCATAAAAGAACTAACGCTCACTCTCAAATTTTTGCATTTTGCATAGTAGTGAAAATATTTTTTCAAATTTGGGTGTGGAGCGTCGCGTTCATGGGGGGGTTAGGGTTAATTCTATGTCCAGAAACATTGGGAGCCCAATAAAGAAATGAAATGAAATGGGGTTTAACATCCTACTGTTCTGCTCCTAACCTGGGCTAATGAAGACGGGCATACATCATACAGTGTGGTATGAGGGAAATTTTGCCCGGACAGCGGAACTACGGCCTACTCTTATATCAAATTCCAACTGTCAAGGGATCTTTTACGTACACGCCAATGTGTACACGGGACCTTGGTTTTTCGTCCCATCCGAATGACTAGACATCTGTCCTTCTTAGGCCCTCCGTCCTGCATCACTAATAAGGGGGAAATACGCCGGAAAATCTGGATGAACGTTCTCGGCCAATGCAGGGATCGAACACCCGACCTCCAGACTAGCAGCCCAGTAAAGGCTTCATCTTTTAACAGTTTATGTTCACATGTACATACTTACCGAAAACCTGATAAACACGATAGTAAGCTACAGTGTTCGAAGGCCTTGTTTCAAATTTAGTAGGGCTATGAGAGGATGGACCCTGGGTATATTCAGTGTTCCGGGACCAGCGTTCCAGAGCCCACCCATTTTGTGAAAGCCTTCCGACCGCGTTTCTACCTTCCCCAATACGTGTGTATGAGAACAAAAAATAAAACTTCGTTATCTGTTACAGTTATAGTACCATTGATAAACACACTGTTACTGTTGAAGATGCGTTCATGGGTTATCATTCTGATGCTGCAGCTTCTGTTGTGATGAAAGTTTGGACAGATTTTTCTACAGAAGAAGAAGAAATGGTATGCAAACGACTTTCATCAGTTCAAATGTTACGTTTTTATCATAGTCTGGTACACTTTACAGGTGGCATAATTGAACATATTTTGTAAATATTTATAACATTGTTTCAAATTGGATCTTTTTGGCTTTCATTTAGATTGCACTGGTGCTATTTCACTGAACGTGTGGTTCGGGTCGCAGCTAAGAACATGAAGACTGCGCTATTACAACATCAGCTAAACGGTATTCATATCAAACCCAATCTTGCGTTTGGCGTCATTATTTGGTTCAGTGATATCATTTTTAAATTGACTCATATTCATGATGTATAACATGCTTCCTCCTGGAGAAATTTGATGATACGCCCACTTTTTATACATCAGTTTGTAGCGCTCCCGAGAATGTAGTTATGATCCGATTTATAGACAGTCAAGGTCCTGATTTGCAACAATTTTCGATAATTACTGACACAGAGACCAAAGTTCCGATTGGCTTTGTATACAGTGTGTGTGTGTTTTGAGACAAGCTGTTTCCGATAACTTGAACAGTCATATACTTGATATTAATTGATTTTTATAATTTAATGTTCGAATTAGATAGAATCAGAAGACAATATCTAACGATTCCTGATAATTACTTATTGTTTTATTAATCTTAATTAGTTTGTATTGTCTTACCAATAACAGAAAAAAACGCGACAACGTTTGTTGACTGCTGTGACTACTTAGTTGTTGTGGGCGTATATGTATCAATCAACATACTATTAAATGTTGTTTAAACCCATTGAAGTTGTCGAAAATATTCTCTATCAAGGCGGTGTTTCACCAAAACTATGGGATCGATTGCATTTCTTTTTTATAAACAATATTTTATTCTCAGAACAGGCTAGGCCTATATTATCCCTCTCCTGTATATCAGAAAATATATACAGAAATACTATATAACCAAATTATGATAAAATAAATTTGAATAGTATAAGAATAAAATGAACAAAAAAGTGTTATGTCCATATTTACAATTTCAGGTTTGCCATATTCATATTTCTAGCTACTGACTTGAAATAATAATATCGTTAGTGCCTTTTAATAATGTTTGTATTGAAATGAGGTTTTGGGGTAAGGTAAAAATTGAATGTTTACGTGCATCGGAATGTAAAGGACAGGTTAAAAGGTAATTGTCGGCATCTTCAAAATCATAACCGCAAGCGCATACAGGGCTGTCTGAGATGTGCCTTATAAATTTATGATCATTTAAGTCACTACAGGAAAGGCAAAGTCGACAATGTAAAATCTATTTTTGATGGCGCTTGTTTGTCAACTTGTTTCAATTTACTTTTAAAGATACTGATAGAGGGAGATGATTTTATAAAGGCAGACAGTGTCACCAAAACTATGGGATCGAGCGATTATGCCTATAATAGTTATCAAAATTATCCAATTACTTTCATACTCTTATCTTAGAAGAATCCGTATCACATTTAAGAAAAACACATTCAGCCATTATTAAAAAGAAGCTGATCTTGTTTAAAATATCTTCTATTTGACCTTACATTTGTTGGTACTTGAGTACCTATACGAATGCGACAATTCCGAGGCGTTCACTATTATCGGAAGAAAAACTATCTTGTGACTTTCAAATTAGTTCTATCAGCTTGGACATGGCATATGTTGCTATTGATATTGAAAAAATAATTTGTTTAGCCTATTTCTGTCGCCAATTATTATTCCATTTTCAATTTTGTTTCACCGTTTGATGCCTAATGCAAGTTATGACTAGGTCAACCAAATTTAACATTTCTACTGTCACCGGAAATGGCGTCATTTGGGCAAAACCCGATTTTTAGCATTCAAAACAAATATTGTATTCAATTGTTTCGTATTTTGTTATTCGTTTATAATTAAGGTTTAATTCCAATCAACAAATGAATGAACCAATACGATCATATGGATATCACGAAATGGTTTCTAACGTGTTCAGTTGCAGAAATACAACTGCAAGTCACGTTTCAAGGTTTTTGGTCCATAAAAGTGTCAATAATATTCTATTGTCATAAACGTTTCATTGTGTGATGCCTAATGCCATTTATTTAAAGGAACTAGTTCAACGCTTTCATTTACAACGGAAGTATCGTCATTTTGGCAAAAACTGTATTTTTAGCATCTAAAACAAATATTTGTTTGAAGTAAGTGGCATCCCTTATTCGTTTAACACTGGGGGGTTGGATGGCTGAATGGTTAGCGTGCGCGCGCTGTATCATAAAGTCTGTCATTCAGTCGACTGGCGTGGTTTCGAATCCCCGGTTGTACGTGGCAAGGAGTAGGGTCGCCTGTCCAACCTCGTGGGTTTTCTCCGGGTCCTCCGGTTTCCTCCCACTGCTAAAGACCCCTACGCGCAAGCGAATTATGTAAATAAAAAATTAAACCATATGTTAGTCCCGAAATGACCTAGTTTGTGTCGAGTGGACGTTAAACCCCATTTCTCTCTCTCTCTCTCGTTTAACACTATTGACCATTGACAAATAGTATGCATCGATACGATCTTATAGATACCAAAAAGGTGTTTCTAGCCTCATCCCTTGTAGGGTAATAGCTAATTTTCTCAGAATTGGTTATTTCTGTTATTTAATTTAACTTTTTATACGCCCACATTTTCATGTGACGTATATTGTCGTCGCCCGTCCGTCCGTCCACAATTTGTTTGTGGACTCTCTACAGGTCACAATTCTTGTCCGATTTTGACGACACTTGAAATAAAGGTTTATCGATATTGGCATGTATCGGATCGAAACTTCATGGATTATCGCCCCTGTTTATACGAAAAATCACGTTTTTAGCTTGTGGACCCTATAGAGGTCACAATTTTTATCCGATTTTGTTGAAACTTGAAATGTAAGTTTATAACCCAAAGATCTCGGCTGCTTTCGATATTCGCGCATATCGGACCGTAACTTCCTGAATTATGACCCCAGATTGTACGAAAAATCGCGTTTTTAGCTTGTGGACCCTATAGAGGTCATAATTTTTATCAGATTTAAAAAACCGTATTATTATATCACCGTTACACCCTATGGAGGTTGAGTTCAAATTTCGTGAAAATCGGACCAAAATTGCCGGACAAAATGGCCGCCGTTTGTACGCGAATAGTGTAAAAATATGGTAAATCAAGGTCGTAGACCCTGTATAGGTCACAATTTTAATTAGATTTTGATGAAACTTGAAATGCGTGTTTATAATCTAAAGATCATGGTTCCTGTCGATATTCGCGCATATCGGACCGTAACTTCCTGAATTATGGCCCCTAATTGTACGAAAAATCGCGTTTTTAGCTTGTGGACCCTATAGAGGTTATAATTTTTAATCGATTAAAAAAACCGTATTATTATATCACCGTTACACCCTATGAAAAGTTTAGTTCGAATTTCGTGGAAATTGGACCAAAATTGCCAGACAAAATGGCCGCCGTTTGTACACGAATAGTGTAAAAATATGGTAAATCAAGGTTGTGGACCCTGTATAGGTCACAATTTTAATTCGATTTTGATGAAACTTGAAATGCATGTTTATAACCTAAAGATCATGGTTTCTGTCGATATCTGTGAATATCGGATAGTAACTTCCTGAATTATGGCCCCTGATTGTACGCAAAATCGCCTTTTATGGTAAATAAAGGTTGTGGACCCTGTATAGGTCACAATTTTAATTCGATTTTGATGAAACTTGAAAAGCATGTTTATAACCTAAAGATCATGGTTTTTTTCGATATTTGCGGATATCGGATAGTAACTTCCTGAATTATGGCCCCTGATTGTACGCAAACTCGCCCTTTTTAGCTGTGTTCCCTCTGGGGGTCACAATTATTATCCGATTAAAAAAAACGTTTGATTATATCACCGTAATGAAGGTTGAGTTCGAATTTCCTGAAAATTGGACCAAAATTACCGGACAAAATGGCCGCCGCTTGTACGCGAATAGTGTAAAAATATGGTATATCAAGGTTGTGGACCCTGTAGAGGTCGCAATTTTAATTCGATTTTGATGAAACTTAAAATGCATGTTTATAACCTAAAGATATTGGTTCCTTTCGATATTGTCGCATATCGGATTGTAACTTCCTGAATTATGGCCCCTGATTATACGAAGAATCGCCTTTTTTAGCTTGTGGTCCCTCCGAAGGTCACAGTTATTATCTGATTTTAAAAATCCTTTGAATATATCACCGTAACATCATAATAAAGGTTGAGTTCAAATTTCCTGAAAATCAAACCAAAACTGCCGGACAAAATGGCCTCCACTTGTACGCGGAAGGTGTAAAAATATGGTATATCTAGGTTGTGGACCCTGTAGAGGTCACAATGTTAATCCGATTTTGATGAAACTCGAAATGCATGTTTATAATCCAAAGATCTTGGTTCCTTTTGATATTTGCGCATATCAAATTGTAAGTTCAGGAATTATGGCCCTTGATTGTAGGAAAAATCACTTTCTTGTTAGCTTGTTCTCTATCCATCTCTCGAAAATGTGGGCGTATCCTGCCTGGCAGCCGCTGGTTTGTTATTAACGGGCATATTGTCATAAGGTCGAATCTTCGTTGTATAAATGGAACGGATATTGTCAGATTTATTGGCTAATTTTATAACACGCGTACAATGCTCGTGTGGAAATCTGTTTAACGTTTCCAATGGTACGGTAAGTGACATTAGTTTAAGAGTAACATGGCACGGGTGAAACCCGTCATCACAGCATCGCAGTTCTAGCGCATTAGTATTTTTGCTTCGTCCGTGTCAAGTTATTTTATAATTGTATCAGAATGATATCCTTTAAGACTGCCGCTAACCAAAGAAAAGATTCGAACGTGCTATATTTAACTTAATTAGATATGCCGAGATGTTTTCAAGATATTATCCAAGTGTGTGCCCCTGCCTGTATTGGGTATAGCTCCCAATTTGTTTTTCACCATGCTAATTGATTAAGGTTTACTTTCTTCATTGGATTCACTCTCATCATGCATACAATTTCAAACACAACTAGATTTTAATTGGATATTATTTTCTTTTGGTGTTGATGTTTTAGCAGAACCTTCATATCGTAATTATTTAGAATGTGGTTCGACGTGTTTATTATTTTGGATCTAATGCTTTCCTTACTTCTTTATCTTACAACGATCTTGGGATATTCAAGGGTACGGGACCAGTATAGGGGTAATATGTACAAATAAAAAGGGCGCTAAACGACATGGTTATCTGTGAAATCAACGTACTACGTATGTTCAAATATCTTTAGTCCATATGTATCCAGAAATAAAATCATAAACAGTTGGTAATTCCCTCTTTTAGCTGCTCTAGTATTTATTTTTCAGAAATTTATTGAGTGCAAGAAAGCATTACTATGGTGTTGTAGTCCAGAAATAATACTACAGATAGAAAACAGACAACTATTTACAGAGAAAGAGTTTGCACAAACTACTTACTTTGAAGATCAACAACATACAGATATTTTTAAATATGTAAATGAAAACATTACAAATAGGACAAAACCTCTGTTTGCCCAGGTTTGTCTTTAAATTCTTGTTCAGTTAGCATCCTTTGAATCACCAATCATAATCGATTATAATATGATTTTCTCCAATTATCCTTGTTGACACTTTGATTCATCACGTTGGTAGGGCTCAGATAGGTGGTAGAGAGGCATTAGTCTCTTGATAAAACTCAAACAGATTCGACGTATTCAAATAACATTAAACTCAAGTTGAAATTCATTTCCCGGTTTCAAATGTGCAAATTTCTCCTCTATGGTTTATTGGTTAGTGCTTCCGCAGATCTAACAAGATATAGTCAGTCGACCCACATTTAATTAAAGCTACATTTGATAATGTCAGTTAAGTCCACTGGATAACAATAAGAATTGTTCACTGGAATTTGAAGTGTCATGTCCACCCCAAGCAGTTTTCTGAAGATGTTTTTGTAATGCTTCCAGATTATAAAATGAAATATACAAATATAAGATTATTATACTATTTAAAGGATACGTGAAAACACTAAGATTGTCTTTAATATCATACTTTCGTTTTATATTTTATATGCAGATTACTACTCATTCCGCTTTACTAACAGAGGATGCAAAACGATGTTTTACTCATGATACCCGTCTTCTTCATTTACAATCTTTTGATACGGAGCAACAGTTCTGTAAAGAAATAAGGTAATTTATTCTTAAAATCCTACAGTAAAACATAGGAAGGGTGAGAATCTTAAACCGTAGGATACATATTTCACATTATATGCATCCCATATGAAAATTGATAATTTAAAATACTGAATACATTTTATTTTATATAGTTTGGATTTTTTGTAGGTCATTTAGTCAGAAAGCTGAAGATGAGACTAGAATTTTGATTATTCAAAGCGATTCACAGATTGCAAACAGAAGCTTAGTTAAATGTGCTCAGTATTGTGTAGATGATAATTTACCAAAGGATCTTGTTAATTTTCATGTTATATTTATTATACAACTGGATAGAATATCTCAACAACGATTTACTGGATACCAGGTAAGAGCATCCAAGAGTTTTCAACTGGTATTCTAAAGTTGCATATGACCTCATGTTCGCACAAAACCTGCTTCACATTAAATCTCCATGATTCTTCTAGTGTAAATTTAGCGATTTTTGAACACATATCTTTGTACATGTATCTATTAATTGTACATTTTAGGGTGGTAAATGGCACTGTTTACATATTGATGATTTACATCCAACCAAAGACTTTGGTGCAACTTTGATGCAGATGCAACATCTGTCAATGGCTGATTTATTTAGAAGAAGTGATTACCGTTGTGAAATATCAGAAGAACCAATAACACCAAATGATATTCAACCGGAAGGAAAGACGAGTCCAGTATTTACCGACCAGTATATTATATCACAGATTACGGCCCGTGTACAAGCAGCTGTTGGTAGAGTATCAGACGATAAAAATCTGTTTGGTAGACCAGCAGATAGAGTATCTATATTACTGCGTTTACTTAATGGTGAGTCTGTTGAATTCTCCAAATCCTTCACATTGTCTTAAAAAAAATATTAGAAAATGTTTTTAGCTTATTTGAAATAGTATTTGCCAACCATATCACGTTCGATGTTGTTTTCAATCTCAGCATCGATTTCCCGGTTGTACATGACAAGGAGTAGGGTCGCCTGTCCAACCTCGTTGGTTTTCTTCTGGTCCTCCGGTATCCTCTCACACGCATGCGAATCATTCAGCACTCCGGCCAACCCTCAACCAGACGAAGAGCAAGTCGTTTATGTATGGTTTAATGGTCGAGAGCGAGACATAAAGTAACATATTGATACCATATATTACGCAACGTCTTTAGCTCTCGACCATTAAACAACTTAAAATACAGAAACTCACATGTGCTTTTCAATGAAATACTTCACGCGAGTCCAATATTTTATCTAGTATAGATAATGTACGATTGGCAAGTTACCCGTACATTATTGGAATTAATGGTATGCCAATATCAAAGGATGACGTCACATCTGTATTTTAAATCACGATAATGCTCCCGAACAGGTGCGCAATCACCGAATGAGCACGTAGTGACGACACCAATCGACTTCATAATGATGGTCGCTAGGCAGAAGTATAATAAGTCTAAATTCGTTGTTGTTCATGCTAAATGTGTAAAGCATCAATGAAAAAGACGTTTTTCGTCTAAATAATAGAAATAAGATAAAATAGAATTAAAATTTACGCTGAAAAAATAAAGAAGTTGGATTATACATTGTCTTAATTTAAAAGTTACATGACTAGAAAATAGCAATTACATGAATAGAAATTAGAAATTACACGATCAGAAGATTAAACGACAGCATGTTAGAATTTTGAATCTAATATACCGCCATAGTGGGCACTCTAGATGTCACAATTGTTGTCCTATGTTGATGAAACGTAAAATACACGTTTCTATCGCCAAGATCTCGGTTCCGTTTGATATTGACGCATGCCGGGCCGTAACATCTTGCATTATCTCTTGCATAATGTTCGCGTATCTTGCATGACAGTCGCTTGTTTTATGTTCATTAATGTTTATTGAATCTTTATTCATAGACGCTGAGGGGGAATTTAGTCAAGGGATAATACGTTTAATAAGCTATTTAATTAAACAAAAAGAGGAAAAGATGGGGATATATTTTGCCGAAAAGTGGTTGGCTAAGGAAGCCTGTAAACCTGATAATATCAACAAAGCAGGAACGTTCAGGTAACTATTTTACATACCGGTTAACATAATCTTTTACATTTATTCAAACATACATTATGCAAGAGCTAAATCTGCCTATTTCAGGTCTTTCTTAGACCTGAAATGTTATCTAAATTATTAATTAAACATTAATTAACTTATCCAGACCATAATCAACTCTTGATGTCATCGCTAGCCATTGTCGTTTATTGGATTGGGATTAGTAATGATGATCTCGGCTAGGTCAAAAATTCCATCGCTAAAATCTCTGTTCAGAGTGGATCAATTTGAATGAAACTTTCAGCAAATTCCCTTTACATTATCTAGTTTTTAACTATTATCTAATCCCTCATAATGTATCTTTAAATAAAACATCCACAGATACATTTGATAGACCTTCGCTTACAGTACACTGTATTAAACTATTAAACTTACTAAATGTAAATAGGCAGAGCACAATGAAAATTATAAACAGTTTACAGAACATTAGTAACATAGCACGATGGGTATATGAAAAGTCATTATTTTTGTTAAATATTTATTATAAAAACATTGAACAAAGACACATTACACCTGACAGAAAATTAACGTAATAGAGGAAGCCTAAAAAATTATAAGCAAGGAAGGCGAGTACTGATCTTAATTACATTATGTATACTTTTCTTAAGGAGAGCCTGGTGCCAATATCTAGAAGAGAAAATCACCCCTATACTTGCTGGTATAATTGCCCACATTGATAAGAATTTAAATCTAAACATCATTGTTGAGAGCACAGATTGGAAGAAATCGGTCTGGTTGAAGATTCTAGGCAGACCTTCGGTGTGCGGTTTGAAATACACAGATCTAATATCAACAGAGAAAATGGAAGAATTAAATGAATTTGTTGTTCGTAATACGGGATATGGTCGACAATCCTTCCAAGCAATATTTCCATTTTCTTGGTTATTCTATGATTTGACTGAAACAGCACTCCATACATCAGTTCGTGAAGATCCAAGTTTGACAGGTATTGCTGTGTTATTTTTAATACGCCTACATTTTCATATGGATTAGTGATGCCGTAGACCATGTCCACCCGGTCGTCTGGAGGCCCGGGCGCATATTTGCATTTGATTGTGAACACTGCAGAGATACAAATTTTTATCCGAGTTTTTTTTATTGAAGACCTCAGGGTCGCAGCCATGCCCATTTTCGTGAGTTTGTCGGTCGCCTGAAGACTACAAATCGTAATGGGTCGTCTTGAAAACTTTGCATACTTACTCCTTATAACCTAAGGATGACCTCTATTTTTATTGGCACATGCCCGACCCTAGGGGCAGATCGAGCCACGCCTAATTGTTGTAAATGTCTATTTGTCGCCTACGGGCTGCAAATCTTAATGGATCATTCGGAAACTTTGCACACTTATGTCTTAAACCCCAAGGGCCATCCTTATAGTTTTTGGTGCATGCCAACCCTCAGGGGCAGAGAGCAACGCCCCATTTTTTCTTTGTGTGTCGCCTACAGGCCACAATGAAGATGACGTCAATTATTTTTAGTGTATGTCCGACTCTCAGGGACATAGCCACGTCAAATGTGTGTGTGTGTCTGTGTCGCCTGCAGACCGTAGTTCATAACAGATCCTCTTGATCCCTATTGGTGAATGCCAAACTCCCAGCGGCAGAGCCACACCCCTCTGTGTTTTATGTGTTTGTTTGAGTTGACTACCTGTCGAAATTCTCAATGGATCTTCTTGTAACTTGCCATATGTATTCCTTAGCATAAGGTCGGCAACTACTGGTTTTGGTGCAAGGTACATGTCCATGTACAGAGTCACGCACAATTGTTGTGTCTATCGTATACAGACTGCAATTCTTAATGAATCATTTTGGAACTTTGCGTATGTATTCCTTATAGCCAACTATTGATTTTGGTGCATGCTCCGATCCCCAGTGGCAGATCCACGCCCAATGTTTGTGTTTATCGTCTACACACTACAATTCTGAATGGATCGTCTTTGAACTTAGCATATATATCCCTTATACCGTAAGGATATCAACTATATAATTTGAATCATGGTCCGACCACCAGGGGCGGTGCCACGCCAATTGTTTTGTTAATATTTAGTCTGTAAGGTTGGCAAATCAAACTCAACGGCTAGCCTTCTTTGCCCACTGCCATATAACAGTCGTTGCAGTCATTTCATATTTCATTCTCTTATTTTAAAAAAAGTACCGTATCAATCAAAGCAGGAATGTAGACGTATATTGCAGTCGTAGCGATGCTCATGTTATAATCAATCCGAGAACAAATGATGATGTAGAATAATGTGAATTGCAAGTTGCTGATTTATGTGGGTTTATTTTGGTATATTTTTAAATGAAAGTTGCATTTTGTTTTCTCACAAGGTGAAGAAATTGTAAAACATACAGTTCACGTTATTGAAAAAAATGAACTATTCAAGATACTAGACAGATTTGTTGTTTCTAAAGAAGAAATGTTCAGCTCTTATATGAGTGATTTTATTGTGATGACGTATGGCCCTAAAGACAAAGATATTTTTGAGGTAGTGTTTATATTCATCCACATCGTCCACCCGTACGTCCAAAGTCATATTTCAATTGAAAGTAATACAAATTTAATACAAATAAAATTGCCATCGGGATAGCAATGGCACATGTCAATAGAAGGTGTGATCTGAAGGCGAGTATCCATCAGAAATGGGTTGGCTATTCTTGGCAAACGTTGTCAAAGCTTCAAAAATTCATATCATCGCACAGAATAACATGTGCACCTATTATGTCGTCATCCATTTCCGTGGATACTCCCGCGCTTCAACAATATGCTTGCTACGGCGATCGGAGGCTACAGTTTCTTTAAGCACTGCAATCCATACGAAGACAAACTCTATCATTTTCACTGCTCAATAAACCTCCGTTCCGGGGTCGCTCCTTTGCCGAAACTCCTGTGGGCGCAATAGAAGCTAAAGTTTTTAACGACATTACTTCAAATTTGGTATTAAGCATTTGGGTCATAAGAGGGCCGGCTTGGTTTATTTTTTGTTCCTTCGCAACCCTTAACTCCTGGGTATTATCCACACTTTGCCAATAATTTGCAGTTTTTAACAATTCCTTTAATGATTTGATGTGGCACAATAGGAATTTGGGAGATTAACCGATTTGGTTTTCAAATTTGGTATGAATAACTGGGATGTCGCAAAGTCTACACCCCGATGATTTTAAGCATTCTTAAAAGATTGGATTTCTTAAATAAATAAATAAAGGATCCTTGGTCCACATGTAAGATTTTCTTTCATATAACCTGCTCAATGTATATTTTTATACGCCCAAATTTTTATGTGAACGTATTATGCTGTCACCCCTGTCCGTCCGTCCGTCCGTCCATCCACAATTTGTTTGTGGACACTCTACAGGTCACAATTTTTATCCGATTTTGACGAAACTTGATATCGGCATATATCGGACAAGGACTTTATGGATTATGGCCCCTGATTGTACGCAAAATCACGTTTTTAGCTTGTGAACACTGTAGAGGTCACAATTTTCATCTGATTTTGATGAAACTTGAAATGTATGTTTATAATCCAAAGATTTTGATTCCTGTCGACATTTGCTCATATCGTACCGTATCTTCAAGGATTATGGCCCTTGATTGTACGAAAAGTCACGTTTTTAGCTTGTGGACCCTCTAGAGGTCACAATTTTTATCCGATTTTTTAAAACTTTTAACAGTATCACCGTTACACTCTAATGACAGTTGAGTTCGAATTTGGTGAAAATCAGAACGAAACTGTCTGACAAAATGGCCGCACCTGATCAAGTTTGATCAAACTTATATATGTTTATGGCCCAAGGATCTCGGTTTCTTTCGCAATTTGCGTAACTTCCTGGGTTATGGTCTCTGATTGTACAAAAATTCAGATTTTTGTTTAGCCTCTCCTCTGTCTTACCTGGCAACCACTGATTTTCCAAAACAAAGCTGCTACGTGGGCGTATTTCAACGCTTTGCGTGGCTATCTTTTATTATCTATTTTTGGACGATTATGGCAAGAACGAAGAGCTCTGAAAAAATTCTTTATATTTGATTTTGTCGATTTTCATTACTTTTTCAATTTCAGATTTTATATGATATTTTATCAAGTGCCTTGAAGCAGCGTGGATTTCATGTAGAAGATCTGGATATCAGTTTCATTATAGCTGTTGTACATTATATACATACCATAGCTCAATATAGAATTCAACACTTTCTGGAAATTATTTACCTCAAGCCTGATGTTTTACGTGCGATAGTTGATATGAAGGCAGAGAATACTGGTCATTGCTTATTGAACAAAAATTACATGGTAGATATTCCTTATGTTTTACCTTTTACCCAGAGAACTTGTGTCCAGCTATCTTAAACAACAATTTACAATTTTATTTATTAACTGCGTGTTTTGTGCTTCAACCAATTATCACATGGTAGGTATATGAGGTATAAATATGGATTCATCAAATGAAGAACTTTCTTCCTATATTTCATACAGTTGTGAATTTAGAGGAGGGACTTTTACTTTGTTCTTGTTCAAAACATGATTGACAAAACCTTCCTGTTTAATATTTATATGAGAAATTATTTTCAGCGCACACAATTGCTGTTTTAGATTTAAAATTATATTATTACATTTATATGGATTCTGAAAAACTTTTCCAAGAATCGTGTATTTCTTCAGGGATAATTTTGATGTTCAAGTGGATGGCCCGAGCAATATGGTTGTCAACATGTTCTCCTAATCTGGTATTAGTTTCAGTCAAATTTGTTTAATAATTTACTTGGTTGGCGCTTATTCGGGTTCGGGTGAGGTAGGGTAACATGATAGGGAGAATGTAGACATTTTCCTATTGTCATTCTAAGTAAATATGTATAAAATACATTTACTATGATTGGGTGTTGTTTCAGACAGAAGATGTTTTGGGATTATGTGCGTTTATGGAGATGATGACACCACATACAGGCAAATTGGACAATCCAGATGGTAGACGAGATTGGTATAAAGAAACATGTAGATGTTTACCAGTAGCTGAAAAAATACTGGATTTTAGTTCATCAACAAAAACAGTTAAAGGACTGGAGTATCATGATGCTTGTAGAGATCAGTTAACACAAATAAGGTATGCTTAAATTGACATAAAACAAAATATTTTGTTTTCCATTTTCAATTTAATCTGCCCGTGAAAAATATCCACTGAATTCTAAATAGGTCCAAAGTTTTGTTTTTAAAAATTCAATGACTTTTTCGGATTTAATATCGCTTTATATAACTTGACCAGGGGCTTTGTATGGCTGAGCAGAACCCAATCCAATATCCTGGTTACAATGACATAATCCTGCCAGACATTCTATGTCTTAGCAGTTAACCGTCAGATATTGTACTCTCCCTCAACCTGCCCAGTTCGCTCTAGCCGGAGCGCTAACTTCTTGAAAAATTACCATGCCAATCGGTCTGACCAGTCGGAGCTTGTTCCTATCTTTTATATACTGGATATTCTGAGATAAGCGATTCATTCATTATTTGATTGGTTAAATATGCAGAGAGTTTGCCAAATTTCTAGATGTCATTTTACTTTTGTAAGTCACGTTTGCATGTGGATACGTACATAAATATTTAGGTTTCTTAACTGTCCTCACAAGACAGGCACTGATGCTTTAATTAGAGACATTTTTCACACGTATACTTTCGTTAAAGGTTAGAGTTTGGTATTTTAGAAACTTAGACATAACAGACATTTACAAATATCGTTCCTTTTCATTCAATACCAAAATGAACAGAGATTCGCCGTTCAACTAACGACATGTAGATGGAAATATTTGCTTATGATGATTCAGAACCAAAATCAAGGACTAGAAGTAGCTGGGATGGTGATTCCTACAAGGGAAATAGCTCGTGCACAAAATTAAAAATTCAAGTATGTGCTCTGTAGAAAGGCTTTCATGATTTAATTTCAATTTGATAGTAGTTTTCTGTCTGTAGACAGTTATTTTATATATAATTGAATACTTCCAGATGTTTGTGGACGAAAATTGTTACTATTACACTGTTCGTTGAGCATTTCTCACCAGCAGATGAATCTACTGCTGCTCTATATCAATCCCTCAAATGGCAGATACTCTGGCATGTAAGTGTTTGGTTTTTTGTTGTTTTTGTTTTTTGATAATGCAGCTGACATTTTATTTACGCTATTCTTTTGCAGTCAGATAAGAAACATAATCATAATTTGAGATTTCTGTGTTGATACATGGGTCCCATTGCCAACAATTTAGTGGGTTTTCGTTTTACCTTTTATACGCCTACACATAGTTTGAGCGTATAATCACCCTGCCCGCCGGCCCGTTCGTAAGCAATTTAGACCAGTCAATGAAATAAAAAAAAGTGTTTTTTCATGTACTGGTTGACATCCTACAAATTTACGGAAATGTACACAATTTTTACGGTAAATGTCAGATTTCCTTTAAAGACTACAATTTCCGACAAACACAAAATCGTCAATTCGTAAGAGAAAAACATGAAACTGGGCCAATTTTATGCTCACTTGTACCATATTCGGGGCTGTTCTTACCTCCAAAACATGCGACCCTCAACCAAGTATACTGTCTGCACTACTGTAATAGTTGGTATGGAAATGTTTTTGCGGGCATACCCCTACTCCATAACTTGCTGTCCTGGAAGGCGAGTGAAGCAAGAAAAGGAAATAGCTTTTCAGGATATTATTCGACCTCTGTTTGTTGGGATATATAACGTTATAGTTTTTAATGATAAAAGCCTAATGGATATTCATCCCCCGTCTCCCCTTGCCGAAAGCATTGTGAGTCTACAGTTTTCAACGGGTTATTTCAAATTTGGTTTGAAGCAGCGGACGTACGATATTCCGTTTTTTGAAGGCATAAACGCACATTATCAATGTTTTCATGTCTATGTAATGACAATCGGTTCTGTCTGTATCATTGTTTACGATAATCTTTTTTACAGTTATTAAAAGAAGATGTCGACTTGCACAATTTGGATTCTTTAGAAAAGGTTGAAAAATTCCTGAAATTAATAAACAAAGCCGTATTACACAAGCTTCTGGGGTAAGTTTATTCTAATTTCTCAGATATAAACATGTTCCGTAATCCCGGTGTATCGTTCACACAGGATATTGTTATTTTGACCACATTGTTCTTATTCAGGAACATTCTGTAAATCAAGATAGTTGTATTTGAACTAGTGTATTGTTATTCCATATTTCTATTTTACTACATCCATTTTCATACGTACACATTCTTAATGTATTATGCCGTCACCCCTATCTGTCTGCGTGTGTCTGTGGGTGTGTGTGTCTGTGTATCGCCTACAAGGCGGGATTCTTAGCGGATCGTCAAGAAACTTTGCAGACTTGTTCTTTATACCCTTAAGATGACCCACCCCTATTAGAGGACGTTATTGTTCTGTTTGCGTTCATCGCTTGCAAAATGTGGACTTATCTTGCATGGCAACCTCTTGTTTAATTTTTATGTTTATTTACATGTCATTGTAGGGAAGTAGCATCTTGTACACAGTGTAATACCAAATTCGAATCGGCACCAGTAAAACTTCCATGTGGTAATAAAATCTGTACTGAATGTATGATTGACATGCAAGAAGATGGGGAGAAACACTGTCGGCGGTGCGAAAGAGAAAACCCAGACAACTTTAATGCTGCGGCTTCAAACCGGTATATATGATCCAGTAAAAATATAGTTATTTCAGGCATTTTTCTTCAAACTGAAGAAAAACAGGTTTAATTTACAAACTCAAGCATACTGGACAACATATTTTAATTTTTACTTTACGCAAGTCCCTTGCACGCTAATTTTAGTTGCTGCCTTGGTTATCATTCACATTGACTTCATGTCATAGCTTTGTTATTATACTTTCAAATGGAACCTTTATACTAGTAAAACAACGATTCTTGTCCATTTTAAGGGAATATTGCTTTTACATTTGCATTATACCCATTCGGCTGCAGTTTGGTGCTTTACCCATACTTGTAATTAAGATCAAATTCATTTCAGGGAAAGCTCGAGACAATTAAAGACCTTTCATAGGCATTGTGACTCATTTCTGATGGCCATGGTATCTAAACTGTGCTTTAGTTCAAACACCGCACCTAGTGAAGATGTTGTACACAGGTTGATGGAATATATAACAGTTAAAAAAACAGCTAGAACTGGAGAATTAAATGTTCATCGCGTCAAAACGAAACCAATGAGTTTATTCATTCATGAAATTGACCGTACTCCAATATGCAGACTCTTTTTCCTGAAACTGCTTATTCGTCAAAGGTAACTTTGAATTTCATAAATATAAAATGATTTTAAATTCCAAACATGTTTTTTATGGTGTTATATGTTGATGGTGGTCAGTTCGTCCACACCTGCACGCATCCTACAGACATCATATCTTATGGGTTTGTCGTGATATTTTGTTTTCTTCCCATTCCACCTTGAAATGTTTTCGACTTCCAAAGACCCTTTAAACCTGGTGACTTCATCGTTTAACTACCTTTGAACCCTATATAAATATGAGTCTGACCTCTACTAAGAACAGATATATGTTCGAAAATGGAAGCTAAACCACTACCAATTTAGCGGCTACAATACTTTGTCTTGGCCACTGATCGAGTATAATAACTGTTGTAGCTCTCCAATCTTGAACTCCACGTTTGTTGCAATTATTGACTTAGTATATTTGACGTTGGCACATACATCAGGATGTCGCTAATACCACCCAAAAATAATTCGGTTTTATGTAAACCTGGATACACGGTTTACAATTCTATGAACTCAAAAAATATTTTTCATTCTATATAGTTAGAGCAGCTGCTGCTGGAAACGATAAATTATTTTCCCCTAGGAATTGAAATGGCTATTTGACGCAAACAAATAACCAAATACGGATATGTAATAAAGTATTGACTAATATGTTATAAACACGATTGATATTTTAATCCGTAGCGCTGAATACACATCAAGTTATCTACATGACTTTTTCGAGGACGCTAAACAATTAATTGAACAAACTAGTAGAAGAACATCAAAAGTAAATAAATCTTCTCTGGTAGAATTCAGTGCTTTGGTTTCATATTGCCTGGAGGTGAGTAATTCGTTTAGACATGTATGTTTGGTTACCAACAATTCCATTTTTCTGTTATTTTCAACTGTGGGGACTAGAGTGGGGTTTATACGATCCACCAATCCACACAGCAGTCCCATAAACATGTCTGACAGCTGTTTACACGATACAACGACTGTACTTGATGTGCGTGTGTGGTAGAGTACTAGTCGCTGATTTAAAAATGTTCCCAAACTAAAGAATATATAGTTTTAAGAAAAATTAACACAAATTATAAAACTATATTTTGTGTTTCTTATTTATGTGTACGTAATATGTTGTCGACCGTGTTCATCTCATTAACGTAAAGCAGTTTAATAAACCTTGATTTTAAGTTGCACCTGTCTTTGCTAATTCTTTCGGAAATGTATTTGATCGCAAAAGGTCAGTTAAGTACGGAGCCCCTTAAGTGCACGATTCCACTTTTAGATCATTTTTTCGTGCACAATTACATGGACCAACCATGGCGTAGTTTTGTGGATGGACCGTATCAATTCCACCTTCCCCACCCGACATTATCCGTCCGTACGTATTGCGAAGCTTTAGGACCACAGTTTTACATCATTCCTCCTCCACAACTTTCCTCTACAGAGTTGCCCATGTCCCTTTCTCCATCTAAAAACCTTGTGAAAGCGATAGAGCCAACAGTTTTTAGCCCACTGTGTCCAAATCAAAGAAGTAATAAACATATTAATGGATAAACACTTTTCATTTTTAGCGACTTCTGTTGAAATGAATGGCGTGAGACCATCTTGCTGTCACAAAATTCGTTATATCGAATTTATTATTTCGTTCTAACGAATTAATATTTATAACGAAATAATTATATAAGAAGCGTGGCATTGTGTATGAGAACATTATCTGAGAGTGGAATCGTGCACTTCAGGGGCTCCCTAGTTAAACCTGTGAACATGGCCTGTCATGTTAGTGCATATGACTTTCGTCACTAATCGTGGCAGCCAGTTACATTCCGTCAGAAATTCAAACTGTGACATTTTGACTTGACCAATGCTGTATTCAGTATTTCCAAACCATGAAATGAGCTGGCATATATTTTCCGATTGACTTGCATGCCAGTCCTCAATCGTTTTAATTGAAATGTTTTATTGTCGGAGTTATGGCCCTGGATCGATTTGAAAAAGCATATGGTTGTTCCCGAGGCTACAATTATCATGGAATTGATTTGAAATTTATACATCGAGTTTAAAATTTAGTAACGAAATAATACGTTTAATAAGTTATTTTATTAAACACGTATGTGTTGTTGCCCCAGTTTAATTTTAAAGTTAAATACTTCAGAGTCATTGGTAATCTCCTACTGATACACTGAGTCGCTGGATTGATGCTTTGAAGCATGGTACTTCAAATGTCATTAATATGATTCATATTTAAGAGAAAGAATGTTCTTTTTGTAATAAATTTACTTAAAGATTCATTCACATGAATCTATTTCTGGGGTAGTTCTATCCCAAAAGAAGTATGGCATATTTGGTACATATGACAAATATATACACCCAAACTTAAGACACAAATACTGGGTTCTCTGATAAACACAAAGGGTAACATTCTAAGGCTGTCCTGAACTGTCGGCTCAGGTCGCGACACGCGCTGTTGATCTAATGTCTAACGGTTGTGACAGCATTTGAGGTGGGTGAGGCGGCTTTAACGTCACACGGTTGTCCATGAACTTAAAAAAGGCTTTGAAATTTATAGTAAACGGACAGCAACTAAAGAGCTTAAAAATGGATTCTCTCTCAATTAGTCCTTGTTATAATCACGGGTGATAAAAATAGATTATGTTGGGGCGGGCTAGTGTTCGTGGGATTCGAATGTTTTTAAGAGGCATTTGCAGCAAACGTTTGATAGACAAATTAGTTTCCCGAATAAATCATCAAATTACACAGTTTGTAAGTGGAAAGGCATCTTTAAACAATTTCTGCAGTGTATTGATATTTGTTATTGATGTGTATGTTGCCATTTTACCATTTGTTCATCTGCCACGGTGAACCACGTGGGTTTAAACATATAAGATGTTTACTAAACTTCTTAAAGGGTTTAGCTTGCATGTAGAACTGCATTTTTGTTTGTTTATTTCAGGATGTATATTATGAAAACGCTTCTGACTTTACAGACCAGTGTATCCAAGAAATAGATGCAGCCACAAAAAGCTTAAAGGCAGCTGCAGAATATTTCAGACAAAGAGATAAAGATGAGATTTCTGTGATAGAGCAACTCGAGAATCTAGTGCGTTGTAGATATGGACTGGTTGTAGCAGCTAAATATCTCCATCATTTCTTTATTTCAAAAAGCTTGAATATGTCAGAGGAATTCCGTTCATTGGTAGAAGCCATTAGAAATGTTATCAAAATAGAAACTACAATGATGTGGCCAAAGTAATTTTTTTTTATTATAAATCGCATTTGTAATTAACATGGTTAATTCCTGTGGACGTATATTTGCCGCCACCGCTGTCTCTGTATGTGCCTGTGTGTCGCCTACAGGCCACAATTCTTAAGTGATCATCTTGAAACTTTACATACTTATTCATTATACCCCAAGGATGATCCCTATTGTTTTTGGTGCATTCCCGACCCCCAGGGACAGACCCACGCCCATTTCTTGTATTTGTTTATTTATCGTCTACAGGCCGCATTTCTTAACGTATCATCTTGAAACTTTGCATACTTATTCTTTGTACCCTAACCTTATACCCTAAGGATGATCCCTATTGTTTTTGGTGCATTCCCAACCCCCAGGGGCAGGGCCACACCCATTGTCTTTTTGTGTGTCTGTGTGTCGCCTACAGGACACAATTCTTAATTGGTCGTCTTGAAAAATTTTCATATGAATTCTTTATACCCTAAGGATGATTCTTATTGTTTTTTGGTGCATGCCCGACACCCCCCCCCCCCCAGTTGCAGAGCCACGCCAATCTCTTGAATTTATTTGTTTGTCATCTACAGACTGCATTTCTAAATGTATCCCCTTGAAACTTTGCATACTTATTCCTTATAACCTAAGGATGACCCCTATTGTTTTTGGGTGATTGCCCAACCCCCAGTGGTAGAGTCACGCCCAATTTTTGTGTTTATCGTTTATGGATCAACTTGGTACTTCGCATATTTATTCCTTATAGCCTAAGAGCGTCAACTATTGATATTGGTCAATGCCCCGACCGACAGAGGCAGAGCCACGCCCAATTTTTGCCTTTAGCGCCCGAAGTCCAAAATTCTGAATGGATTATCTTGGAACTTGGTATACTTATTCCTTATACCCTAAGGACGGCAACTATTGAAGTTGTCTGTAAATTTGGAAAATCAAACCCAACGCCTAGCCTTCTTTGCCCTTTGTCATATTACAACCGTTTCATATTTCATTCTCTTCATTTTGAAAAGTACCATATCAATCAAAGCAGGAATGTGGACGTATATTGTTGTAGCGTTAGCGATGCTCTTGTTATTTACGCCTACCGATATTACAATATGGACGTATATTGCTTCTCTTTCTCGGAAAATCTCTGGAAACAACTTTTATAATCATTTATAAATTTATATGCCTGAGCCTGATTTAATTCAGTAAGATCGGTACATTGCTAAATATAACAGTGATACATTTCGTGGAATTGTGTGAATATTTTTTATTGAATTAAGGCTTTGTTTCTGGATTTAATTTAGGTTTAACGTCGAGGTATTTGATTGAAAGTTAGTACACTGATGAATATAACAGTTGCGGATCCAAGTTTCAGGGGATTATATACAATGTCCATGTGCTGAATTAAAGTAAAAACACAATTTGTTTTCCAGAATTTTTCGATGTATATGATTGGCATTTAGAATGCTTGTATACAACGGAATTACAGATCAATTTTGTGAAAATGTATTGCGTCTATAAAAATGAGAATTTGGATAAACATTCAGACTTTTATAAACATATATTGCTTCAGCAATACCCACCACAGAATGTTTGTGTGTTTTAGGATGTTTTTGTTGAAACAAATTTGCCGAAAATATGGAACTGACTGTTATGAAGAAATTATGAGTAATGACCAATACAAATGGATTGGTTTAGAAAGAAAAAGGGTATGTACACTATAGTTAATTGTTGTATGATACAGGGGCTATGTGAAGGGGACACAGTGACGCACTTTGTATCATGGGTTTAGGATTTTTGCGCCCCCCTCTCAAATAAAAAAAATCACGTAGTTTTCAATGCGACTTTCAACTCAATTGACTCGCAATTAATGGCAATCTTTATGGATATTGCTGACCGCAGTGTGTTGAATGAGGGTCACCCACTGGTTTACTTTTAGCGCACAATACGGAACAATTTACACAATAACAGTGGTAAGGCCATTAATAAAGATTTCTGAACTTGGATCTTGTATTTGCCAGTGACATGATGATATTAATGTGTATTCTAAATAATTGAATTTTCATATTTTAAAACAGCAAATGGTTCCGGATAGATATGTTATTTATGGTACAGACTACACAAATGTCCTGCAGACACTAAGACTTGTTGATTTAGGAGACGATATTAAAACACTACACAGGAGTTTAAAGGTATGTCTAACATTATAGTCATATAACATAACTAAGTGAAAAGTTTTAGCAAAGTAACGCAGGGTCACATCGATTATGAATTCCTAAAAATCCTGCCAATCTGATAAGCTAATTACTGGTAAGAATATATAAAGTTATCGGGTTGTTACCTTACATATACCTTAATTAACTATTCTTCACGTCCGGTGATGTTGTCCATGGGGATATCGTGTTCGTAGACAATGGAAACTTAGGCACTAGTTTATCTAAAGATAAGGTTGTATCTCTTGATGTTCGTATATTGACACGAACTGAATGTTAATTCTTAGTGCAGAAGATCATTAGAAATAATCATAACTGTGGTTTTAATGCTAGTGGTAGGAATCTTTATTTATAATATACTCTTCAAAAAAGTAGGGGATATTGAAATGCAAATACCTATGCAGGTTGTGATATGATAAATAGTCATGGTCACTTGACATGCTTTGAGAGTATGATCACCGATGAAGAACTTATTGCCCCAACAGAACCACTGAGCTGCACATGCGACACGCAATAGCGCAATACACGTGGGAGGGGTTCATTGTCAAATTTGACACTTCAAGGAAGGGTTGATGAAAACTGCCGCTTTCTGGTTTATCCTATCCATGTTTGCTTTCCTATCGGTTCTTGCATAATATTTACTGTTTAGCGTATCTTTGCTTTAGTGTGTTACGTTTAATTTATTCGGGAGCCGTGTTCGTCGACGTCAACGTCAACCGACAACACTGCAAGAATTGGCCGTGGCACTACAAGAGGAGTGGGTCAGATTGCCCCAAATCGTGAATGGACGGTTAACCAGGAGCACGCCAGGGCGAATTGCTGAATGTTTGAGGATTGGTGGAGCAATTACTCATTATAAAGACAAAAATCAAAAACGTCCATTTTCACTTTTGACAGTGTATCTCTTTGCGAGTGAAATGGGGCCGTCATATAAGCCGCCCATATGAACTGTTTATGATCATGTGTAGGCAATTGGCCTGTTATTAACATACACTGGTTACCTCTAATAAAAACAGCAGCGCATTTCGCAGTTTTGTATTGTTTCTGAATATCCCCTACACTTTTTTTTTTGAAGAGTATATATTGCTTATCACAATATGAAACTTGCATGTGATAATACGGAAAATTACGGATACTTCCATATGTTTTATTATGTTAGAAAATAAACAAGAAAAGACAAGAATTCATCTTTTTAATGGTATTACAGAATACAGTATCAACATTTGAAAATGAAGTAAGTGAATTGGTATTCCTGTGATTTTGAAATATTTAAACTGATTTGAATTTGTTGTACATTTGCCTTCGAAATCGAAAATCACAACATTTCAACCATGGGCTTCTTTGTTTATTATTGCATTAACTATAACCCCAGCAATCAAGTTTAAAAGTCAAACGTGGTTTAGCTTACTGGTGGGCTAATGGACATCGTGGTTGACTTGTTTCGCCTAATTAGTAAAATAATATGTACTCGATCAAACATAATAATTGTGTAGCTATAATTTTTTTCAGTAAGCTGATAGTGAAAATAATATCAATCAGTCGAGCGTGTAGTAGGTAATTGGTAGTTGAAATATACATGTAGTTATGTCGTCGTGAGAGAATAGAGTTAGTCCTTCCCCTTGATTCACCTTATATTATTCTGAGAATTATCATGTTTAGAATTTCATAGCAGCTGTCTGAATAATTATTGTCTTTCTTTGTTTTAGAAAACTAAACAAAAGCTTGATGAATTCATCAAAGGCAATGATAAATTCCAATTAAAGGTGAGTAAAGACATTTCGTCTGTAGTCACCCACGTTCGACAACAAATTAATAAACTCCTAAAACAGGTGTTTATCCGACTGGTAAACTAAAAATATGTAAAAGCAAATCGAGAATGTACCTGATGTGAATTGCAATTTCAGAATGTAGCACTTGAGTTTTTATCAACCTCAGAAGAGCAGAAGAATCAATATATAGGTGTTACTACTACAAACCACATAGAATCTAAAAATTTGGAGAGTTTGCTCTATCACTGGTTAATAGTTTTAAATTCGGCATCTAAAGGTGGATTGTTACAACCTTTGTATACATTATTAGTGGATCCCAGCAGTATGGAGGTATGTGAAAGTTTGTATTGGTTGATTGTTGATTTGGTAGGAATGAAATCGACTGAAAGAGTTGAATTTTAAAGGAGCTAAGTCTTTAACTCAATGACATCCAAAATCTTCAACATTAAAAACACGATTTATTTGTCAAATTAAATCAACATTCATGTTGTGATCATACCGGGAAAAGATGGGCTTTTGATAACCAATATTTAAGACAAAATAAACATTTTACCATTGGTACACGAATCGTGTACCATAATGCGCTTCAGCCCCAGTTGTATCAAAAGACTCGGGGGACGAGGCTAGACACATTGCACCAAATCAAACGGCGTATGTAGACTGGAATAACCAGACTCTAAAAATTTGGACTCGCTTGAGACTGCTGGCTTATTTCGCCGAACATAACTGATTTGAAATTGGAGTAAAAACGGAAACCATTGAATGTAAATCAGTTTATATACATTCATATTACAGTATTATATGCGTTGCAACCCACTTTTGTCAATTTCTAGGTCCAAAATGTTAGCGATTTAGCTCTTTTAAACTATGCGTTTTTGTGGGTTTCTCGACAGTGTGTTTATTACTGCACCAGAACATATGTAATCAAGGATCATCTGGGTTGGTCTCAATGAGAAAGATATATTTAAACTTGGAAAACTGCCCGTCAGTAATTGGCTAAAGATAACACTACAAAACACGTGTTATGAAACAACACGAGATTGTGTTATTGTCCACACAAGTTACGTGTCCCTATTTAACAACAAAATATCGTATTAAAACAAGAAATGGTAGAAATTGTGTTGTATTTCGCCATACTACACCTAGTAAAGCAGCATTTCCCATGTCCGCATGATTTGCCCTCATTTAATTCTGGTTCAACTGTAATGCTGTGTAATAAGATTTTCTAAGTTTTTATTTTTTGATTTGGCGAAATAGCCAAAGTATTATTCCTCATGAAATGAATTAGTAACACATTCTGATACCCTTACTGTATTATTATCCATAGAATATGTACACAAAGTCAATTCTAATGAAGCCATATGCTATACAATAAGACAAACTAAATCACACACCCACCCCCACGAAAATAACAGTATAAGTAAAGGACCATGTTCAGCTCATAGTCGCCTTTTAAGAATAAAATATTAATTATATCTTTTTATACGCCCACATTTTCATGTGGACGTATATTGTCGTCGCCCCTGTTTGTCCGTCCGTCCGTCCGGACGTCCGTCTACAATTTGTTTGTGGTCACAATTTTTATCCGATTTCAACGAAACTTGAAATATAGCTTTATCTCCCTAAGATCTCGGTTCCTTTCGATATTGGCATGTATCGGACCATAACTTTATGTGTTATGGCCCCTGATTGTACGATAAATCACGTTTTTTAGCTTGTGGACACTCTAGAGGTCACAATTTTAATCTGATTTTGATGAAACTTGAAATGCATGTTTATAATCCAAAGATCTTGGTTCCTGTTGATATTTGCCCATATCCAATCGTAATTTCCTGAATTATGGCCCCTGATTGTACGAAAAATCACCGTTTTTTGGCTTGTGTTCCCTCTGGAGGTTACAATTATTATCCGATTTAAAGAACCGTTTGATTATATCACCATTACATCGTAATGAAGTTTGGGTTCGAATGTCATGAAAATCGGACCAAAACTGCAGGCCAAAATGGCCGCCACATGTACGGAAATAGTGTAAAAATATGGTGTATCAAGGTTGTGGACCCTGTAGAGGTCACAATCTTAATCCGATTTTGATCAAACTTGAAATGCATGTTTATAATCCAAAGATCTTGGTTCCTTTCAATATTTGCACATATCGGATCGTAACTTCCTGACATGTGGCTCCTGAATGTACGAAAAATCGCCTTTTTTCGCTTGTGGTCCCTCTGAAGGTCACAATTATTATCCGATTTCAAAAAACGTTGGATTATATCACCGTTACACCCTAATGAAGGTTGAGTTCGAATTTCGTTAAAATAGGACCAAAACTGACCGACAAAATGGCCGCGCTCGTACGCAAATAGTGTAAATATCTGGTATTAGGTTGTGGACCTTCTGGAGGTCGCAATTTTGTGCCGATTTTGATGAAACTTGAAATTTATGTTTATAACCAAAGATCTTGGTTGGTTTTGATATTCGCGCATATGGGATCGAAACATCATGAATTATGGCCCCTGATTGTATGAAAAATCGCATTTTTAGCTTGTGGACACTCTAGAGGTTACAATTTTGATCCGATTTTGATCAAACTTGAAATGCATGTTTATAACCCAAAAATCTTGGTTCATTTCGATATTCGCGCATATTGGATCGTAACTTCCTGGATTATGGTCCCTGGTTGGTAAAAAAAACAACATTTTCAGATTGTGGATTCTCTAGAGGTCACATTTTTTAAATTCGATTTTAAAAACCGTTTAGATCATTATTCCACCATAATGAAGGTTGAATTGGAATTTTGGGAAAATCGAAATGAAACTGACGACAAAATGGCTGCTCTTTGTATGCAAATTGTATATAAGTATGTAATTCAAACGTTATGGACCCTCTAGAGGTCACAATTTTTATCCAATTTTGATGGAACTTAAAACATATCTTTATATTCCAAAAATCTCAGTCCCTTTTGATATTTGCGCATTTCAGACCATAACTTCCTGGATTATGACCCCTGATTGTACAAAAACTCGTTTTTGTTTTTAGGTTGTTCTCTATCCATCTCTTGTAAAATGTGGGCGTATCCTGGCTGGCAGCCGCTGGTTTGTTTTTTAAAAACGAATAATAAAACGTGAACATTATGAGTAAGATGCAAGTAAAATAATTATAGGTTGATAAAAAAAAAGATAGACATAGAGAGCCCAGCGGTAAGACAAATATTCATATCAAATAGGCATTAGCCTTTTGGACATCATCCGCGACAGGTAAAACAAATAAACGTTGCTTTAACAATACATTACACCAGATTGTAACGAGTTTACAAACACACAATACAGTAAATAGCACACAGCAAAGGCAACTTTTGAATTTCGACCATCGGTCTTATTTGCAGATTCATAAAACAATTGATGACTTTATATTGAGAACGTTAGGTTAACTTATTTCGTTGCAGTCATAATTTAGTAAATCACTATGCATCATCACTGTGTACTGTTCTGCTCCCACTGAGCTAATGAAAATGGGCATATGTCTATGTGGGAAATTTGCAGCATAATATCCTGAATTACGAGAAATCGTATTTGTAGCTTGTATAAAAATCACGTTTTAGATTTTTAGCTCAAGGGGTCAAAATAATTATTCTATTTTGATGAAACGTAAAATCTATGTTAATATCCCAAAGATCTTCTTTCCTTTTGATTCTGTCGCATGTCGAACTGTAATAATATACTGGATTATGGTCCCTGATTGTACGAAAAATCACGTTTTAAGCTTGTTCTTTGTCGATTCGTTGAAAAATGTGAGCGTATCTTACATGGTACGAAATTGAAGAACCCTTTCGAGTCTCAGCGCCCTGTGACTTTGCCTAAAACATGATATAGGTTGTAGTGTTTTTCAAATTAGGTGGAATTTTCTCCCTTTTCCATAACATAGTTAACACGACAGGGGCTGGAGTTTTTAACAGATTTCTTTCTAAATTTTGGAAAGTTTGGGTCCTGAGAGAATGAAGCCTATTTGCTGATTTTTTGAAACGCAATAATGCAACTTTTAGAGAAAGAATTTTGATTAAAAAAGAAGTAGGAATATATTTTCGCTTAAAAATCAAGATAAAAGGATATGAAATTATGGATTTAAGGTCCTACTGTTCTGCTCCGACTGGGTATACGTCATACAGTGTGCTATAACGAAATTTTGCCCGGACAGTGGCCTACACTTATATCTAATTCCAACTGCCTATGGATCTTTTTTACATTCACGCCATTTGTCCCTGCTATTTCCGAATTTTACATTCCTTTTATTTTTTTTTAATTTATCATAAATTCATTTATTTATGACCGCTGGCAACGTTCTTGGAATCTGGCAGGCACAAATAAACTTCATCACATTAAGCCGCTCTTACGAGACTCGCCAAACTACTATAGAACAAACAGAAGATATGAAGTTATTTTTGTGTCGCTCTCGCATAGGTCATACTTTTTTAACTCATATTTTCATCTTAAAGTGAGAGCCTCAACCGTTGTCAGTCATTACATCACATCTTTTCCCAACCGGGTTTGTTTAATAAAAGAGACAGGATTTTATCATAAATGTTAATTTTATATTCCATTTCATTTTTGCATTTCAATGCCCCACGCGTTGTCCTTTGCCAGACCATAGCTACCGCACCACAGACAAGGAGGAAGTACGTCGGAAAATCCAAATGAACTTTCTCAGCCAATTAAGGGATAGAACACGAGATATTCAGGTTAACGAGTCAACGTCGTACTCGCTGTCGCCTGTCCAACCTCGTGGGTTTTCTCCGGGTCCTCCGGTTTCCTCCCACTGCTAAAGACCCCTACACGCATGCCAATTATTGAAATAAAAGTAAACCATATGTTAGTCCCGAAATGGCCTAGTTTGTGTCTAGTGGACGTTTAACCCCATCTCTCTCTCTCTCTCTCTCTCTCTCTCTCTCTCTCTCTCGTACTCGCTGAACCACTGTGGCTCCCGATTGTTTGAGGAATCTTGAATTTGCATACTGCCAACGTTTAAATTTTTGCAGGGGGTGTTTTTACCGACAATGCCTGAAGAAACTCTGGCGGATATATCAATGGTAATAAAAGCAATGATAACTCGAGCAGACCAGGTCACTGTATACAGTAAGCATTTTAGATATCATTACATTTTACATTTAACGATGTTCATATACTTCTTGTCATCCTGCTGTCTATTCTAAATGTGTTTACGGTCATATTTTAGTATGTGTGTATTATGCCGTCACCTTCCTGTCGGTCTCTGGGGGCCACCCATCAACAATAATATAGAAGCTACAGTGTATTGGGATCATGGGATGGCATGTTACACAACCCTGTGTTACACTGTGTGAAAAACAGCAACAAGAACAAAAAGGTAGCTGTGTCCTTCGTCGCACTCGCTAATTATTGTCCTCGGTAAAGCGATTTTTAAATTGGAAGATTAAATATATGTGACTAACGCCGGGGCCTGTTTCACGAAATTTTAACTAAGATTTTAGTAATTTGATTGGATAATATAGGGATTGATTTTAGTGCTAAGCCAATCAAAATTGAAGTATCTACTGAAATTTGGATTTTATCTTTAGTTAAGTTTCGAGAAACGGGGCCCCAATCTTTCCACTATTCATTCACTAAACTGTGTTTTTTGTCACTTATTGTCCTGGATGACATATTTTAATACGTGGTCGTATACTGTCGTCGCCACATTCGTCCGTTGACATTTTGTTTGTGTACTCTTCAGGTCATAATTACGTATTTCGGACCTTTGTTCGAAACACGTATAGTTTCTGTAAGTGTTTTTATTATTTTTTGTGTGAAATTTAGTCAGTTTGTGCAGCCCAAACTGTACATGGTACAAACATTCTGCCAACGTAGATGCGGTTGGCTTCCGTGCGTTCATTTTTGACGAACAGGGGGTGTTCTACTGATGGTACAAAAAATCATCTCAGATTGCCCATATCTGTTTTATTTCTCAGCAGATCTTCATTTTTGGATTCTTTGGACAAATCCCATATGGGCTATGACTGACAGTTTTTAGAAATTCGGAAGTTCGCTCGATTAATATTAGCATCAAAGATTTGCGAAAGTTTTCTTCATCATTTTTTTTTTGACATTCTAGATGGCATATCTCCGTCACTATTTGAGGTATCAAGTTGAAACTTAGTAGGAATAAGGAACACACAGATGCCTTCAAACTGGCATATTAAAAACAATTGTGACGGCTTCCGGAAACTTCCGGCAATTACCGAGGCCTTCCGTTTTTTCCCGAACACGAATAGTTCTTTCCATTTTAAAAATAGACAAAAATGACATATGTTAGTATTAGCCCAAGATATTATCTTTCATTTTCAAAGACCTTGCGATAACATTTTCGACTGCTTGGCCGCCATATTGGATTTTACCAAAAAAAACATTCAAATCGATATTCAGCCGCCATTTTAATTCCGATTTTGTATTGAACCTACTCCAAATGGCAACAATCCTTAGGGAACCGATGTTTGAATTTCGATTTTGTTTACTTCCCGTTTCACTTTCGTGTTTGTTCGACTTTATGGTGACAACTTTTGGTCTTCGAAGGAATTATTAGTGAGGAGATATTCGCCCATGTATCTGTTATTACTCGTCAGTTCAGTCAGTTATATAGAGGGATAACTCGTGTTTTCCTTTTGTGTTCGTCACTTCCGATTGTTGAAGCATTGATAACGCATCTATCGCAGTAATGATCTCTGTGATAAAATAATATTTGGAACGTGTTTAACCAGTTCTATGTGATAATGACTGGCACCAATATTGTCCTTTAAAAAACCGGGTGGGCTGAAATTTCGTGTAAATTAGACTGAAACTTCCCGACAAAATGGCGGCTTCCTGTATGAGAATATTGTAAGCATCTAGTGCCATATGTATATATTGATAATCCAGTTCCTTTCGGGTCGGATTATTGCCCGTGATTGTACGAAAACATTCGCGATTTTAGAGGTCACTGTGTTTATCCGATTTTAACAACCGTTCACCATAATGATGCCTGAGGTCGATTTTCGTGAAAATCGGACAGACACTTCCAGTCAAAATGGCCGCTCCGTGTAAGCAAATTGTATAAAAGTATGTATTGATACTCTAGCGGTCATTTTATCCGATTTTGAAGAAACCTAAAATATGTGTTTATATCCCATCTCGATTTCATTTGATACTGGCGCATATCGGAACGTACCTTCCTGGATTATGGCCCCGGATTGTACGAAAAATCACGTATTTGATTGAAAAGCTGCCCCCTGTTCGCAAATCGTGAAAATGTATGTAATGCCAAGATTATCGACCCGGGCTCCTGAGGTCACAGTCTTTGTTCGATTTTGATGAAACTTAAAGCATATGTTTATATCCCACAGAGCGCGGTTCCGTTCGATATTGACGCATATCGGACGGTAACTGTTTGGATTATGAACCCTGATTTTAGGAAAAATGCTAGTATAACTTGTAGGCCATCTAGAGGTCATAATTTGTATTTCTTTTAAAGACTACACATATATCACCGTTACACCATAATTACGCGGATTTTGCTAATATAATACCAAGGTTGGGTACCCAATAGAGTTAACAATTGTAATCGGATTTTGATGAAATTTAAAATATGTGTTTATGTCTCCGTGATCCGGGTTTCTTTCGATATTATGTAATTTCGAACCGTAACATCCTGGATTATGCCCCCTGATTGTACGGGGGGTTGGGTGGCCGAATGATTAGCACGTGCGCGCTGTATCATACGGTCTGTCATTGAGTCAACTGGCGTGGTTTCGATGGGCCGGTTGTACGTGACAAGGAATAGGGTCGCTGCTAAAGACCCTTACGCGTAAGCGAATTATTGAAATAAAATTGAACCATATGTTAGTCCCGAAATGACCTGGATCGTGTCGAATGGACGTTAAACCACGTCTCTCTCTCTCTCTCTCTCTGTCTCTCTCTCGTTTTCCCCTGACTGTACGGAAATCGCTTTTTTTTTCGGCTTGTTCCCTTTTCGTCTCTTGGAAAATGTGAATAGCAAAACAAGTAGGCTAACGTCTGACAGAAGCTATATATATATATATATATATATTAACAGGGAGTAATTATGTTAAATAACAAAAAACGATCTGACAGCTAGTTTTCCAGATTGTGTTACTGTTTGTTGATAAGCAAAAAAAAAAAACTAGTGAACATAATTATTTCTATAATGCAGTTATCTTGAATATTTGATTAACTGTATATTTTTTTATTTTTAGGGTGTCCAAACGGTCATGCTTATCTTATCGGCGAGGTAAATTCATTGTTTTATATTTAATATGCAATTAGAAAATTATCGCAACACCCGAATATGTATGCGCTCAGGATAAAGGTATTAGGTAAAGATATATATTCTGTCGTCAATATATACCATCGGAAGAACGTAATAGTCCATGAACTCTGCTGTTGTATTGAGCAAAGTTGGCCCGTACAGATAGGGAAGAACATTTGGGGCGATATCAATGTCTGACAAGTTGTCACTTTCTGCCGATACCTTATTGAAATATACATCGACTGCTACTGCTAGATACGAGTGTCGACTCTTACTTATGTATCGGATGTACGTAACAAAAATGAATGATTTTGCCGTCTTCGTGCTAAATATAGCCATTATCAAATGAATCAATGACAAGTACAATTGAAATAATCCAATGTTAGCATTCAATTTTTTCTTCAACAATTTCAATGTTTCTCTTCATTTTAACCTTTATATTTTTTCTCCAATTGCAACGTTTAAATGTCATAATTGCAACCACCGTACTGGTTGTTCGAAGCTCAGTCTCGCTCCTCCCTTTTTAAATTAAATTAAAATATGGCTGAACCGTTCTTAACTATTTAATATCGGAGAAATCCGATGCCATCGAGATTTGATTATGGTCTGGATAAGTTAATTAATGACTTATTAATAATTTAGATAACATTCCAGACCTAAAGAAAGATCTGGAATAGTAAGATTTAGCTTTTGCATAATGTATGTTTAAGGATATCTGACTGTAACTCAACTTATTGATTAATTCCTGTTTTGTTCTTCAGTGTGGTAGGCCATGGGGAGTTAGCAGATGTAATGAATGTAATGCGGAAATTGGTGGCGTGCGCCATAAAGCAGCAGACGGAAATACTATAGATGATGGGTAAATTAATATTTATATAAATACTGTACTAGTGGATGTATTAGGTTGTCTGCCCACATTTATTGTCAATTTGAGGATAGAGAGTGCTTTTTATAATGTCTCATATAATAGTTTATAACGAAACCTCGGCACCCATAAATAACATTTTTCGCACATAGACCCATGTTTCAAAATTGTCTTTTGATAATTTCCAGCCAAAATACATCTAAAGGTGTCCAGATCCTTGTTCAATCGTAACCACTTTTTATAAGATTAATCATGTAAAATGAAAGTCGATTGTCAAGGAAACAGATATGCAATGCAAATTCAAATATTTCAACAATTAAATATTTCAGACAATTTAACAGTTTGGAACTGGTATATAATAGACAATATCATCAGTTATCTGTTAATGTAATTCTCTGGCGTTTTTTAAATTCCAATTCAAGATTTACGTCCCTTCTTATCTCGGCACAAATTACTGAAACTAACACGTCGTACGCTGAATTAAATGTATGACAACCATCTTTTAGTTTCTGAGATCAAAGAATTATAATCGTAGTAATGACAGTGGTCTTTCACATAGGTTACAAGGCCAACAAGTCGTTGTTTGTTTTACGTTGTTGCTAATTCCAAGCAAACATACATCATCAAAAGTCCTTCACATAAGTGAAAACGTCAATGCTATTCGTCAATATTTAACAAACACTAATTCTCGGTAAGCGGTCAAAAAAACCTTAGAAGATATCGCCAGTCTTTCTTTCGCTGCATATCTATACCACTAACACTGTTATAATATTGATAGGGGATATATGCTCTATATTAAGAGATAATGGTGTTAGGCGAATATAAGAATGGGCGTTTAGCAATATTACGTTCTGTGGTGAATTGTAACGTTAGTACATGTATGGGTTATCTGAAGTGAAAATTATTCTTTTCAATATTGTGGAAACAACGGTATATGATGTTTACAATTTGATGCATGAATTGTCCTACAGGTCGATAAAAATGTTGTTTTAATGGGTTAAAAATATATCATGCCAAGGCCAATTTCTGGTCCATATAGGGGTGTATTTGAGCGTAATTAGCCAATCACATAATTAAATTTCAGAGTCAGCTAAGTTATAAATCTATTTAAGAGCCATCTTGGCATCAGATTGGCAGTTCCTTGACGACCGGCGGAAGTCGTAGTAGAGCCATGATGTAGTGGGTTCTAAACGTCTAGCCAACGCTGGTTAGACGTATTCTAGCTTAGCGTGGAAATGTTGATTTTATATATATATATATATATATATATATATATATATATATATATATATATATATGTAGAACTAATGTATCCAGGCTTGATTTAAAACTGAAGAAACCGTACTCTTGTTCCTGTGATCTTGTTTTGTTAATCATACGGTATTTTGAGACTGATAAAAAAAAGTACAGAATGTAAGAAGCTGGAGAGACATTTAAAGTGTCCCAAATAATAGAGAATTAGAACAATATCCACCAAGGAGAAAACTAGGCGATCAGCAGACTGTCCTGAGATATGTAGCAGAGAGTGTGGCCCGCTTTCCAAGTCTCACAGACGGCCTATTGCTACAACACTACTATTTTTACCAAATACAAATAAAAATGAAACAGATAATGGATTGCACTTCACTGATGTCCTGGAATTTGGTTTTATTGTTCTCTCTGGGAAAAACCATGGACCTTGCTACCCAATCCAAACTATAATCTCTCGTTCATTGACAGCTTATTTGGCAACATAATGTTTGTATAATGAATATGTTTTATCTTGGTCATTTTCACCCAATTAGTTTTCTGACTTAATTTAGACATGATAGATCAAAGACGGGTCATATCCTGGGTCAAGCAGATCAGCGTCCATTAGAAGCCATTCCAGAAAGATCTATGTCACCATCTGTTTGTGCTATTATACGAATGATGACTCATATGTCAATGATGTTGGGAGCCAAACAAAATCCAGAGGTTAGTAGGTTTAAATTGATAGTTCATATGAGGAATTAGATAAATCCCCTAAAATTAAACCAAACACGACGTTTACACCATTCTCAATCAAATAGAAGCAAATTTATTATTGGGTTTTAAGTCCACGATGGACATACTAATGCTCGTAAACGCCTAGTAAACATCAACACCAAGTATGAACGTTCGTGACAACTAATAAATTTTACGCCATCTGATGAATTTGTGAAGTAATTTTTCAGGCTAAATAAAAGTTGTGTGGCGTATCAATCGGGTTAAAACACAGATCCTATTTCGGTTCCTTTTTCTAGTTCAAAATTTCGTTTTACTTGTCTTTACTACACTTGGATCTGGAAGAGTTGTTATTTAACTCGTGTTCTGAATGGTGTCAGGGATAAGCCAATGAAACGGTCTGTCACGGCGAGCTTTAGGCGTGTTTTGCACGGAACTGTGGGTAATCCACTAGTAACATCAATGCTGATTGGTTAATCAAATATCTGACATCATAGGGTCATAAGTCGGTCTTTTAACCCCTGGCGTGACCTATCGTTAGATCGTCATGTAGTGTAGGCCATCGAAAGTATAAAAAAACGAAACGAAATATAGATCTGTATTTGAATCAGATTGTTCCAAACAATATTCAAAAATGTTTTAGGGAATGGTTGTGTGAAGAACATAGGAATAAACAAATTCTCGACATTTTAAGCCTCGCTAGCTATGGAAATTAACATGGTCTAACTAAATGTCGGCTTCATATTAATCCCCATTAAATCCGTTCGTTCGTTCGTTACTAGAGTTTTACGTCCACTTCCACCTGCGGTGATATCGTAGACAAACCATTAAATCCATTCAACAATAGTTTTTATATTAGCTTATTTTTTTAAACACGAGTCTACGGTGATTTGAAGGGCTTAATAATCTTGTCCTGGTATATGAATATAATTTGAACACGTTTCCACCAGGATATAATCTAACTATGTTCTATGATTTATTGTCAAGAATGGATATGTTAATGAATTATGAAATATTTTCAGACCGTGTTATTATAATATATTTTAACAGGGTGTAGCAAATTTGATTAATCCACCAATTAATGAAGATGTTGAAGTTTACTTTACATGTCATTTGCAAAAAGATGTAGCTGTGCTACAGAAGGCACTACAAAAGAGTTCAGATGATGTTTATCTGCTGATTCATCTTATTTGTCAACACCTGTTATATAATTTACCAACAGGTATTATATTAAATAAGTAGATATATATTCATTACTGTTTTATTAGGATGGCCTACTAGACATAATAGAAGCTGTATATGCCTTGCAATCAGCACTAAGTTGCTATAGCTGTCCTTTAATTTCTCTAGATTTTTATTAAATTTAAAAGTTGCAGAATGTCATATTTTAACAACCCTCCTACCCCCCGATTCCTATTACGCTTTAGAGAGCCTTCTTGCAACTCAACCATGGTCACAATTATCGACTTAAGTGATATGACACAAGTAGAACAGCTTAACATGAACAGTCTGTTTCGTCCTTTTTAATCATATTTAAATAAACTAAAAATGGTTTCTCGTTGTTTCTATTGCCACTTCCGACTTCGGTGACAAATTGATCGTCGGTCCATGAATCGCCTAAAACTTGTTCATGTCATGAAAATATCCTTAATAATAGTTCCTTCAATCGAACAACACTCTTCTCTTTCACAAATTCTTCCGAAATAATAGCAAGAAGGTCCGAATGATTGGCACCAGATTGAAAATCGTTCTGCACCGCCGCAAAATGGTCTGAGGTGCGTCAATGTTGTCAAAGGTGACGTCATTATAATAAAAAGTGAGAGGATTGGTCTCTGACGGAAAGACAAGGCTACAGAAATATCAAGGAACTATATAACATAAACAGTACAAATTGTATTTGTAGGTGGCGGAATTCATTTGTTGGACACCAAAGAAAGTAGAAAGAACTGGGAAGATGAAGTATCAGCAATTATATCCCAAATTCTGCAGGTATAAATATTTGTGTACATGAAGTTGTAATTTTTATTTTTAATTATTTAATAAACTTCATAATAACACAACTTTATGGATTTACTACTTCTTAGTTTATTACATGCAACGTTTCAATACTCTTACAGGTATCTTTATCAAGCAATGATCAATAATGAATAACAACCTTACATTTATAGTACATCCATGAGTAAAAACAATATAACAATCAAAACATAACATTAATTAAGATTTACAACAACAACTTCAAAACGTAGCCTAAGTAAATCAGTACTTGTTCTTCCACAAGTATGTGTTATATTTCATTTTCCTTTCGGATAAGCTGTAGTGTTGACGTATTCCACGGCCTTACGTGAATATCTGATAAATATATTAATGGATTAAATCTATATTGATTTATATTACAGAGTATGGAAGGCAGACTGGCCAATGCTAATCAAACGATTGTGGAAAATAGCAGTTCAGGTAAGAATATAGTCAGTGATCATAGTTTGTCCGTATATACCAGACATCTCGACCTGTAAATATCAGACCACCAATATACTGAATCAAACATCACGGTATCAGATATTAATACCCACCTTTAACCTGTCACTCTGTCGGTTCGTCAATAATTGTTATATGAACACGATAACGACTGAAGTTTTTAACGGATTTGTTTTCTAATTTGGTCGGAAACATGAGGACTTGAAATCTGTACACTACGTGGCCCCATCTACTCGTTCACAATTTCTGTCATTTTGTATATTGTTCTAAAACATGCCGAAATCGTGTAAGTCATCTAGAGAAGATGTATTATGCATAGTTATTGCCCATCATAATGTTGCTGGTTACCTATGACAAATCCAAGTGGGACAACAATTCTGGACTGTTCGGACTTGGATGCTGTGGACGTATATCATGTAACTGGATTAATATAATTTTATTCATATTTTAAGATGAAAGTAATCTTCTCAAAATACTGTATGAAGTGGACAGTCCAGCAGAAAATACGGGTTTACAAAACCTTGAAACTAATCCTATTCTTTGGCGATACAGAGAGAGGATAACCGTGGAACATTTCTTGAGACAATTCCAACTTAAAGTTATAGATCAAGACAATCAACGTGATGCACAAACCTTCCAGTTGATTCGATTATTCATGCAAGAAGTAAGACTATTACGTGATAATATTACTTTGTTTAACATACGTTTAAGAGTTATCAGTATTGTTATTTATAAAATTTTAAGTAGCTCTAAAATTAATGTTGTTTTGGTCATGAAAAATAACCATATTTAATACTAATATTTTTGCAGTTAATTCCATGTAAACATTTGGAATTTGAGGCCTTTTTACGTGAGAGTATATTGCTGTGACCCTATATGTTGTTTTGAAATATGGAACCCTGTCTTACTGAAACGATGTTGTCCAGGTCGGGGTGTTTGAAAACAATTAATAAACCACTCTATAGCTCACATTTGTGATCCGATTTTGGTGAAACTGAAAATATGTTTATATCACAACGGTCGATTTTGGATCGGATCATTTTCTAACGCCATGGACTTTTGCCTCTGATTTTACGAAAACATAGAGTTCACAATTTCTATGTCATGCTCATTCCACTACAGTTGCAAATGAGTTCGAATTTCCGTCAAAATGGACTGAAATGTGCCAAAATCTCCCAAGGAAAGTTTTTATTGACTGATTCCTTTGGCCGAGTGTATCACAAATATCAAGATAGTCATCACGTTTGAAAATATTTCTTCAGATGATTGTAACATGTTAAGCTATTTGTGGTTATATAAAGATTCAGATGATCGAAATGTTAAAAAAAGACCAAGAAATATCTAGGACTTGGCATTGCAGTCTTAGGGGAGAGACCGACTATACATCAGGAACTGTTTCAATGGCATTTAGTAATTGAACTGGAGTATACAGGTCATAATTCCATTGCTTGATAATGACCATATAGAAGTCTAGTGGAAATGTACTAAGCAGTAATTGTATTCCATAGAATTGTAACCTGTATATATAACAGGAAGTTTACTCAGGACTTTTTAAACCAAACGTCGGGTTCAAGAAGGGTAAATCTGGATTTGTAACCAGGCTGCTCTGAGACCCACCACCTTTTTTGATACCCCCTCCCCCGCGCCATCCAAATGGTACCTAAACACCCACCCTGATGGTGCCCAAAGCACCCACACACCTCCAAGTCGATGCCCAGTCACGTTCGTTTCCGTTACCATCGAGGACATGACATCGTGTTAGAGTAGTACTAAAAGTACATTTTGAAACCTTATTCAAAGCCTCATGTCTGGCAGAATATCTGTCTTACAAACCTACTGGTGAAGCATATTTTGTGTTTACTGGCAAAACTATCTATCATATTTAATATTATACCATGTATAAAATAAACTAAGTACCCACAATCTAAAGCTTTAGAAAAAATTGTGAAGTCCTATAGTTCTTAAATTTTTAATTTCAGAAATATTGTTTACAAGTCTTGCAGTTTTTACCAGATATAATAAAACTACAGTATACTCTTGTGATGACATTCTGTCGCAAGGTGGACAGGAGCGGAGCTAAACGTTTAACTATAGGAACTGTTTTAAACGAATGTTTTGGTGGTAAGAACAACTTCACTTTAGTAGGTGTATGATACCGTAACTCTGTCGGTCAGCCGTTCTGTCCGTCTTCTGCAGACAACCCCATTTTACAATCGACTTGTGGGCGGGATATGGGCCATGAAACACAATAGTACAAACACTTTTCGTCTGCAGCGTTCAGCGATAGTCCGTTCCAGAGTAAGGAATGTGGAAGGATGAATCCTATTGATTTTCAAATTTGATGTTATACAGTGGGATCGGAGGGGATGAACGTTGTTGATTTCAGCAATCTATAACCTACCGTTTGAGAGAACTATTACATTCACTGGTTTTGGAGGTTTCAAGTGCCCTTATCACTTTTGGTCAACATCTATATGCTTATGTGCTGTGAAACACTGGGTTATTAGCGGAAGAACTCTATTCAGTGCCACATGAACATTTGTTCCGGCCCCCACCCCACTTCATGTGAGCAGAGTCTTTTCCATATGTTAATGTTAAGGATTGGGGTCATCAGAGAACGCGACCTACCATTCCATTGTTACACGCCCCTCTTCGAAAAACATTATTAATGTTTTAATGGAGTTACTTCCCCTCTACTTTTGGTGAACACACTGGTGACGTTACAGAGACTACGGTTTTTAATGGATTTTGTCCCAAGTTGGTGTGAAGAATTGGAGATGGTCGCATTTTCAGTTCAGTGAGTTGTCTTCAGTGGATTATGACTAGAAATACAATCATATCTGATCTATGTTCTTTTTATGTTTCAGGCAATGATGAGATTCGTTTGCAATTTGAAAATCTTATTCGTACCTGGGAAACTCTCAAGGAAAAACTTATTTCTCATGGTAAGTGATGCTTAGGTTGTGTTGGGTTTGCCTTACAATGTTTTTTTTTTCACGCCAACATGAAATATAGTCGTATATTATCGCCACTCCTGTTGTCCACATTTGGCGCTTATCCGGTTGACTTAAATGTTTATGATCACGATAAAGTGTTACACAGCGACAAATTTTATAGACGCTTGTTACAAATATGAAATAATATTTTTTTTAATGCCGTTACAAATTGTTATATATATGGGGTCGATAATAACTACCCTAATTAAAATATAAACAACAATAAAAAAAATCAACACCGATTAACTGTGATACAATAAACAAAAGTCTAAAAAGAAAATTAAAGAACAAACCACTAATTTAAGAGTTATACATACACAAGGGTTTTTTTTTGTTCACACCGCTATGTCTCACACGATCACATAATACAACTTCTTCTAATAGTGAGGGGTCACGTGGCTAAGTGGGTAAGACGCTGGCTCGCTAGCCTGGAGGTCGGGTGTTCGATCCCTGTATTGGCCGAGAAAGTTCATCCAGATTTTCCGGCGTAGTTCCCCCTTGTCAGTGATGCAGGACGGCGGGCCTGACAAGGACAGCTGTGTAGTCCTTCGGATGAGACGAAAAACAGAGGTCCCGTGTATACATATACGTAAAAGATCCCTTGGCAGTTGGAATTCGATATAAGAGTAGGCCGTAGTGCCGCTGTCCGGGCAAAATTTCCCTCATAGCACACTGTATGGCGTATGCCCGTTTTCACGAGCCCAGTTCGGAGCAGAAAAGTAGGACGTTAAACGCCATTCATTTGTTTAAGAATTGAATTAAACTGTTGAATTCGTGTACGATATTTTTACATCAAGGTCCCGTGTATACATATACGTAAAAGATCCCTTGGCAGTTGGAATTCGATATAAGAGTAGGCCGAAGTGCCGCTGCACGGGCAAAATTTCCCTCATAGCACACTGTATGGCATATGCCCGTCTTCATTAGCCCAGTATAGGAGCAGAACAGTAGGACGTTAAACCCCATTTCATTTCATTTCTTCTAATAGTCACACCCACGAATTATTGAAATCACATATAGCATGAATTCTTGTAAAGTTCCACACGCGAGTTATTAAAATCACACACATAATAAAAACTATTCTGAGATTCAGACACTCGAGTTATTGGAATCACTTATAATACAAACTATTCTAATTTTTACATACGCGAGTTCTTTGAATCACATAAATAATACAAATTATTCTAATATTCACAAACTGTAGGGAAAGTACGAATTATTTCCCTCTTCTTTATTCACTACATCATTCTTGTGGCTAACTGTTTCCCGTAATGGCGAGGGGTCTTTATTTTCTCTGCTTAGTGTAGATCCACTATTTTCATTTTTTGCCACCATTGGCATTGTTATTGTCCGGTAGTCTCTTCTTTTTCCATACCGTCTGGCCGAACGGTGTGTTATGACATGTGCTATGAAGAATATTATAACTGGCACCCTTGCCCATGTTGTATCATCTGCTTATCATATCATGGAGTGAACTTAATTAATAGTTAATCAAATTAGCAAGTGGAGCAGACTTTAGATAACGATATTTACATTATTATTTAACATTAAAAAATTGAAAAATAGAAGATCATATTGTTTTACCTCAAGATAAAGAATAATGAATGATCTGAACATATTTCACCAATCTTAAATAAGATATTTTGGAAAGAGTCTATCAAAGTTAACAGTGGTTTTATCTCTATAATATTTAAACAAAACACAAAACAAGACATCACATTCGCCTTTAATTCCGAGCACGACCCTCCTGGGGGTAAAACCAATCCCACCTTATAGGAATTTCACATAAAACTTTTCCCGTAAAATATCGGGGCATCCCAATTTCATATTATTGGGGTTAAACAAATAAAATCTCTCCCATAACATATCGGGGAATCCCATAAAACTCGGGTCAAATATATATATATATATATATATATATATATATATATATATATATATATATATATATATATATATAACAAAAAAATATAAGAGATAAAACCGTTAATACCGTGTGAATGCTTATGAGTTATATCTCTCAATTAGGATACTCTTTACTCAATTCTAGTTAAACAACCACAAAACATTTTACTTATCAATATAAACCCGTTAATATTTCATTAATAATAATGTTTAGAGCCAAAATATGTGTTCAAAACAAACAATTATAATTTATAATCTTTTAAAAACAACACGACCTATCCGAAACAAATAGATGCACCCCTAAGCTTTTTTTCAGTCATGTCTCTACAAATAGGTATGTTCTGTTCCACGGCTCGCCTTATACGCGACATACTTAATTTTTGAGCAGTGACAACAGTAAAAAAGGTCACATTGATATATAATTGTGAGCCAATTAATAAATTGGTCAGGTTTCCAGAAAATATTTAAAACAATTTGAGTTACCGCTTATTTCTTCAGTAAAATTATTAAACATAGCACTATCGTCAGGATTAAACGTGGCCATGGTAGGATTCAGAAAAGACTTACCTCTTAATAATAATATCTGTGATCGTCTAGTGGTTTAGGACTTCAAACTGGTTTAACATCTTATAATACTTTTATTCTGCTTCTTACATATCAAGTACAAACATCTTAATATTAAAGATCCCATTACTAACTTGTACTGAAGGAGCCATGTCCTAGCTGATCACAAATGTGCCAACTCCAAGACGCTCTCCTTCGTTCCGTCTCGCCTAGCCTCCTCTCTGCCGATGTCGTTTCTATTCTGGGTTTATAAACCCTTCAAGACAAAGGATATTATTAGACACCTGGCTACTGCATCATATAAGATTTAACATTCAATACAGTTTGCTTATCAGGCAAAGTAAGTTAAATAAAACACAGGCCAGCCACAAGTTGATGTTACATAATGACTTATGAGTGCCAGCAGGACCACCAGGGTTGTCGATAGCGGACAGGTTGATATTTCACGTGTCACGATGGCACGAAGCGTCTATAACATCTGTCGCTATGTAACAAAAGTAAGGAACCAGTAATTTGTCGAACTTCTAGTGAGGTAAATTTTATTATTCTATTAATCAGATAAGTACTTCGTGGATTACTATTCTTGATCAGATTTGGGTGTATTATTTAAATGTCCACATTACATGAAAAAGAATAAATGGCTGTTCAACAGGGCATATGTCCTTTACTTTACTTTACTTTTTATATATCTGTCAAATTTGGGTTCATGTTGTCAGAAACATTTCTATTTTGTATTATCTGTGTAAACTCATTGTGGATTGTATCCAAGAAATCTTTGGCGCTAGGTAAACGCTTTGCATTTTTAATGATATTTTACTATTCGTTATTCCATTAATTAAAACATCTTCTTTGCATCCAGTCAAAAATAAAATATCATCAGTTCTTTATATTACTTCAATTGTTAACTTTAAGAAATTAAATCAGCGATTATATTTAAACCTGAAACATTAAAACACGTTTCTCGTGTATTATATTATATTAACGCAATTACTGCCTTTGATATCACCATCAGATTCAAATCATATTGCCTTAATATTTAATAATTTAAAATTTTGTCAACCTTTTTGCATCAAAATGTGGTGTGTGAAGTCAGGCTTGCGTGGATGGACGACGACGCGCGCTCACCGATTCGAGGTAGAGGTGGCCGAAACGCAGAGGGTAGGTCCAACGGCGAGGAATGCCGCAGTGAGCGTTCCAATATTTTAAAAAAAAACCAATAGACGCAATAAAACAACGCAATAGTCCCGAAATAACTTAATTTGTGTCCAGTGGGCATTAAACCCCGCGTCTAATGAATGAGAAGATGAATCCATTCACGTTGTGTATATTCAGTGTCCCGCGACCAGGATGAACCCGGTTTAATTTCAGCGATCTATAAGTTTGTATTGCAGAGATATTTATTTGTTAAAAAAAGCATGTGAACCTGATTTGATCCACGCTTTGTGTGACTTTTTTCCTAGTTAATTGTTGTGATACTGTCCTCAAATACCTAATATAAGAAGTAGGATCTTTTAAAAGATTGCAATAAGAACGACAGACTGTCATTGCGGAATGCCTTATTTGTAGCTCCATGCAAAATAGTTTTGCCTGTATGTGAGATAACTTTCATAAGATCAAATTATCAGACAAATAAGCATGGTATGTGTTGAATTTCAGTGTGCCATCTCAGGGATGGAGGCAGACTTGTAATTCCAGATGAATTCCACAATATGAAGATGGACAAGTCAACAAAGCTAGACTTTATATTGCCATCTGTCAAAGGCCCAGGAGTCTGTTCATATATCATGACTGAATACTTACTTCGTAAACATAACAGCTGTTTAGAAAGTTATTGTTTACTAACTAACCAGAGGTATGCAGTTTTAGTTTATTATTTATAGCCTATTCATCTATACATCTAGCAATAATATGTTACATAATGTGAGCTACAGTGATTAGATATCAATTGTTCTGTAACCTGCTATGTGATTATAGTGAGAAGTTCTTTTGTTCAGTATCATTAATGAATGTACTATTATCATTCACCATATTTAGTATAAATTGTGTTTAGATTTTGGATATAGAAGAGATGAGCTTTGGTTGCTCACCAGAGAAGGGTTTCTCATATATTTAGTATACCATTGTATATGTTAGAATAAAATGTTGAATCCAGATCATATTTTATTTCTGTAAACCCAAACTATGTTATAAATATTGAATCACTTGCCTAATTCCTGTAAATAATTGACCAAGCTTATGCAATAACTGTTACTCCCAGAAATAAACCAGAGTATGTACACGAAGCAATCCATATATTACATTTACATGTATATAGATGTACATGTTGGCGCTGACAATGCCCTTGAATGGGTTGAAAAATAAACCTTCAATTTTATTACATTTTATGTGTGTTGAAAAATATATATCTATCTAATTTTTTTTAAAAAATATGTCATAGTGTACATATAACTCATTTTGTCAACAACTTTGGCTTTAAGACAGAAGTAAACTTAGTGAATATATTGTCTTCTGTTTACCAGTAAAAAGATAAAGCGAAAATGAAAATGAATTATATCTGGCTCAATTACCAATTTAGATTTGGTTTGTAAAGAAATGAAAATACAAAGGTCTGATTCTTAAATTAAGTTTGATTTACAAGACTTATGATGACACACACTTACTTGCACATTTTGTCCTTTTTTTAAAAAGATTTGAAGATGTTCCAGTCGTTGAAATAAAGGACATTAGTTCTTACCATTTGATAGCTTTCCACCTGGAAAAGGATATTCTACCATTAGTTCTCAGTAACTGCAATTATTCATTTCAACTTGATAAATCCGAACCCGAGGTTAGATATACTTTATTTTTAATTCATTCATAGAATAATATTTAAAGGAACACCTCCACATATCACGGGGTCCTCGAACAATAGCCTATTTTACATTCCTTGAAAATTACAACTCAAAACATTGAGACAGAACCGATTTTAAGAGTTGCACAACGCTTTTAGCAGTTTCGATTATTCGATACAATTGCCAACATTGCCAAGAGCCTATTTAAAACGCTGATCACAACTGAGCTTCGGGATAAGAGGAAATATTAGTCTCCCCTAGCAAAACTCTGTAACCTCGATATATAAAATTATTGATTCTTATAATAACTTGCGATATATTCCCCATTTGGAAAGGGGTAGGTATAATGGGAAATATTTAGTGGTATGATAAGCATCGGATGGGGGGAGGTGTATCCGTTTCGTCACTACAGCTTTGGATGGACTGTAAAAAAGACCAAATGGATATCTGTATTCTGCATGTTTATCATTAAATAATGCACACAGTTATAAAGCTTAAATCATCGGTTGAGACGTGTTCGGTCGTATTATCTCGAGCGCTCGACCTAGTATCTCGCGGGCTCGACTTAATTATCTCCAGCGCCCGACTTAGTATCTCAGTCACCCTACTTATGACTTAAAGGGCCAATCCCGATAATATTTTGGAGAATAAAACTGCTTAATTTTGTGTTAAAATCCCATAAAATACTCTACCTTAGGGTCGAGCAACTAACTCAACATATGTGATACGTTTTCAAACAAGGAATTTTGACGTTCACGTCCAAACATCTCAATATTTTGAGCTGAAATTTTGAGACAAGGTAAATACACCATTCCTCTATATTTTGGCGCTTATATTTCATACGTACTCCGACTTTTATTTTTGATACTCTGTTCAAATCGGGAAATTCCCTTTAAAGCGATTAAGTAAAGAAAGATTTGAGGTGTGTACCAAAAGCTCTATTTTTTTTAAAGGAGATCTATGATTTTGGTGGATTTGAAAATCAATTAAAGGACACTGTATTCACTCGTAAATCCCGTATTAAAACAGAAGGTCATATTATACCAGTAAGTATATTATATATTCAAACTTAGTATATTTTTAAAAAATAAAATTATAAACAATAGACGCAATTAATTCCACTGAAAATGACATAAGTTATAAATAGCCAAAATAACTATTAAGAGAATTAAACTATACACAGTCTAAAATTGAACATTATACCTGAGTTCACGGCTAAGATAGATTTTGACAGAAATGAAATGAAATGGGGTTTAACGTCCTACAAATAGATTTTGACACTTAGTTGCAAAGCATTATGGAGCATAGTGTTTGACTAACATACCTTTTCTGATTTGGCTTCATACGGTATGTAAACTATACAAGAATGCCTAATTGGATATTATTGTGTCAAATTCTATTGTCACCATGGGTCGGAAACGTGCGAACAACAAACAAATCGAATATCGATGATTCTAGAAAACGGTCCGCCATTTGTTTCATTACCGTTTCCAAAATCCGTCCAGAACGACAAGTCCGATTGTAAGCATATACAAATGAAATTGATATTTCTATTATCCTGTCAACGATGAGATCCACGGTGGCTAAGTGGGTAAGACGCTGACTCGCTAAGCTGGAGGTCGGGTGTTCGATCCCTGCATTGGCCGAGAAAGTTCATTGTGATTTTCCAACGTGGTTTCCTCATAGCACACAATATGGCGTATGCTCACTCTCATTAGCCCAGTCGGAGCAGAACAGTGGGACGTTAAACCCCCATTTCATTTCATTTCCTATCAGGGATTCAGATTCTGATAAAGAAAACTGAAAAATTGTCAATCCTTGGATGAGATTTGACATGATATGCTGGAAGTCACCAAAATGAAAACTGATCGTAATAAATCACTGTATATATGGTATAAACCGTAACTGTTTAAAAATAGGCCATCTAAGAATTAAAATGGTTGTGTGTTGTCTTGTTTATTGCACATTTCTGGCACATAAAATATTCCGGTTGGTGGAAAAAACGACCTTTTTTGTAAATATAAAGAATGTGGCGACACTTCGGGACTAATTCTTATGAATTTGTATACCCGTCGATGCAAAAGTTCTTAATTGTGAATCCATATCGATTTAAAATTTAAAAAGGATCAAATATTATCCAACGTGTGACATATCATGTATGTCTCAGTCGTGATCAGTCTCAGTCATGAAAAGCCCAATTATTTATATTGTAACAGTTCTACTTGCATATCAGCCTTCTAAATGATTTGATTGGCCTTTTTGGAAGTTGCATGACGTGGTCTATTTCCGAATAGGATAATAGATGCCATTTCTCTTGGGAGGGCTTACTTAATTGAACAATAGTGAGATCATAATCCCTTATATAAACGATCGAATTTCGTTTCGGTGAGCGTACATGTTTTTATAAGGCTTATAAGGACAAGAATTTTTTTTTTTTCGGTCTATACGATTACGGAAATCTACATGGAATCAAAATCGTCTAAATTTGCTATTCTAATTCCGGAGAATTTTAACTCCGGTATAAATTTGTTGTTCAATTTATGGAATATTTTGTACACCAGGGTCACGCAATTAGTTTTTCTGCAATATTGGGTATAATAAAATCGCGAGTCATGACGTAACGTTATGTAAAAATATTTGGTCCAATTTGGAGCTCTGTTTAACGCGTAATGATATTGTTACGCAGTTAGCTATTGGTTGTTAATCGGACTATTAACCAGTCATAATTTGGAACAGAAATTTGCTATTAGGTATAATGAAACAAAACACTGCGAGGAGTATGATTCGGAGTCGATTTACAGCTCAACGATAATTCCTTTGACTTTAAATAGTTGTTATGAGACCCTATGGGGATATAAGTATGTTCCAAAAGAACTATACACAAGAAGAATCGACTGTCACGTCGAGATGAGCGAGAGAGAACGATTAACGTCCACTCGACACAAACTAGGTCATTTCGGGACTAACATATCGTTCATTTTTATTTTTTGAATAATTCGCCTGCGCGTAGTCGTCTTTTGCACTAGGATGGACAGGCGACCCTACTCCTTGTCACGTACAACTGGGGAATCGAAACCACGCCAGTTCACTCAATGACAGACCTTATGGTACAACGCGCACGCGCTAACCATTCGCCCCCCCCCCCCCCGCAATAAGAGACTGTTATAAAAATAAAACAAGTCCGTGAATTCCCGTCTATTTATTAATTCGGTCTGTACTTCTACGCCTTAGGCAATAATTATAGTTTATTCAGTAAGCTTTATTTTATTATTTTTGTGACAACAACTTCTGTCTCCGCCGCATGGAATGCAAATCATGGTTTCAAAACAACTTTTCAACTTCAACAGAATTCTCAGAATGCTGAAGATTGAACGTGTATCAGTTATTTCTCTCACACGATACTAGATCTTTGTACGATCTGAGAAATATCTGTCCGTGTTTATATCCACAATTCTAACCCTAACCCTTCAGAATAGAACTGCAAATATTTTTTTTTTTGTTTCAGATTGATGCTATGTTGTTTAAAGCAGATTCCAGTAATGCTGTTGTATTTAGTGCTTTAAGAAATAAAATTCCACAGGTAATAACACCTAAAGTTCCAGAACTTAAAAGGTGTTCAAGGTCATGAGGGGAAGACACCCAGAGTTATGGTTCATGGTCACTTCGACTATTCTTGTAGGCTGAAGTTATCCCGTTTCTGATAATTACTGGCAGGTTTAAACAATACAGTGTAAACTAAATGTTGGCAATGGGAATAATTATGTCTGATGATTACTTAATGGGTTGTTATTCTTGATCAGTTTTTATTGTCTTGTGAATGCTCACATTACCTACAAAAGAAAAATAATATGTGACTGTCTGGTAACCCATCTGTTTCATTTTGGTTATGAGATGGTTTATCAAACAGATACTATTTCGTTTCGTTTTTTATAGTTCAAAATTTTGTTTTATTTGTCTTTACTACGCTAGGATCTGGAAGAGTTGGTATCTTTGACGTGTTCTGAATGATGTGAGGGAATAGCTAATGAAACGGTCTGTTACGGCGAGCTTTATGCGTGTTTTGCACGGAACTGTGGGTAATCCACGAGTAACATCAATGCTGATCGGTTAATCAAATTTCTGACGTCATCGGTCAAAAGCTGCTCGTATGACCTTTGACGCGACCTATCGCTACAACATGTTAGATCTTCATGTAGTGCAGACCATCGAAAGTATAGAAAAACGAAACGGAATATAATTCTGTATTTTAATTTGATTGATGGTTTATGAACTTTATGTAAAATTGACATTTTAAAATAAAGCATGATAATGGTATGTTCACAAATTCAGGTATCGCTGAAACTGGTATTAAAACATCAATTATGTGAAGAAATACAGAAGTTACCTGATATATGTGATTCCCTCAACAATTTAGATATTGCTAACTCCTTCTTAAAATCTCTTGGAGGTGATCCAGAAGCTAATTTACATCAATTCATGTCGGGCACTCTGAAGATGAAAACAACAATATTTTCTCAAACAGTACGTTTTATTTATTGAAAACATTACCACACATAGAAAGAGTGTTGTTTAAGATTTGGGGGTCATGGTGGATAAACGCTGATGGCTCGCTAGTCTGGAGGTCCGGGGTTCGATCCCCGCATTGGCCAAGAAAGTTCATCCAGATATTCCGGCAGGACGGGGGGGCCTGACAAAGGCAGCTGTCTAGTCGTTCGAATGGGACGAAAAACCGAGGTCTGTACACATTGGCCTGTACGTAAAAGATCCCTTGACAGTTGGAATTCGATATAAGAGTAGGCCGTAGTGCCGCTGTCCGGGCAAAGTTTTCCTCATAGCACACTGTATGGCGTATGCCCGTTTTCACGAGCCCAGTTCGGAGCAGAAAAGTAGGACGTTAAACGCCATTCATTTGTTTAAGAATTGAATTAAACTGTTGAATTCGTGTACAATATTTTACAGCATCAAGGATGCTAATGTGATTATATTCTCTTGCCAGTTATATCAGTTATAAAGTAACGATGTGTGATTCTCGCATTTTTCGAAAAATATCAAATTTCTTGCGGCCCGACGCTTATGTGTGTACTCACATATATTATTCAACATTTAACTCAGAAAACTAAATCAAAACATAAGAACAAGATAGTCTCTCGCAGGTGGATGGGGGGGGGGGGGTCAATGAAATTTAAAACAGACGCGTCAATTTAGTTCACGGCAAACAAAGATGGCAACCGTCTTGTTACATAGGAAGCGACATCGTTCGATGAAATTTTCAGTTCGTCATTTATTCTTTGTAAATACTGAACGAAATCAGAATGGGATTTATCCAGTAAGTTGCAATATTGTAGTTGATTTAATCGTAGATATTATTTAAATATTTTTATAGGCAAGAAATGAATGCCAGTTTAAACATCTCCAATGTTTGTGGTTGACATTGTCATTTGAAAAAGACAAAAGATTGGCAGCAAGCAATAAGGTAAATAAAATGTATATTAAGAAAGAAAAGTGAAATCGGACCAAAACTGACTGACAAAATGGCCGCCCCTCGTACGCAAAATTGTGTAAACATCTGGTATATCAAGGTTGTGGACCCTCTGGAGGTCAAAATGTTGATCCGATTTTGATGAAACTTGAAAGACATGTTTATAACCCCAAGAGCATTGTTCTTTTCGATATTCGCGCATATCGGATTGTAACTTCCTGAATTATGGCCCTTGATTGTACGAAAAATCGCATTTTAGATTGTGGTCCTTGTAGTGGTCACTAATTTTATCCAATTTAAAAAAAAACGTGTGGATATATAACCGTTACACACTAGTGATGGTTGAGTTCGAATTTGTTGAAAATCTGACTAAAACTACTGGACAAAAGGCAGGCCCTCGTACTCAAATAGTGTGAAAAATATGGTATTTCAAGGCTGTGGACTCTCTAGAGGCCACAATTTTTATCCGATTTTGGTGAAACTTTTAAATTTATGTTTATATCACAAAGATCTTGGTTCCGTTTGATAATCGCGCATAACCGAACGTAACCGTTCGAAAAATCGCGTTTTTAGCTTGTGGGTTCACTAGAGGTCACAATTTTTATCCGATATTTAAAAAAAACTTTAAATACCATTACCATAATGAAGGTTTAATTCGAATTTCGGGAAAATCGAAAAGAAACTGTCCAACAAACTGGGCGCTCTTTGTACGCAAATTGTGTAAAAGTATGTAATACAAAGTTTGTGGACCCTCTAGAGGTCACAGTTTTTATCCGATATTCATGAAACTTAAAATATATCTTTATATCCCGAAAATCTCACTCCCTGTTGATATTTGCGCATTTCGGACCATACCTTTCTGGATTATGGCCCCTGGTTGTGCGAAAAATCGCTTCTGTTTTAGTTTGTTCTCTATCCATCTCTTGCAAAATGTGGGCGTATCTTGCCTAGCAACCGCTGAAGTTTTGCATTTTATCGGATGTGGTCTGCTACGGCTGAGGTCTGGTTAGATTGTTTAGGTTGGTGTTGACTAAGTCTTCCCTCAATGTATAGCTACAGACTTGATAGATGAGTCCTATAGGTGACGATGGTTTTGTTGACTTACATTTGCTTGGATGTTAATGGCCAAATGGTTAGCACGTGCGTACTGTATCATAAGGCCTGTCATTGAGTCAACTGGCGTGGTTTCGAATCCCCGGTTGTACGTCAGAAGGAGTAAGGTCGCCTGTGCAACCTCGTGGGTTTTCTACGGGTCCTCCGGTTTCCTCCCACTGCTAAAGACCCCTACGCGCAAGCGAATTATTGAAATAAAATTGAACCATGTTTGTGCTGAGTGGACGTTAAACCCCATCTCTCTCTCTCTCTCACACTCTCTCTCTCTCTCAGCTTGGATGATATTCCTTTTGGTCGGTAAATTTACGTAATATATTTAAATGGTTTCCCTATAGATTAATGGTTATTACAAGTAGTTACGTGTTTTTGTATACCAACCTTCTGTATATGATTTGCTTGATAACGTTGATAGAACACTGGACGAAACGTCTCTTTAATTAAAGTAGAAATAGTCTTCCTTATCATGTTGTTGTGTTTAATGTTGGCTTAGTGTTGATTTTTTAGAAGCACCACAATGAGCGTTAATATTAATTTATATTTGTTTAGGAGTCGTTTGTAGATTTAGATGATGAAGTAAAGAAGGAGATAGAAGACAATGATGCTGAATATTTCCGTCAAACATATCAGCAATATGGTGTAGACAAATTGAATGTTTTATTACATGTTATTTATGACTCTATCTTACTTCGTATTGCACAAACTAAAGATCCCGAAGATGATGTTGATTATCGAGCAATGAGGTAATTCAGAATTATACATTGTTACACTTCTTATTTAATTTAGTTCATATAGCTTTTAGGAGTATATGTGTCTATTTTGTCCGCAGTACTTGTGAAAGCACAAGTTTGTTGTTTTAATTGGATTGTTTGCCAGCTCCTATAGATAGAAACTCAAAGTCAAACATATATAGATTGTGTCCAGAAACACTGCACCTATCACCAAAAGAATTGTAAACGCTCAGCTGGAATCCTATTGAAACACGAATTTTATGCTTAGTTATTGCCCCTGTAAACTTCAAAGCACATTTCTAAACTGCGATGAATCTAATAATAATACGACATCGCATGCCCTTGTTACGAGAATATTCCCGAAAAAGAATTTGACAAAAACATTAGGAAAATTTTCAAATATAAACACAAAGATCATTCTAGAGACTTAGAAAGTCCTGCTGTATACCTAAATTCAACTTTTGAAGTAAACACATATTTAATATTATATTGAACAAATATCCATAGCTATATAATCATTTATGACATCATTTGTTTATTATTTGTGTTTTAGGTTACGAGATATATTAATAGGTGAATTTGATTCACCACCGTATACAGAACCTCCAACAGAACTCATACAATTAAACATAGAAATGTTTAATGACTGGCCAGAGAGCGTTTTAGGATCACAGGCTATACAAGTATGGAAATTACTTCTTGAGGTTTACATGAAGAAAGAACGAGAATTATAATACTATATTATATAGAAAAATTTGTATTTTTAATATGAATTGTTTTGTTTTAAGCGTTTTCATACATTTTTACTTTAAAACTATGTTTGTATGTATTAATTTGCATAGTAGGTATGTTACAGATGTTGTATAAAATATCACCGTTTATTTATTAAACTTTAAACCATTTACAAACACACTCACCTTTTCTTTTTTAAATTTAATATATTTTAATTTGTGTACATTATTTTTTAATCGAAACTTTTCTATAAAAATACAATTTCAAGAATTTTTCAACTTGCGTGCAAACCTAAAATTATCTTGATATACAATCCACCAATGACTTTCAAAAAACATTAAATAATCCATATCCAAATACATATTGATTCCAGGACCTGTGATGTCTAACCGCCAAGATAATAGGTCTTTTTGATAGTCTTCAAACATTTATTTAAAACTAAGGCCTTTTTTTTAAATGTAGCTTCGCTTGATGTTATTGTTCTTCTGTAGAGCAGTGTTTATAAAACAGAAAGACATTTTTGATAATCGATGTTAAATATTAAACATTTTTACCACTTTAATTGTTAATCATAATGATTTTATTTTGACATTTTTCTACTAGTTTTTATCTGCTTATGCCATTCTAGTGTTGGCATCCATGAATGTCCGTAGGTCCGTCAAGAATTGCGTTGTAAACAGTTTTAAACAGGTTATTTTATTTTTTTAAAAATTGGGTGCAAAACATTGGGGTCATTATAGGACGAACCATATCGATATTCAGTTCCCCCACCGCTGTTTCCATATAATTTCTTATTTCGATCAAATGATATAGATCTTAACAGTTTGTTTCCAAACAGGGGCGGATTGGGGCCGAGAACCGGCCCGGGCTCCCGTGTCAGAGCGGCCCCTTTTACTGACCGCGGAAAATTGTGAAAAATGAACCCCAAATATGCGATCTGATTATAATCTCTGTCAAATAATATATCTCATAAATCGATTAATTTAGGCCAAAACCCCGACCTGCAATTAATTTACAACCATCAACCTGTGAAACTATCATATCGTCATATTATTAATTAACGTATTATCATTGTATCGTCAAGAGTCAAGAGAATTTAACTGGTTAAAAAATGGGACTAGTTGAGAAAATTTTGAATATTTGATTAACCAGTTAGTAATGGATAAGTAGGAATATTTTCATTGAAAAATGTCCCATTTTTGTTGCCGGGAGCGCTAGTTGATTCCTCCTATGATGAGGGAGCCACGGTGGCTGGGTGGTTAAGACGCGGACTCGCTAGACTGGAGGTCGGGTGTTCGATCCCTGCATTGGCCGAGAAAGTTCATCTGGATTTTCCGACGTGGTTTCCCCTTGTCAGTGATGCAGGACAGAGGGCCTGACAAGGACAGCTGTCTAGTCATTCGGATGAGACGAAAAACCGAGGTCCCGTGTATACATTAGAATGGCAGTTGGAATTCGATATAAGAGTAGGCGATAGTGCCGCTGCCCGGGCAAAATTTCCCCCATAGCACACTGTGGCGTATGCCCGTCTTCATTAGCCCAGTATAGGAGCAGAACAGTAGGACGTTAAACCCCATTTCATTTCATTTCATTTCCTCCTGTGATGGAAGGCCACGAGACACATTGGTACAGAGTGACTAAAGTGAAATTCACGACAGCTGCTTTTTTGAATTTTGGATTTGTTCTGCCAGGTAAATTATTTTACCTTGACTCCAAACTTGACATTTCTGGCGTATCCGCACAAACAGGGTGCAGGTGACGTAATAATTAGTAAATTTGCGGTTTTTATTTCTGTGACGGTTTTATATCGAAAAACCGAAATATCGCCCAGCTCTACTGTGGTCCTGGACGGACGAACCCTATCGATATTCTGTTTTGAACGACCTTTTAGTATTCCACAGTTACCCTTCCGTTTTCCGAATACATTGTAAACTCGATAGAGAAGATTTTTTCTCAAATATGCTGTGAAGCATTCGGGATATGAGGACGAACCCTATCGATTATTCAGCATTTCGCCACACTCTATTCCGAAAATCATGTGAACGCGATAGAGACTACAGCTTTGGTGTGAAGCCTTGGGTCATGCCGATATAAATCCTATCGATTTACAGCGTTCTGGAGTAACCCTTGGTTTCGAAAACATTATGAATTTGATAGAGGCTTCAGTTTTGAATGGATTGTTTTCCAATTTGGCGTAAAAGATTATGACTGTGAGACGATGAATCCTATTACTTTTCAAATTTAGTGTGAAGCATTCGGATCGAAGATAAATAACCATGTTGATTTTCAGCAATCTAGGAGTTTCTGTTCCAAAATTATATTATGTGTCCAGAAAACCCTGTGAACATAATTACGATCATCTGTTTCTTGAAGACATAAATGATCCTTTTCAAATTTGGTCAGTTCGGGTATGTACATGACTGTCTGTGTTTTGTTAAACATAGCTGCTGCGTGGGTGTATCTCAGGGTTTTGAGTGGCACTCGATCGTTATATCTGATATCACATGAATATAGTATAATGTATGAATATAGTATAATGTGTAGGTTGTCACCTTTATTGTGATATATATTAATGTAATTACATGTAACTCAGTAATTTTTATCCTGTGCAAACCGAAGGTAGCGGCGATATTGAAATCTGCCCATTCGTCCTGCCGTCTTCGGGATATCTTTATGAGACGGCACGCACATCAACCTTTCCGTTTTCGTGAATCCCTGATACTTTTGGGTTCACTTTATAAATACACTTCTAGTATTTGGTAGTTGATTACACCTATAACACAGAGATTAGCAATCTCTATACCTTCTAGAACACGTCAAAGGGCGCTGAATCTTGATAACTGAGTATTATTGTTCAAGTTTTATGTTTTGCTTATTTCTTTACTATAAAGTTTTTATAAAATACAATTGATCTATTTTGTTATTATTGATCAAAAGGTTTCTGTGACTCATGGTTGCGTAGGGTTCCATAATATAAAGATAACAGCCAATTTTAATGGAGAAATATATTTCAGTGAACAGAATCGGTTAACTATGTGAGCTCTTAGAACCAATTATTCAAGCCTCGAGCAACCTCCTGTAGCTATGTTACCGGGTATACATTTTCAAAGAAATATTAATGGCCACAGTAGGCACCATTTCGGTCACTTCCTGTGAGCGGTTTCAAGCACATCAGGTTACCACATTATTATTTCATGTGGCCCGCCTGAAGATCGCAAAAATCAACCGATTCCAGTGGAACTTACGATCATAATAATGTAAATATTTAAGGGACGACTGTTGACCATACAATAATAAACCGATTTCTCTGAAATCTATAGATTATGATAACATTAATATATATCTCAGAGTAGACTACCACCCCACCCCCACCCTGCTCAGCTACATAATTTCTTTTGTAAATCAACCCTTTTTATGGGAAAAGTGTGCTTTATCCTTTATCGTCAGATGTGGGACAGGATGGGCACTCAAAGCACGAGATAATGATATAGACATTATGTGATATCACAATTAATGCTTTGCATCCATGAAATTGAATCACAATGTCATTGTATTAATTCATAATAAAAATTGACGTCAAACGAGGTGTTGAATTTCTCTATTTAAAAAGCTCAATGTGTAAGTATATACGCCAAAATGACGATAGAGACCATGCGGGAGAGGGGGGGGGGGATACATTGTCTCAGAAACCTTGCAAACTCCCTCCTGCAACAATTCCTGGATCCGCCCCTGAGTAACGTTCAAATATTGAACCATGTTAATAATGAGATAATGGCGGAATGCTTGATAAATCATGTCACCCTTATGATTTGTGACGAACCCGTCAGAACAAGACCCATTACTACTTCGACGTCGATGAGGCTCTTGTGCTAGAAACACCGATGTGGACGCGTTATCCCCTTAGTAGGCGGCTAGTCACGATGAAGTCTCGGTGTGAAGGGAAGAATTTCCGTGTGTAGTATGGAGAGAATGATCCTAATGTGGACTTCCAATGACCGAACAGCCAGCTTTTCCCGAGAACCACACTGTGTCACGTGTCTTCAAGAACCACCATCATGTATTAAACTTTAGTCCAGGCAGTTGCTGCAATATAAAGGTCGACCACGGTTTATGGTCGGTCTAGACGTATATTATCACCTAAAAAAAGTCCCAGTCAGGAAATCCGTGTCCAAATGGGTCAAATTAACAAATATCCAATATGGCCACCAGTTTTGACTGGAAAATGCCAATTTTATATCCATTTATCATAATATTTATCATAAAATTCGAATTTTACAAAACCACATTTGGTGTCATATATACGTTTTGGAGGCAGCTGATTCCATTTTCGACACATTTTTCATCTTGGTAATTAACTGGTTCCCCTAGGTTAAAATATGTGGAAATCCCATTGGAGATTTGAGGAATAAGAGTAGTGGCATTCATCAAGCATCAACTAAATTTCATTTAGACGATCTGGCCGATCACTGCTCACTACGGAAGCAGCGTAGCAGGCATGACGAAAGGGGTCACTCTCAGTCCACTGTGGGCGCAGCGTGTCCAATTTCGATCACCAACCTCAAAAATAGAGCCAAGATGGCCGAACCTATTGTCAAAGCACGTGACGATATAATGATTCAAATGTTGAGACACAGATGGATGCAGTATCGCCCGTTTGTCAGATATGCAGTGCACTATTTGATAATGAACTGCCCACCGTCATTCCGAAAATGACGGAAAAATAACGTAAAATTGGAGGCCGACAATAATGATCCAATTAAGATCCCTGGTTTAAGTTCAATAATGAGCGAAGATACCAATTTCAATGACAAAGAATTTAGGACAGAGTAAAACCTGGTGTAAAATCATGACTAAGTTTGACAATAAGCCAAGGGCGTGCTGGGGCCTCTGAATGAGGCTAGGCAGACCAGAGTTAGGGCATCTTGGGGGAGGGGGTAGGATTGGGAAAATTGGAGCTCTGTGGCGCATGGTAGAAGCATTTTGACGTCTATGTGAGCCATGACATACCAGGAGGCTTTGCCCCCCCCACCCCCTGCAAAAAGTTTCGCACCCACACCCACCCCCTGTGAAAAAATTGTCAACCATAAATACAAAATACATTGTCCGTCAATTTTACAGCACCCCCGAGAACATTTCCCGCCCCTCGTTACGGCCCTGGGACCTCGCAAGTGAGATAGCCTAGGGCCTCTCGTCATCTAAATGGGACTCTGAGGTGGTGATACATCCATAGATATATATATATATATATAGAAAGGTGGAAAGAACGTTTCCAGCTTGCTTGATTCCGTCCCCGGTCGTCTTTACGAAGTAAAATAACTAAATATGTTGTATTGTATTTGTCGCATTAGTTTCCATTGCATAACGGCGGTTGTTATTTTTCTAGGTCTGTTATACAATGATTTGCAATTAGTCGATTTATACATAACATATGACAAGACCAGAAAGATGACCCTGTCCATACAATACAATACAAGATTAACATTAAGAACGAATATAGATAATTTGACCACAAACTGTATATAATTCAATAAATGTAACTTAAATAGTATAAAAATCAACAGATATGTTATAATTTATATCTCTCGAGGTGAAATATATTCAGGACTATAGATAGATTAGTGACTAAAATATGATATATGTTTTTAGAAACAGAGTATTTGTTTCCACCTACTATTTAAAGAATTGACTTTTACGTGGACAATTATGTGTGTATATTGTACCCATTAACCGAGGACCTTTACGGAGGCACAGACTCCATTTCTGTCATTTACAACTGTGTAAAATGATCACACATTCTTCTATTGAGTATATTTCCAAGATGGTTGCCATTTGTGGCGGAAAAATGTGACGATGTGCTGATTTTGAATGTGTTTGGTGTCATTGTATATGTTCACCATGGACATCTTGAGATACAGCAAACATCTTCCAGTAATAGATGGGCAGGTGTTTGGGTTTTTTAAGCTCTGAAAATCATCTACATATAACGATTTTATTTGAATAACTACGATTCGAATAATGGTTAAAGAAATTAATCGAATTGGTAAAATTAGGGGTGGATCCCTCAAGATAATATGAACGGAATGTTAGTCTGAGATAATATTGGCATTAAATAGCATGTCATACTCGGTACCAATATATATGTCACGTGATGGGATAATCCCATGCTAATATCAAATGGCATTTACCACATATAGCAATTTTGTTTTGCGTTTTCAGTGAAACGATTATATTCACATTATAAGCCTTCCATTTGGCCACGGAACTTGACAGAAAACGTTTCTGATACAGAGATATTAGGATTATTATTTAAAGCGAAAATTTCATATTTTCAAAGAAAGTCAAAACATAATTATTTCTATGTCTTTTGCTCAATAGGTTGTCAACTCACTATTATACGATCATAGTTATCTTTCTCACACTCAAAAATGTTTCACACCGGAAATAATAACACAATTACCTCCCATGTTTTTCTGTTCCCTACCATGAAATAGCTATCTAAAAACGTTTGAATTGGAAGTTGAAAATGATATTTTTGCCAATTTCTCAACTGGCAATAGTGAATTATAGGATTAATAGGATTATTCTTTATCAAGGTAGGACTGTTTATACATAGCATCGATTTTAAGGCTTTATTTTAATACGTTTTAAAAATATAACTTAAAAATATGAAATTGTAGCTTTAATGTGCTGTTTCATTTGATGTGTGTTGAGAGAGAGAGAAATGGGTTTTTAACATCCACTCGACACAAACTGGGTCATTTCGGGACTAACATGTGCTTCAATTTTATTTTAATAATTCGCTTGCGTGTAGTGGTCTTTAGCAGTGGGAAGAAACCAAAGGATCCGGAGGAAACCCACGAGATTGGACAGGCGACCTTACTCCTGTCGCGTAAAACCGGGGAATCGAAACCACGCCATTTGACTCAATAATAGACCTTATGATACAGCGCGCACGTGCTAACCATTCGGTCATCCAACCCCTCTTTGATGTGTGTTCTTAGAGCAGTATACACCTTTACATTATTAATATGTATAATAGAATTGTTATGGTGCAATCGGTATATGTATAATAGAATATTTTATGTGATACGCGTTGCCAACTCACATAGAACTTGTAAATTTGTTTTGAGCGTACTAAAGGGCGTAATTCGGTTTAGCTACAAACCAACCCGGTCGGACGGCTAATTGATGCCCGACCACGCCACGTTGTAACACATCCCTAGTGAAATGAAATGGGGTTTAACGTCCTACTGTTTTGATCCGAACTGGACTAATGAAGACGGGCACATCCCTAGTATAATCGAAGTACGACAATTTCCGTTCGGAGTACGTCCATCTCGTTTTAAGTACGTTGTTACTCGTCCAATTGCAGGATGTTGAAAATTTTTAACAGACTCAAAGTTCTAGACCACCTTCCCGTCCATGAAGTTCATATGTATGTCGTAAACAGTTGCTACTACCTTCACCCCGTTCGCACACAGTTTAAGCCCGTTTGGCAACATTTTTCAGAACCTGGTAAGAAATAGATTGGTGTGACAGGGTCTTAAGTAACTCATTAGTAAGTCGTAAGTCCTTAAATTATCTGATATTGATAAAGTAGGTGACAGCTATAATAAATTTATTGTAAAATCTTAAGGTGTGTTGGCAAGCATTCTGATTCGCTTAAAATTAACGTCGATGTGTTGAATGTAAACACGAGTTTTCCTCATCGCCTATTTCATATATACGTCGTATTTTACTGTATAAAAAGTTAAAGATAACTACTCAAAGAGACAATATATTTTACTATACATGTATATGACATGGTATGAAATAATGACCATGTCTTTGCACTAAAGTTTGTATGAGGTTGACCACCAATATTGTGAGATACACAAACTTGAAGAAGCCCACTAAAAACATGTAACTATTCGCCGTACATATCACCATGACCAACCTGATAACGCTGTTATCCTTCCGCCTCTAAATCAAAACCTGGCAGAAAATGTTAATTCAAACCCTTGTTGTCCATTCTAAACCAAAAAGGCAGAGTTAGAAGAGACAGCATACTAATAAGTGGCCGAAATTTTGCCTACTCTGAGATATTTTTTTTATGCTATCACACTCTATTAATGTCATTGAAATGGGTTGATAATTACAAATATGTGGTGACTGGTAACCCGACATCTCTGAACCCGGGAAGTGGCCGAAATTTTACCTGTTCCGAGATATTATTAATGTCGTTTGATAATTAAGGTCTGTAGCCATATGTGGCAAATAACCACCGTCTATAAGGAAGACTTCAGTATCTTTAATTATGCAATGAAATGAGGAAAGAAGAAATCCAGGAATACACTTCTTTGGACTTCGTTATTTTATTCTTTAAACAAAATATTTTTTCCATCAATAACGACTCCTATTTATAATTTAAGTCAAATCTGGGATGACAAGAAAATAAAAATAAAGTTCATCCACAATTTGCAAATCTACAAATGCCATACTTCTTCATGCTTGACATTAGAGATTATAACACTGATCTTCTTTCGATTAGTGAGTTTCCAGTGTGTATTGACAGATTAGTCAAACTCCATTTCTGTAAATT